GAAGGGAAATATGACCTTTGTAACCGTAAAGGTTACATATTTAACTTTAACGCTTTCTCTGACGTATTCTTAAATTTGAAATAATAACAGCCCTAGACAATAGACACAGCGCCATTTTATTCCGATCTAAACGGGTCTTGTATTATGGGTAATAGAAATACTTAAATATATTTTTTATCGAACCGCCAACCATCGGAAGTAAAGCGGTATACTAAATCGTTAGACCATCGACTCTGTTGAATTAGTCAGTAGTTATGTCTTAGTTATATTAGCGTAATCTAATCCACTTCCTGTTCAGTTCTATCGCACTGCAGATAGCTGAACAAAACTATTTTTTTCCTCCATTTAGTTCCATTGTGTGCACTATTCTTTATGCTATATTTTATCCAAATTAAAACTCTACGTTTCTGGGGTCCAACTACGCCCGACGCGATAATGCAATTGGATGAAAAGCGAACAAACTTAACAACATCTGCTAACTTTAGTTCAATATTTTGTTTCCTGTTTCATTAAAATAACCAGTTATATTGATTGGTTCTGTATATCGAAATAATTTGTAACTTCCATCCCCGTTTATATTGAACAGGGGATCGGAGGTGAGTGATGTCTGTGATGTTGTTCATATGTACATTTAAATATATATAAAAGCGATGGTTACCGATTCACGCGGAACGTCACTTGTTTGCCAATCTAATTACATGAAATAAAGTACTAGTCGATAACTCTTCGCAATATATCTCTGTATCTGTGTTCATAAAAAGATAATATTGCAATAATGGTAATATCCTTCTATATTATTATACTGGGCCAGCGACTTGTTGTCTTATTTCCTTTTTCCTTTATCTGACCGATATAGTGTATTCCCCTAGATGCCTTGTAAGACAGCCTAAGGATAAAAGCAATTGCTGATACATTAAATTATTGCCTCAGTCACCGCATGTTAATATCATAATTGCATTATATATTTCTATAACCAGTATAAATATAACTGTTTACATAATAATACTTTAAAAATGTAACTATATATTGACACATGTATTGCGTACATACGATAACTAATATGTATGTTTTTGGAAAATATAGTAAATTTGATAAAAAAACTATTTTACCAATATTTACGTGTTCGTGTTATGTACATAGATAAATTATTCAATTTAATGTACTATTGAATTATTTCGTAAAACATGCAACAATGCTCCGTGAGACTGAAAATAATTTATTATGTAATAACATAGCATAATGACTTCCATCTATCATAGTGCAAAGAATTTGTATATAATGACTAGACATCTTTTACCATACTAATTACTAGTCGTGACCAGCGTAAACCGAGCTTTTATAATGTTGATATAGTTGCACTACACTATAAGGAACCCTAAAAAGGCTACAATATGACCATTAACGCCTAACTTGAATAAAACTCAGTTTATAAGGCTTAAGGGGGAACTGAGACTTTTTGAAACGATACTCTACGCCACCCTGTGCCTTAAGTACGGGTTTAGGTTTATACCTATATATTATAATGGAAATAAAATTATTATACATACATACAGGGTTAGTCGTAAAGGATATAGGGTATACCACGTAAAAAAGTAGCCCATAACCGTTTCTAGTGTCCCATCTACCTCTATAACAAAATTTATAATATCGATTCAGCGATTTAGGCGTGAAACCGTAACAAAAACAAACAAAAAATCTCATTACCGTATTACCGTATTTATTACAACTTCATTCAAGAGTTTCTATATAAGCAGTGATTTCAGGTTGGGTAGTCAGAAGCACTGTAACTTGTCGATGATTGAACGTAAGACTTGGCATATCTATATTTTAGTGAATAATATTGAAACCCAAATACTTTCTCTTAATTTTACGTATTTAAAAGTTAGTTTAATAGATGCCATATCCTCATCATAACACCAAAATTGATAAAATTGTTTATGATATACATAGATACTACATGCATGTCCATATTTCATTATGAGAAATTATAAGAATACCCGCACCCATAGTTAAGATGAGACACTGTTGTAACGGTTATATCTCAAGGGCATTAGTAAAAATAATAATACATAGATGATATTTTTTTACATATATCTTTTTATTGTTTTTGTTAAATGATCATTAATTTTAAGCTTTTGAATATCCTTTATTTTAAGTGTAAAAGATATACATATAGTTTTCAGATCGTCCTCTTTCACAGCGTTATTCATTTGGAAAAATAATAATTTGCAGTTGTAATTAACAACTGTAAAACGGTAAGTACAAAAATAAAATACAAACATAATAATAAATGTATAAAATATTGATATAATCTAGTAATAATAATATATATAAAAATGCAACGATATTCGTATGGAAGTTTTGTAATAAAGATGTTCTGGTCATACTCACGAAGTTGATATTTATTATAATAGCTCTAAAGTTCTGAACTAAATAAATATGTTACTTTTACTTTGAAAAGCAACTATTAAAGTGCAGTGTATAAGTTCAGTTCATTTTATTTAAAAATATTCGTTTTTCTTGTGTTACTATGTAAAATAAGACATGTAATTAGTTATGGTGACATTTACCTATCTTATTAATAATATAAATGCGAAAGTTTGTGATTATGGAATGATGGCTACATGTTTGTTACTCTTTCACGCAAAAACTACTGAACAGATTTTGACGAAACTTTACAGTGACATATCTTATACATCAGAATAACACGTGGGTTATAATTTAGAAAGATGTCAATTGGGCGAAATATTTGGATAAATGTCAAGAAAGTGTAACGAAGACGATGTTGCGCAGGTCAAATAGTACTATAATAATATTATAAATTGCGTATATATTTGTGTAGTTTTTACGTTTTTACTACTTAATGGCTACATAAACATTTCATATCAAAATTAAATTTGATGAGAAGATGCATTATATCATGAGGACCATCGTAGTTTACGTTTTATCTAAAAATATTGAACAGAAATTGTTAGTTATTGAATACTTCTAATTACAATACTTCGATTTATGCAAATGTGTGTGTGTAAAGTTTACTTATTGTTTGAACATGTTTATTTTCACAACTACCGGACAACTCACTTTTTAATTAGACGTACATATAAGGCGAGTAAAATTTTAATTATGATTTTTATAAAGTCAGCACGTATTACAACAATTTTTCATGACAGTTCTACATATATCTAATGCCACTAATGTTAAAAGTCATAAAAAAATTAATAGATAATCTAGCCAACTAGATGAGATCTCAGGTGGATCTCGTTAAATTTATTTTAATGAGGGATCCCAACGTTAGTTAAACTAACGTAACTGAAATCCCGGGAATTTCAACTACCGTCGTTACGGCATAAAGAAACTTCTTTAGATTCAACGCATTAATTTAAATCACTAATGAGTTAGTCGTAGTAAATCTGTTTGTTTGTGTTTTATAATTGATACAGTTAAATTGTAATTTGTTCAATAATGTTTTTATAGTTCAAATTAATTTAATAAGTAGTGATATGAGTAAGTAGTATAATAGAATACATATAATGAATATAAATTATATATTAACATTGTATATAATTTATATTATATACTATGTTAATATATAATATATAAAGTCGCTGTCGCCGTCTGTCCCTATGTATGCTTAAATCTTTAAACCTACGCAACGGACTTTGAGGCGGTTTTTTTTTTATAGATAGAGTGATTCGACAGGAAGGTTTATATATATATAATACATGTACACCCGGGCAAAAGCCGGGGCGAGTAGCTATTAAATACAAAAGTCTGTCAGGCAGACACACTTTTTCATTTCAAATATATTTTTTTATAATTTAACTGATTAAAACAGATATGATCTTATTATGAAATGAGTGTTACAGTTCTAAAATGCATAATGAGCAGCATCAGCTGATAGACGATAATAGTAACAGTGGCCCAGTGGTCTGGATCGCAGCCAAACTGATCTGACCCTGGCACATTCGTCTCACCTGCCCTGTATTGTAGTTTTATTAAATAAAAAATTCAGGAATGTTTACTACAACGATTTATGTCATTTACTAGAGAATCCTACTTGCATGAATTTTAACTGTTGTAACGTAATATAGAACTGGTTTTAAAAAAACAAGTAGCTTTTCGTTATATTAGATGTTACATTGATCCTACATTGATGTTACATTGTATGGTACAAGTTTATATAAAGAAAAAGAGCGCAAATTTTGTTATGAGAAAGTAAACTTCGCAACCACTAAATAAATTTTCTCATTCTCTGTTTTCTTAATTTTTTTCTAAAAACCCCATTTATAGCAAAGTACAGTATCACATCCTGACATCCACGATCCCTTAGAAACCATCATGATACATTGTAGATGACTTTGCCACAATGGCTTAACTGACCTGACCTGACCATTTCCTCCATATTACCCCGCCAGCGTAAACTCATAGCGCAGGTGGGTGCACAATTCCATTACCATCATTTACACCATACCTACTTGGCTAATGTATACAATACCACTACATGGATTTTGGTTTTTATTGACAATTATACTTATTTTTACGTTTAAATAGGACAGTAACAAATAACATTCGTATTTATAGATACGATATGGTTGGCCAAACAGTTGCGATAACGTATGCATCAGGCGTTAGGAACAAGTGCCGCTCGAGTAACTCACGACTAGAGACGCGTGCCTACTATACTGACGCCGGCACAAAAGTGTATTCGGTATTTCCGATAGATATTCCGTGTATTTTCCTATTTCCGGATTGATGTTTGCCACATGTCTAAAAACAATAGCTAGTAACATAGTTACGAAACGACAGTTGTGCCTCTGAAAACTATTCAGCCCTTTCATATATTTGATCGTGTTCTATAAAATGCTACAATGCCGAGGCGAGTTCTATTAAAAAGTTTATTCGTAATTTTTACTCGTACTATTCTGTACTTGTAACATTTATTTTCAAACCTGCGTTTATAAATGTTGTAATCTTATTTTGCAGGAGCAAAATGGATGTCAACTATATTTATTTCATTTGTGTTTACAAATACAGAAGGAGTATTTCGGAATCATGAAACGCTTAAAACAGTGGTGAATATTGGTAAGGATTTATATTTATTAAATTCAATTAAGCAAATATAATCTGTACATGTAATAAAATAGTAAGATTAATACGATGAGAAAACTGTCTATCTATTTATGTGGTAATGTTTAACGTAAAAATACGATATTTAATTTGGGTTATTTTAATATACAGGTTAACCTAAGATGACAATGATTAATTATACCAAATTTTCAATTTAATTAATGAATCAATTAATGATACTTTTCTATTGTTGACTGTCGATCATCCTGAATATATAGCAATCTACAAATGTACACGCTTACTGAATCTCGGGCGTCACTAGAATGTATAATATTATATATTAAGGAATACTTTCATAGTTTGTATATTTTAGGTGCTATATTACCACCTAATACATTGACGGAAGTAGCCTTCTCTTCTTCTCTTGCTAGAGCTTCCATGGAAAGTGAACATTATCATTTTGTTCTAAAAGTATTGTATGCGCCGTTTGGCGATATTTTTGCTGCTTCTAAAGCTGGTAAGTATAATATAATCCCTTATTTTGACAATTTAATCAATAGGTTTCGAGATATATACTAGATTTACCCGGCTTGTACCGCATAAAATGAAAGAGTTCATATTTGTTTTAAATTATTCGTATTTGTACAATTAACTGATATTGTTGTCAAATTATGTTTGTTTAACACCAAGTTTCGTAAGAAATCCAATCTGCTAAACTGATTAGTAACTCATTAGGTATAAACATGCAAATATTAATTATTATTTAAATATATGACTTTCTTTTATACTGTTTAGTGTTAGTTTTGATTAAACCAAAAAGTATATATAAGCTTATTTTTCTCTATTCTTACAGTTTTATTTAGTGTAAATATACTAGAAACATTTCTATTATATATTATATTTTCTCTGTTACAAACACGAACAATTATGTCGTTCGTACTCGTTTTTCTTAATAAATTTTATAAAGTATATATTATAAATATATTAGTATATTCTTGCAGTTCCTTGTCTTGTAATAATTTGGTATAGTGCATTATTACATTTTTATTTTCCTGTTTAAGTAAAAATTACTCACATTTTTAAGAAAACCGAACGATATTGTGATTTTAAATGCAGTAATTTCCAGTAGGTATAGGTTAATTGATCAGGTATTATTTGTGTCATACCTATGTATATAAATTCATATAGTGTTTAGAATAATCCATTTTGTCTATATTTTTATTTCATTCAGACTGCTATTATTATTTATACCATAGCTTGTGAACTGATAGCGGATGGAGTGATCGCTATATATGGTCCAATGGACGTAAATTCAGCCGCCATTGTGGAAGCACATTGTCGCGCCTCGAAAATTCCTCATATCCAAGTGAGTAATGATTATATTTATACCTCCTTATTATAATAATAAACAAAAGTTACAAGAACAACAGCACAAAGTATAAAATTACATCTCTGTATACAAATTATATCTAATACTTTGTTGAATGCGAAATCAAAGTCAATAATATTGTCAAATAAATGGTTTTAACATTATTAGAACTTCTAAAGAGCGAAGTGGCCTAAAGGTGCCCGGACTAGGACCTCAAGGTTATTAGTTCAAATCAGCCCGACAACAGAAACTTTATCATGAATTTATGTTTTTACTTAATAACATTGTAAAATTAATACAAGTGAAAGAGGTTCTCGCCCATTGTATCAAATTTTTCAATAAATACATGGCATGTAAGTTTTTGTTACGTTTATCGTTAAGAACTTTTATCTGGGCTATGTGGCATAAGAGTCGAGAAGGTTATTTATTTATTTGTATAAGCACTCAAAGAAGTATGTCCGCAATTGTAGAAATTGAAATCTATAAAACAATTACAGGCTGTGTGGCGGCCTCCTCGAGTACGAGGCCAAGAACAGCCGAGTCCTCCTGGCATTAACTTGCACCCCGAAGCAGTTGCTCTTTCGAAAGCTGCTGCGTTTTTCATAAAAGATAGTGATTGGAATGCTTACACACTTCTCTATGATGATGACCAAGGTATATCTTTAATCGGTTTATATATTTTTTCATGATCAGTAACATAAAGTGCGTATTAAAAGCTAAGCTTTCAAAAATGTTTAATGAGTCATTATGATGGCATTTCTTATATATCGCAACTAATATCATATAAATTATCATTATTATCTATCAACATTTATTTCAATTAAAATAAACTACAAGGAAAAAATATATTTTAAACGTGATTGAGAGTAACAAATTTACAGTTTCACTGCCGGCAAGTCTACTACTGATGCAGGTGTAGCGCTTATTACACATATATTCAAATCATGGGAAAACTCACAGGATGCTCTCAGCGTTTTTTGTGACTTGCCGAAGGCGTTTGATTGCGTAGATCATGAAACACTTTTGTACAAGCTCAAACATTATGGTATTAGAGATAATGACCTAAGTCTAATGAAAGCTGAAAAGAGGATAGGGTGCAAACTATAGATATTGATGGTGTAAAGTCTAAGGGAACTAATATAAAAATGGGCGTTCCTCAAGGTTCAATCTTAGGCCCATTTCTCTTTTTAATTTATATAAATGACCTTCCCTACATGGTAGAGAAAGTTGCAGATATAGTGTTATTTGGGGATGATACTTCGTTAGTGTTTAAAATTGGTCGCCAATGTAATAAATTAGAAGATGTAAATTATGCTATCTCGGCTATATTAAATTGGTTCACATGTAACAATCTATTATTGAACTCCAACAAAACTAAGTGTATTAAATTCACGCTTCCTAATTCCCACGTTTTTTTAGGAATAACAGTGGACTCGAAGTTACAATGGGGGCCCCATATTTCTAAATTAGCCAGTAGACTTAGTTCTGATGCTTATGCAATTAGAAGGCAATTAACAGACGTGGCGACGGCTAAACTTGTATATTTTAGTTATTTCCATAGCATTATGTCATATGGCATACTGCTATGGGGTAAAGCTGCCGATGTAAATACTATATTTATTTTACAAAAGAGAGCCATACGTTCTATTTATGGTATGGGTTCTAGAGACTCATTACGTCAATGCTTTAAAGAATCAAATATCGTCACCGTTGCCTCACAGTACATTTATGAAAATATTATGTATACAAGGAAAAACTTAGATAGTTTCAAGAAACTTAAAGACTGTACAAGTAGAAACTTACGCAATAAAAATAAGCTAATTTTACCTAAATGCCGTCTACACAAAGTTAGTAAATCATTTTATGGTAATTGCGTAAGATTCTATAATAAACTGCCAGAGTCTACGCTAAATCTTACAGAGAGGCAATTATGTAAAAAAGCCTATTATAAGATAGATGAATTTATAGATGATAGCAATATATAGCAAGAATAAGTTTTTTTGCGGACAACATTATAATTGATTTTTCATACTGCTGTTTTGATATATGATAGCGTAGTGGCTTTTGTATTGATTGCCGCATGCATCCTTATGTAAAGTGCGACTACTGTAACTAGCATATAGTAATTTTTGTAGCTGTGACTTGGTCGTGTGGAATGAGTTCTCATGCTCACTAAAATGTCCAGACATGTGGCGGCGTGGTGGGCTGGGTCATTGGGCTCCCTAAAATATGGTCGAGCGCAGTGATGGCTGGCTCATCCGTCATACTCGTAAACGAGTGCTGCTTGTAGGGACTGGTCTGCTCTTATCACTACGACTGATTTAATCTTATTGCATATTTATATTTGCCCCAAAAAAATTGTGCTTGTTGGTAGTTTCTATTCACACGTTGCGACTTGTAAATGTAAACTTACAAGGATTATTTAAAAGAGCAACACACAAGTTTCTTGCTCGTTCTTCTTGTGATGAGACAGCTTTCCGAACGAGTGGTAGATAAAAAACAAATTGTTATGACTATTCAAAAATGCTTAAATTAATTTTATTTGAATAAATAATTTTCTATTCTATTCTATTCTATTCTACAATAGAAAATTGACACTATAGCATTCTACATATTAAATTTCAATTAACAAATTTCATGACGATTGGTTGAACTAAAAATTTCAATACTAAAAAAATAACTTCACATCTTTAGGATATTAGTAAACATTTTACAATTGTACTACTAAATATATTTTAGACATTACACATGTCGAGTCTAAATGAAAAATTTCATTTAGACTTGACATCAGAAAAAAATATAATTTATATTTTATTTAATTATATAGGTCTTATAAGACTTCAAGAGATTATAAAACACGCTGATCCGGAACATAAGTGGCTAATAAAAAGATTAAAACCCGGCGATGATAACCGACCTTTATTAAAATCATTGAAAGCTTCGGGAGAAACAAGGATTATACTAGATTGTCCTGCGAACAGAGTGCTAGAGTACCTACGACAAGCTTATGAAGTTAATTTTTTTACAGATTATATGGTAAGAATATTGTTTTCTTTTTCTATTTTCCGAAATTACTACTTTCATTTATATAATATTTTTTTTTTAGAGTTATGTTCTCATGTCCCTAAATGCACATACATTAGACTTAGAAGAACTAAGATATGGATTATCAAACGTAACATGTTTTAGAATTTTCGATCATTCAGACTCAAGAACCCGATCTTATTTAGCGGATTGGAAATCAAGGTCGTCTAATGTAAAAATACCTAGACAAACGTATGAAATTACGGTAAATATGTATTATTGTTTTTAAAATAAACACCTACCATGCACTAACTGGGTGTCGCATGTTATTGTATATTTTATAATTTTTCATAACTATTACAGTGCTATTCACTAAATACTTTTCTACGTACGTACATACCTGTTGAAACTAAACCGTATTGTTTTATATGTCATATCCTGAAGTATTTTTTTCTTGACGTGTAATAATAATTTTATTTTGGCACTGATAATTTAATTATGCCATGTTATTGTATTTATATAAAATCAAATGTAATAAAAATTTTAAAACGTTTTTACAGGTTGAAGCAGCTTTAGCTAGTGATGCAGCAAGACTAATAACAGACGCAGTAGAAAGTGCACCGGAAGAATTTAAAATAGAAGCAAAAGCAATCGAATGCGGTTCAGAAGATATATGGGAAATTGGAGAAGAGTTTACTAACCATATATTAACAGTCAGTATATGAAATTTGTTTGTTTAATCAATTTCTAGATGAATAATAATAAAAGTAATGTGATGTTAAAAGTAATTTAAAAATATTTGTGAACATCTATAATATTTTATGTACAATTATAATTCCAGAATCCTATAATAGGCATTACAGACCAGATCATATTAGATAATGTAACAGGAGAGCGTATAAATTTTAACCTAGAAATAATGGAACTCTCCAACAGTGGTTTTAATATGATTGCAAAATGGAATCCCGAAACTGGATACGATTATATGAGATCGGCGAATGAAGTATCTGACCTACTGGCTGAAAAATGGCAAAATAAAACCTTTAAAGTAGTCTCGCGTATTGGAGCTCCATATTTAGTGGAAAAGATACCGGAAGAAGGCGTGGTTTTAACTGGAAATGATCGATATGAAGGATACTCAAAAGACTTGATACACGAAATATTAAAAGAGACATTAAATTTGAACTATGAAATTGAGATTGTACCGGGAAATGGATATGGGTCATATTCAAAGGAAACAAAAAAATGGAATGGCCTCATCGGACATCTTTTAGAAAGGGTTTGTTCAATAACCTTTAAATCATAATAAATACTTTACTTTTAAATTTAATATTGTTTATTGATGAGTTATATATTTACGATAATATGATACCATAACTTTACAGAAAGCTGATTTGGCAATCTGTGATTTAACAATAACGTACGAAAGAAGATCTTCTGTAGATTTTACGACGCCTTTTATGACGTTAGGTATAAGTATTTTGTATTTAAAAGCAATTCCACCACCACCAGAATTCTTTTCATTTTTAAAACCATTATCTGTTGATGTATGGATATATGTAGCCGCAGCATATCTAATGGTATCATTTATGCTTCATATTTTAGCCAGGTATGATATGTACATTTAATATGTTAAATTGGATGGCTAAATTACCTAGTATTTCTTAATATTACTTTTTATTTTTTTTGTTCTTCTAGATTTGCTCCGAATGATTGGGAAAACCCTCATCCATGCGATAAATCACCTGAAGAGTTAGAAAATATATGGCACATGAAAAATTCTTGTTGGCTTACTATGGGTTCTATAATGACACAAGGATCTGACATTTTGCCCAAGTAAGAATTTTTTTTTGCTAAATCTGTCTATCTATATATCTCGTATACTTATATGTTACATTACATATAATATTGTAAACATTACATGATATTTTTATAGAGGTTATTCTACACGATGGGTATGTGGACTATGGTGGTTCTTTGGAATGATCATGTGTTCCTCATATACGGCAAATTTAGCTGCGTTTTTAACTAATGCTGCTATGGATGATTCTATCAAAAGTGTTGAAGATCTAGTTATGCAGACAAAAATTAAATACGGGACTGTAAACGGTGGCTCGACATACTCATTTTTTAAGGTAAACATTATTATCTTAATAAATAATTTAGAATTATTAATAAAAACTGAAATATTTATAAATTATTACTCTATGCCACATAATGATATTTTATATTGGATATTTTTACAGCGTTCAAATGTATCTACTTATCAAAGAATGTGGTCTGCCATGGAGTCTGCTCGACCATCAGTTTTTGTGAAGAATAACGATGAGGGGGTAGACAGAGTTTTAAAAAGTAAAAGGACTTATGCATTTCTTATGGAATCTACTGCGATAGAATACCAGTTGGAAAGACACTGTGATCTCATGCAAGTAGGAGGCCTACTAGATTCTAAGGGATATGGTATAGCTATGCCGTTTTGTGAGTAATTGTTTTCTATATTAATAAATAAACTAAACCACAACATTTTCGAGAATACTAGGTAAAATATATTATGTATGAAAACATTTCAGATTCATCTTATCGCACTGCTGTAGATAATGCCGTACTGAAATTAGCTGAAAGCGGTAAATTAGTTGAACTTAAAAATCGTTGGTGGAAAGCACCAGATACTGGAGCATGCATAGTAAGTAAAATGGAACAGACAGTTGCAAAAGTTTTTAAACCTTGGATCTTATAAAATAGTAGTAATAACAAGTAACCCTAGAAGTTAGTCTGAGAAAAATAAATGTATTAACACATAGGCACCTTAAAACATTAAAATCAGCACATTATTTATACACAGCAATATTTGTCACTTGTTAGGTAATAGTATCAGAAAAAAAATATTGTTTTTAGAAATATCAAGTTTTTACTAATATTATTAGTTTCTATTAAATTTTACGTCTTTTCAGTTGGAAGAAGCTGGAGAAGAGGGTGCCAGTGCAGGAGAATTAGGGATTGAAAATGTCGGCGGTGTCTTTGTAGTACTTGGTGTTGGATGTGGTATAGCCTTGGGAATGGGAATTATTGAATTTCTATGGCATGTCAGAGAGGTTGCTATAGAGCAAAAGGTATTCCTAAAATTTCTTTAATATCTATTATAATTTTATTTATTTATTAGATAGTTTTCCCACATGCCTTCTTTAACTTTATTATAATACTGTATATATTAGCATATTAAATTTTCATATTAAAAGATAAAGCTATATGAGGTAACGAAGGAAAATCAAGACTAACAAATTAACGTTAAATAACGGAACCACCGGTGTTTCATATGGATGGTTCAATTTATTGTAAGTCGTCTTATTTGTATTTATCTTTTTATATATTCATTTTATCTTCTGATGACAGATGACTCAGACAGAAGCATTCTGGGCAGAGCTAATATTTGCATTAAGTTTCTGGGAAACAGAAAAACCAGTAAATCATTCACGTCCATCATCCTCTGCGTCTAAGTCCTCTGAATCTAAAGTTGGATCAAGAGCTTCCTCTGTTCTTCGTTCTGCCGCCGATTTATTCCATATTGAGATGTTTAAATAATCAGGAGATTGTCATTTCATATACAAAAGCAATTTATTACAAAAATATTTTTTACGTAAGTGTACAAAAATTCAATGTAATTATGAAACAAATTACATATTCATTGCATGATGTTGTTTTATTTAATTATTTATTTTTAAACATTGAATAAAGTTTTATTACTATGAAATACGCAAAAACTTCGGTAATTATTTTATTATTTATATCTCTTGATATTAAAATTTATAAATGTCATACAAAGTTCATTATAAAAGTACAAAGAAAAAAGTTACACTGTCTACCACAATACCACAAATCGAATTACTGGACTGTACCACAATATTATGAAAATATTTTTATGTGTAAAAGTATTGTTAATACCACAAAAAGATAATATTACATAGTTCATAAGATAATATTACTAACGAAAATTTTAGTACTGATATATTGGTATGTTTTTAGTATATTTCATCAAAATTGATGAAGGAAGAAGCAGCTCGTAGAACAGAAACGGCCCTCGACTGTGACCGTTCTCGTCTTGGTGACTGAGAGCCAGGAGAGGGTGGCGCTGAGCGAGGCGGGGCAGCAGGCTTGTGCAACTGGCGGGGGTTCAACGACGCCCGCCACTCACTTGCGAACGCTTCACGGAATGTCACCTGTGATATTTAACCATTAACATGCTACAAAATATAATGCTGTATATATATGTATACTTAATACTATAGAATTATCTATCAGTCAACCTTCAGGAAGAGCAGACATACGCAATTGTGGCTTAGCAATAAATTATTTATTACAAATAAAACTTAGTAGAATTAAATAGAAAATATTCTCTATTTTCCTGTTTATTTTGTATATTAATTTTCTACCGAATCTAATTAATCTTTTTTAGTCCCATGTTGGTGACATTAATTTTACAAATAATACAATTATACTATGTAGATTATAATTGTACAAATTTAATATGTAAAAAATGTATATGTTTTATATTTCAATAATTTGTACCAAAATTATAAGTATATATAATTTTGGTGCCTAATATTATAGGGATAATATTATAGATTACCATAAACTCCCTTCACACCAGACACATAAATGAAATGATGAATATAATCAAAAATTTATTTAGTAAAGTCTCAGTGGTCTAGTGGTTTATCACTTACTTCCGATACTTCCGATACTTCCGATAGTCGCGAATTCGATGTTAGTGGTGACTACATAAATATGCATATAATGTACATTTTTAATTTATTCAAATTGTTTTGCTTACCTTTTCTTTAACAGAAATCTGGCGTGCATGGAATAAAAACTCAATAATAGCCACTATTAGGCCTAATATCCCTCCCACACCAAGTACTAAGAAAATACCACTGGTATTTTTCATTTGAAGCGATCCACCATCATCTTCGCTCTTAGCATTTTTCTGGAATATAAATTAATCAAAAGTTAAGTAGGCTCAATTCAAAAAGAGAAATCATATACCATCCATGACTATTACGCCAAATACAAACTGCTATAAGTGTCTTTTACCAAAATCGGTAGAGCGAGTTAAGAGATACATGTTGACCCCGCCTTTCTTATGATTGATAATCATGTATGTATGTATCCAAGTTCTATTTGAAAGTAGAAAAGTTCTCTCTTAGAACTACATTACATAATACTCCATATTTGCAATAGGAATAACAGCGAGATCACGACGTCGACAGTTGACAATGCGTCTAATTACCACACCTATAGTGGTAAAAAGTAAAGAAGTTAGTTTTAATTCTTGTGTAAAAATCATTTTAATTATATCAGTACTTACATCACAATGCTGACTGTCGCCTTCTTCTTCCCACCATTTTTTTTGCAGTGCAGTAAGCCTTCCCAATTCTTGTAAAGACAATATTGCATTATCTATCCATGCTCTACGAGGATAATCTGTAATAATTTGAGTCAAATATAAATCTTTAGCAAATATCTCATCTTAGCCTTCAATCTTAACCACGGCATAACTAAACTAGTGAAATCTTAAATAACATGAGTAAGTAACCTTGAAAATATATAAGCACTAGATGAAAACCCGGCTACGCTCGGGTGAAATGTGGGTAGATATTTCTGTAGTCATCGGTTCTCATGGAATGAAATAGATTTGTAAAGGTTCATTGTGTTTAATAAATATAGATAAAATGTGCAAAAATTTTATACAAATAATTTTTATTTTTTTGTAAATATTAAGTCAAAAAGAACTCGGTTAATAAAAAAAATTGCTTTGTGTCATGGAATATTATCAAAGTAAAAAACAAATTTTCGCGACTAGTGAAGAAAATGAAATGAAAAGATGCTGCGGTTTGTTTGTCAGTGTCATTAGAATTTAACGAAATACTCCATAATCCGAATTTTGCGGATATATGTTGTCTACTCGAAATCAATATTTTTTTATGTTTTGTTATTCACATAAGGTTTCGTTCGAGTCTACCGTACCCCTTGACGGAATTATTAATATAGATTATATAATAAATTAGATACCATTAAATGCGAATACTGAAACTGCAGATCTGTTCATCGGGTACTTACTCTTTGGCATAGCAATGCCGTATTCTTTTGAATCCAATTTATTGCCTACATTTTTTAAACGACAATCCCTTTGTCTAAAATATTCTATTGCTGTCGACTCCATGAAAAATGCGTAATTTCCATTTTTGCTCTTTAAAACTCGCTCTTTGCCCTCCTCATTGTTATTAGTAAATACTTTTGGTTTTGCCGACACCATTACACTCCAAATTTTTTGATAAACGGAATTGTTTGAGTTCTGGAATTGGAAGTTATGTACGTGACATAGGCGGCTATAATATTGGCTTTTTAATATTTTTCCTCTGTCCCAAATCGTTATTAGGATTACGATTTAGGGCTGACGAAAAAGATAAATAATAAAAGAAAGAAAGATAATAAAATAGACAAAAAAAAGTATTAAATATTTTAATACATCACTTATTAAAATATTAAATACTTTTTTTAGAGCTTATTTCTGACTAACACTTCAGTGATAAAAATATAAAAAAAACAATATTGCATTGTTTTGAAGTGTTGCGCTCACACGTCAGCAGTTCATAATATTTCTGACGACCACATCTAAGTTTACATTGTGAAAATATAATGAAATACTATAAACATAATATACTAAAATAAACAATAATAATCATCATCATCATCATCGCAGTCCGGAAGACGTCCACTGCTGGACATAGGCCTCCCCCAAAGATCTCCACGACATTCGGTCCTGCGCGCTGCTCGCATCCAATGCCTTCCAGCGATCTTGACCAGATCGTCGGTCCACCTTGCTGGAGGCCTTCCCACGCTGCGTCTTCCGGTCCGTGGTCGCCACTCAAGGACTTAGCTGCCCCAACGGCCATCTGTCCTACGAGCTATGTGCCCTGCCCATTGCCACATCAGAGTCGCAATTCTTCGGGCTATGTCGGTCACTCTGGTTCTTCTGCGGATCTCCTCATTTGTGATTCGATCACGGAGAGTAACTCCGAGCATAGCCCTCTCCATTGCCCTCTGAGTGACTCTGAGCTTGTTGATGGGGCCCATAGTTAGCAACCACGTCTCTGTTCCGTAAGTCATCACTGGCAACACACATTGGTCGTAAACCTTCGTCTTAAGACACTGCGGAAATTTGGACGAAAAGATATATATCGGAGCTTCCCGAACGCTGCCCATCCGAGTTGGATTCGACGATTGACCTCTTTCTCGAAATTGGATCTACCTAGCTGGATAGTTTGCCCTAAGTATAGGTAGTGATCGACAATTTCGAGTGTAGAATCTCCGATTTTTACGGGAGCAGGTACGACATGGACGTTTGACATAATTTTCGTCTTGACCATGTTCATTTTAAGACCTACTCCTTGTGAGACTCTACTGAGGTCTTCGAGCATTTTGCTAAGGTCTTCCAGGGTCTCAGCCATGATATCGTCGGCAAATCGAAGGTGATTGATGTACTCGCCGTTAATGTTGATGCCCAGCCCGCTCCAGTCCAGAAGCTTGAAGACATCTTCCAATACAGCGGTAAACAGCTTTGGCGATATGACATCGCCTTGTCTGACACCTCGCTGCAGTTGGATAGGCTTCGAATTCTGATCGTGGAGGCGGACTGACATAGTGGCGTTTTCATACAAACATTTCAACGCTTCGATATATCGATAGTCAATTTGGCACCGCTGGAGAGACTGTAGCACAGCCCACGTCTCGATCGAATCAAAGACTTTTTCATAGTCCACAAACGCCAAGCAAAGTGGCAGGTTGTATTCTTCGGTCTTCTGAATTACCTGCCGCAGCGTATGAATGTGGTCTATGGTACTGAAGCCTTTTCGGAACCCGGCTTGTTCGGGAGGCTGGAAGTCGTCAAACCTGCGTGTGAGACGATTCATGATGACTCTCGAAAACAACTTATAAACATGGCTTAGCAGTGTTACGGGTCTGAAATTCTTCAGAAGCGATTTGTCTCCCTTCTTGAAGAACAGAAACACCTCACCCCTTTGCCATGCTTGAGGCGTTCTGCCCTCGAGGATGACGGAGTTGAATATTAAAATGGCGTAAGTCACGAGTCAAGGACTTAGAGATCTGCCTGCTAAGTTGCCGATACTGGGAAGCGTCAGTCGGACACTGCAGGACCATACTTCGCCTTTCATCCATCAGTTTGAGGGTAGAGATAGATATTTTTCCAGTTCTTTCTGCGCGATGGGCTTCTCGTTGACAAGATGAAATCTATCTCGTTTTTTGTGGCACCATCGGGACTAATCCACGTCCATTTCCGGTTTCCGGTGTTCCTGAAGAAGGAGTTCATCATAAAGAGGCTCTCCTTCTCCATGAATTCGGCCAGCATTTGACCTCGGAAGTTCCGGTCACCGATACCAAATTGCCCCACTCTCAGCTCATCACCGCTTCATTTGCCCAATTTTGCGTTAAAGTCCCCCATGATAACGTTATAATGAGTCTTTGTACTATGTATGGCTCTGGAGATATCCTCATACATAGCCTCAACCTCATCCTTGGAGTGCGTCGAAGTTGGAGCATACACTTGGATGACCTTCAACGAATACCGTTTGGTAATTCTGAGTATCAGGTACGCTACCCTAGTCGACACGCTCTCGACCTTGATAACATTATTCACAAGGGACTTGTGGACGAGGAACCCGACACCGCCTTGGGACAGTTGATCGCCCTCTCGGAAGTAAAGCAGATTACCGGATTTCAGGACTATCGAATCCTCCCCCTTTTTTCGTACTTCAGATAATCGCACGACATGCCAGTACAATCTGCTCAACTCTTCCTCCAGTTCAGTTAACTTTTCGTCGGTCCGCAGTGTTTGAACGTTGTATGTTGCCAGGGCCAGTGGTCGTCGTTTGTGGTAGCCTTACCCGGAGTAGCCTAGGTCTTACCCGGATATTCTTCGCACCCCCTGCCCCGCCGTTTCCATGACCGCTACCATGGTCAAGACTAGCGGGGCCGCCGGGGACTGGGGGCCGGGGCCTTGGGTGTAAATCCATATTGCCATAATCGCCACGCATGGCATGCGGGTTGGCGATCGCAGTATGATGGTAGTTACTCAGTAGAACGCTGCTGCCCGTCCACTGGTCGATGAATCCCTTAGTCGCCTTTTACGACACCCACGGGAAGAGAGGGGGTGATGCTATTCTTACAGCGGCACCACACGCCAAATAATAATAATACCTTAAAGAAATTATAAGTAGAAGCATTGTACACGGCACCATAAGATACTTTAGTTTGTTCGGAAAGTTGTTTGACATTGGTGATCTCATTACTGCGACGTTCATTACTAATGAACGTAGACATGTTAGCGGTGTAAGACGCTGTGATGATTAAGGCAAAGAACCACCATACACCAGCAGTCCAACGTGATCCTTTTCCTCTGAAAAGGTAGAATACAAAAAAGAATTATGCAGGCAGATTCATCAACATGATTATCCGAATTGAACTTAGTAAGAAATCTTAATCTGAGTTGATCTGAATTTCCTTTGGAAAACAATAACATGAATTCGATGCAATGTTACCCTAAATATCGTTGAATATATTAATATTGAAAGTGACTGCGAAGTAGTTTTATATACACCCCTCTGTTAAATTATATATTTAAATAAATATTTTTCTGGTATATTCATTCTAAAAAGAAACAAAAACAACAAAGTAAATAATTAAACTCTACGTCTTTTACTTCAAAAATTAAATATTTTATGTCTCAAAAATAATATTAAATATTTCGGTCATTGTACATAATTGTGTGTATAATTTAGACAGAAGCATTTTCTTCTTCGTTTTTTCTTCTTATTTATTTATTAGAAATATTTATGTGAAAAAAGTTCTTTTTGATATAATTATTTCTTTATTTCTTATGTTCATAGATTCAATATACAGAAGATAATTGAACAAAGACAATAAAGTAATATGACAAATTATTCTGTAGTAGCATTACAAATTGATCATACTTCAGTGTTATAAATTTGAATATAGGCGGAAAATAATAGAGTTTAACCCTACCATTTGTCATACCTTGGCAATATATCGCAGCCCTGAGTCATAATAGCACCCATTGTGAGCCACATGCAATTGTATAGACTCCAGATATTCTGCAAATTTTCCGGATTCTGATTACACGGATGTGGGTTGACCCAATCATCTTGGCTCATTCTAAAAACAATATATGTGCAATGTGATAAGACAATGATATAATTTTTATTTATTTTATTTAATTTGATTCGACCAATTTCAAATTATACAATATATTTCAACATCATTTAGATTTTATTTAATTCACTCAGAATAATCGTCGAATAGGATTTAACTAAAGTATTTTAATCGTTGACTACCTTGCACAAATAAGTAGTACAAATGAGACTATTATGTAAGTTGTTGCCAAATATAACCAGACATCCAACGCTAGAGGGTTGATAAATGAGAACATATCTGGGTCTACGGGATCGGGTTCCTTGAATAACATACTGATTCCCAGAGACATAAAGGGTATAGAGAAGTCAACAACAGCGTTCCTCTCCGAAGTGATAGTTAAATCACATATTGCCAATTCAGCTTTCTGCAAAACAATATTTATATTGTGGTTGATTCTGTCTTTATCATATATAGTGTGAAATTTGTAATATCTTGCAATTGCAAAAGAATGCATTAAAAATAAATTACAAAAAAACACAAAGAAGCATACTTTACTCTCAATGCAATTCAATACTACTGTGCATTTACCATAAATTTGTAAGGCTTGATTTCAGACTTTTACCAGAGGTTCAAGTAGACTGTAAAATGACCTTAATCTCGCCTTTTCGACCTCCAAGCAGTTTGCTTTGTAAGCTGTGTTGGGGTTGTAGGGTGCAGATTAGTCAGTGAAATTACGTCATAAGAAGCATAGTATCCTAGTTCTCTGGATTAACAACGATAAGTGGGATCCACTGTGCTGTTCGTGTATATAGGCGTTGATTACCGCTTACCATTAGGGAGGGCGTCAGCATGTTGCCGTTTCAGTTAATAAAACCGGCATAACAATAGTTCATATCATTTTAATATAAATTTTGTTATTTTCCTTACATGTTCTATTAAATCGCCAATGAGTCCATCCCACTTGTTTGTTCCAGCTATAAGATTACCATGCTTATTACCATCAACTATGTAAAATTCATATTCCAGTTCAACATTTTCTTTCTCTTTTATTTCTTCAAATATTGCATCAATTAAGTCAACTGCGTAACCTCGGTACTCGCTTGTACCATTTGGATTTTCATAGATGCCATAATAAGGTTTTTCATCTCTGGTTGCTACCTATAACCACATATCATTATATTATGTTAATTCGAAAAAGTAAAATCTCTATTACAGTTAATGAACGAATATAATGGATATATATAGGTATAGGGTTAATCAACAAGAAACAAACATAGTCCCGTGATAGATTTAACAGAAAAACATCAAAATTTATATTTAGATTTATTTCATTAATTAAAGTCGATCGTCGTCATAGTACATCGTCTTTTGCTACTGGTCCTTTTGCGCTTGGGTAGATTATCTTATTCGGTCATAGCCTAATATATATAGAAATTAATAAAATAAAATATACACATATGTATATATTACCCTTATTTTAGTGTTGTATACCAAAGCCCTTGAGCGGTCTGTTACATAGTTCTCTTTTGTAATAAAATCCGTTTTAGAGTCCCAGTGTCCAATATTTACAAACTGGCCATCATTACTCAATTTCGAATAATGTAAAGTAAAGTTTGTCCTTCTCCCTCCTTCATCAAATTGAATATTTCCCGTGAAGCCTAAAGCCGTTGTCTGAAAATATCATACAACACACACATAATATAAAATGTGTTTTTTATTAATGTCATTCAAATGACCTCATATTATTTATAGTAATATGATAATAACCTTAACATTTCACATAAAGCCATCTAGTCAGAATTTAAACAGTATATGCTATTGTAACTAAACTTCGGATAGATATTACTTAAACATTTTTTTTATCGTAAATATATTAACACATATCAATATAAACCCTGACACTCATAAATATATGAGTGTGTCAAGAACATCGTACAGAATATAGTCGTGACTGTCGAACGTGAGCTAAACCGCTACACCGGCAAGCCCTTATTTCAGGGATTTTTTTTTAACTTAATTAAGTTCAAAATCAAGTATTTTATGATTATTCAAAAACATTCAGCATTTATATCCATATTTTTTCTTTTAAGAAAGAAACATTTCCTTCTTCATGCACTTCCCATATGTCAAAAAATGTCACGTATCAACAGAAATCCCTAACGGATAATATTATTTGATGAGTCGCAGTTTCAGCGTCGTATCCAAAGAACTTTGTGCAACTTTCACAGAGAATACTTCGTCCGCAGAGTAGTAATATTTTGTCATATTTCCTGTCATCATTAAAATTAGTGAATCTTCTGAGAATAATGCAATGCAATATCAAAGGATAAAAGGTAGATTAGATAGATCGTATATAAAATAAAGTCAAACAACTCCCAACCATAATCATGTAAGTGAATGTAAAAAGTATAAATCTCTAGTAGTTCTAATGAAGCAACACAAACAGGAAATACGTACATTTAAAAGAGCTTCCCTCAAAATATTTCCAGATGCCCAAGCAAAAGCTTCGTAGTCTGCTTTAGAATCTTTGTAACATATAGACGGCGGTTCCGGTGGTAGATGCGGTCTTAGTGAAATACTCGGTCCCTCTTCATCGCCTGCCTGTTGCATAGCTCTAATAGCTTTTTCAACATGATTCAAAGCATCGACAACTAAGGCCGATTCTAACTAAAAATCAAAGTAAAGTAAGTTTAGCAATTAGCAGATATTTGTCAATGGAATATAAAAAAGAAAAGCCACGAAACTGATAAGTGCAATGCACTTATAAAATATTCCTGGTATCGTGATAGTAAATCAATCAAAATTATCATTAAGTGATTTAATTCAGTAGTAAATAGTAGTTGTTACTTCTGAGTAAATACACCACATCCAAAAAGCGTGAAAAAGAAACTTTTATCATTATTCTCAGTATCATTTTTCAAATGTTTTCACAAGATCACAATTATTCAAATACACAAACAAATAGATAGACAAACTGTTTATTTGATCGTTACCAATTTTTTTTTAAATATGGCATTGTAAATATCTTGTATTCATAAGTACTTAAATTATCTGCTAAGTGGAAGTTTTTTGCTAAACTACTGTACAAAATTTAATATCTTACCCTTATTGCTCCTTTATTTTTATTAATTCCAATATCTGTCCATTTGTCATCTCCACTCGTAGTTAAATGCATTGTAGAAATATTTGCTAATAAGCTGGGAATATCATTAAAGTCAATGGTATATGAATTAAGATCCGTTAATACAAAACTCTGAAATGTTAAAAATGTTATATCATGTATATTGTGTCATTCAACATTCTTAACCAGTATCGTCATTACTTGATCAATTTCGAAATTATACAATTGCGGAGCAAAGTTATCAACGAAAAATAAATGTTCAAAGAGAAAATCTCTAATAGTGACTGAATGAAAGGAATCATAGAAACAAAGATAATGGATATTCCTAATTTGTTCATGGCTCCGTAAACGAATTAAGATTGTTTATTTAAATGAATACGTAATGAATTGTGATTCTTGGCTAAAATCTGAGCACGCCACATAGGTGAATCTAAATATGCAAAATTAAATGTGAATATTGTAGACGAGTCAGTCCGGATGAAGTTATTGTATCTAATAAAAACAATCTATATTCTTTCACTTCATAATTATTACTTTTGTACCTTTCTTAAAGATCAATTTAATTACTTTGGCACCAAGAACACACACAGACAAACAAACACACTTCGTTAAAGCTTGAGATATATGTATACTCAAACAATGTTGCGGTTTAATAAATAATTTAAAGGAAATTATTACCAGATACTCCGTAGAATTTTCAACTTGCATAATTTCCCTCATATACTTAAATACATTATTAATATCACAATCTAGTACGTGATAACTTATATGAACTGCTTTTAGAATATATTTAAATGTTTCTTTATTATCCCCAGTGGGATCTAATTTCCTGAATACAATCGGCTTCTTCTCCTGGGGCCACGTATTTATTATTTCATGAAGGCGAATAAAACCTACAATAAAGGAATATATTATTAGGCGATATTATTGAATTACAATAAAAAAAAATCCTTCACATTTTTGCATATTAAAACGATTATATTATATGATTTGTGGGATACCAAGAAATTAATACTTAAATAGGCTAGTTGGGTCTGATGGTCCGATTTGAGAAACACACGATTTTGACCTAACAAAGACCCGACCGTTCAAGTGTCAAATTGTACGTAAGTACACATAGACAATTAGAAGGTGAAAAGGATATGAAATTAATTTTATCTATATTATTATGTTCGAAATAATAAGCATATAAAATATTAATAATCTATGTTCAATACCTTTATATATAGATATACTTTATAGTGCATGTTGCTGTTCATGCCACTTATCAATAGATGTGTATCTGTGTTTGTGTGTGATATGTGGTATCCCAGGGACATAATATAAACCAAATATACAATTACATAAATTGAAAAATATGTGTCCTAGTATCAACTAAATGTAAATTTCCAATAGACATAGAATAACCATACAGCAAGCTTGCAACATATTCACATGTTGCAAGCTTGCTGTATAGTTATTCTAATCAATATTGTGTTTAACAAAACATCTTATGTCTTATTAAACACAGATGTTATTGAATTATTATTATTATTAAAAAGTACCGATTTAAATTAAAGAAAAGAAACATATTCCCACTTTTCAACCGACTATACTAAAAGTACTTTCAAATGATACAGCAAAGAATAAAAATACTAACCGTTCAGCGTTCATAACCTAAACTAGCTAATAAATATTATTCTACATTTTGTAGGTAATGTTAGTGCATAATACATACTGTTATCGTCTTCGTACAAAATTGAAAACTTATCCCATTCAAGATCCTTGATAAGTCTTGCGTATGCTTTGGAAATTAGGTCCGGTGGTGGATAGTAAGAAAATGTAAATATTTCTTCTGTCAAAGTATTTGGAGGTTCCCAACCTAAAGATAGATGTGGTATCTGAAATCACATTAAAATTAATGAGCCTCGTTTAAGCCGTTATAGTTTTAGGATAAATAAGTGCGTATTTACTGTAGTCGAAAGTTTAATGATTTCAACCGAGTTCATCAAGGTTCTCCATTCAACTGTGCAACTTTACACTATATAAAAAAATATATTTTTTTTATATAGTGTTAAGAGACGAAATTAGTTAAAATATTTCATAAGTTTAAAGTTAGTTATTTTGAACATATATTAGCGATTCTCTTTTCAAATTAAATGACTAATAATATACATATAAAATAAAATCAGTTCAAATGTAAGGCCAATATTGATGTGTAAAATAAATTAAATCAAGAATGAAAGCATAATTTTGAGGAATAAAAGCTAAAATTATTGTCTCAGTAAGTCGTATACGAAACGAGAGCTGTTGAACAATTAATTTTCGTATTTACATTAATTACGGTGGTAGGCTCGCCTCCTGCTACGTGGAAATCAAATATACCTAGTCAACATGGAAATATCAAATTCACCACAATGTCTACATTTAACATGTTTCTGATATTCTCATTTGGGATGTCAGTCTTAAAGATGTAAATATAAGTGTGTTCATATCACTTACGTATAAATACTAGGTATATTGTGTCTTCGTGCTATACGTACATTATTAAATTTTATTAGATTACTTACATTAAATCTATTGCAAAGTAAGCATACAGTATCACAAAGACCGTTTGTTGCTCGGGCATCAATCAAAGCTACTATGCCATTATTTTCTGAAGTATGTTGACATACTGTAAAAAGAAGCAATTTAAATATAACGTACAATCTGTCTCATCATACAAAAACTATAAGACTTTAGATGAGTAGCAATTTATACATTTGTAGAAGACAGTATATTCAAGGACGTCGATTATGGTGTCATATCATGTTTTCAAAAAAAATTACGACATCATCAAATCATCATAAAATCTTATAATAAAGAAAATGTAATATTCTTAAAAACACAGAAAACACAAGTTTGCACGCAATCTATAAATATATAAGAAAAAAATATGAACTGATTCGTATCAACGCTGTTAGTAAAACAACTAAGTCGAATAGTGATTAATTAAATAATAAGAAAAAAAATGAATGCTTTAAATAAAAAAAGAAATGTGTTTATTATAAAAATAAAATATTTATTTAGGAAAGGAGTATTAGGAAAATAAACAGATAGTACTAAAAAATAATGCCTGTGACAGTATTCATGAAACTAAACAACATTCCTAAAGCTGCAAAACGGAAAATTAAAAAGTAGTTTAAACAACCGAACTGTGACTAATTTAGTATGAAACGTACAAAAAATGATATATTTGGCTTTTATTTCTTCGTGAAAGCGGTTCAGTTTCATGAGTATTCTACCTGGCCATTCGCATGATATCCATATGGTTTACTGGTCTGGTATATAAAACAGTTCTTTCAAATATAAAAATTTTAACAAATTGAATACATCATTTTTTTTAAATACCATGTACCAACTTACATTCTAAAGCTGTTGAGTAACTATCTTCAGCATCAGAATACATCGTCTTGCCATAGTACACCTTAGAATCACCCATTTTAATTATATTCTCGAATGCCTCTTTCGAGCTCGGTTGGGTGTAGCTATTGAAAAGACCGCCTGAAACAAACAAAACAATTCGAACTATGTAATAAGTACGTTGCTTACTATTTGATTTTGTTGCTTGGGAATAACATACCGATGGGTAAACTGATCGTTCGTGCTGCATTTATTGGTATTAATGGATAGAAGAGAAATAAAAATAGTATTTCAATGCGCGTCATGTTGGTTTTGTCGCCATTTATGAGTAGATTATTGTGTTGATGTGTGGATGTCGCGTAGTATAAGACGGACGCTTCCACACGATCTGAAGTATTTTTGGAAAACAATTTTAGGTCACGACGCTACCCATCGCTACGCCCGCTACCGTCGCGACGTTGGGCATTCGTCACGATTGACGAAACGTTCTTTCATTATTGATAACTACGGAAATAGTTTAAGTATGAATGTGTTAAAATATTTTTTAAATCGTTATTATATATTATTTTTACTGGTACGTTCATTCATAGACTTCGAAATGTGAAATGATAAAAAGTTCTTGTGTTTTAAGTTTAGAGAAATATATTTCTTTATTGTGTTAGAAATATTAATACTCTTTAATTTAAATGAAAATAATATTAAATCATTTTACATCTTTCATTTCATATATATATATATGTTACGTATCAATAAATAAGTACATACCTACGTCTTGTTAAAGTAATTTTACCGTACTAAAAACATGTGTATGTTTACTATTATTCTATACTATTGCCACAATGTGTTTTCTCTGGCTAAAAAATGATTAATTTACATATTTCTACGTATAAGAAGAAATTTATTTGCCTGCTGCCATATCCGATGTATTCGTAACTCTGTAAGCGTTTAATTTTGTTTGGGCGGGCGGGAAACCAGAGTTTAGTCTATCCAGAAACATTACTTCGTTGAAACGCCAAATTGTTAAAAACATTATACATTTATAATGTTTTTTGTGTACCTTTAGGGGGTAACAAATTTTATAACTAATTAATATGAAGTGGATATTTTTTATTATCAGTTTGTTTATACACAAGTGTGTTCCTGAAATTCGTGTTACTGAAACTAAGGATATAGCCTATCAAATTGGTGAGTAATTCGAAATTATTACTATTGTCTATGTCGAGAATTAGCAATTAAACAACACTTGACCATAGTTTTGTATATATTTTATACATAACTAACCCTTCTTTCTTTCTTTCATTCTTTGGTATAAATCTTTTTAATCGTGTAATTTACTTAAAGAAAACGAGATTGCAACTTTAATCAATTTTCCCACTATGTCCTAAACGGTGTTGAAAGACTAATGACATACTGTCTTTGTAATGATCACAAACTTTACCACAAATTACATTCTATGCCATGTAGTTAACTTGATTTTGCTGTGGAATGCCACTATACTGCCAATATACTATTATATATCATCATTATCATGACAAACCTTTAATATCCAAATGCTGAGCATTAATCTCTTCACATTATAGGGAATTTAGTACTATATTACCACCCTATACCGATCTGGTGTTAATTGCATTCATTGCAGTTTACTTTCTCTTTCTTTCTCTAACAACTTACACTAATATATTTGTAGTTTATTGGTCTAGTCACCTCTTACGATAGTCTGACGATAAAAGGTATAATGATACGTTAGCCGTAACTCTCTCCACTTAGACTGTTTTGAATGCCTTATCATATACAGCTAACTTAAATTATATTTTGTACCTATTTTTTAATCGGTTCCTGGAAGGTTTCAAAACACAATAAAACCCGGTTGACAGCACTGCTTCGCCTAGGGAGATGCAGTCTGCCGCGACTGATAGTCATAGACGCACTATAATTATTACACTAAATATTATTACATGTAGCCGGCATATTCGAACGCGAGTCAACAACAGAACAATATGCATTCAACGAAAGTGTTCACCATGGACACGTGCGCGGCTTCAGATTGGCACCCGCCATCTTAAAACCCGATAGAACGGATAGCTACTCGGTATGGAAAGAATGTAAGTACATTTTATAGTATCTCATGTAATTAGATGTAAGAATTTAATAAAACAATATTTCTTTAAAGCTATGAAAATAGCGTGTACAACAAACCATATTTTTCACTGATTTTAAAATAAATGAACTAAATAAAATACATTTAAATAAGTTTAATAAGAATTTAGAATTAAAATATGATTGCAGTATTTACTTAGTTTCCCTTGTCATCTGCGAGATTGAATTATCTACTTTTAGAAAAAAAATTTTGGTTTTTCTTGGGAGTCTTGGGACGTCAAACCAACAATATTGTGAACAGTCATCTATTGTCAACACATATAATAGATATCTAATGTATACAGTGATGAGTCTTCTAGTTCCCATAATACAAACCCTACTTAGCTTGGAACTAGACAACACTATATGAGTTGTCATGAGATATTATTATTATTTATTACAGTGTGTTCAGATAGCGAAATGAGACCAATAGCTGTGGTTGGCCCGCAAAATCCTATCACTGATGGAATAGTACGAGATCAGTGCGCTAGATCCCACATACCACATATTCAGGCGACGTGGCAACCTCTTGATCCTGACCTTGAACTAGATGAAGAAATAACAGAAGAGCCTGTCTTCAAAAAAATTAGTATAAATTTTTATCCTGATTCGAATGAAGTTTCATTGGCGTATGCAAAACTATTAAAATATTACAAATGGGAAAGTTTTTCGGCGCTATATGAAGATGACTTAGGTAAATATTTAATTATATCATTACATATACATGTATAGTTACTTATGTGATTTAATTATATATTTTTAATATCTACAGGTTTGCTAAGAATACAGAAGATTCTTGCGGAACACACTGAAAAACATCCTGTAAATTTACGTAAACTTGACCCGAATACAGATAATCGACATGTAAGTTTACTTAATTTTGTTCGTATTCTGTTTATTTTATTACAATGGATCCGCCCAGCCCTACTTTGTCCTCTAAATTAACATATATATAGTCTATGTTAGCAGTTAAATAATTTTGAATTTATCCATTATACATAAAAATTAATACAAAAAGTAATCATACTTCAAATTAAGTTTTGAGACAATTAAAAAAGAAAACCATTAGTCCATAATCATTCTTAAGATGAGAGTTTGTTACCTCTTTTAGCAAAGAAATGATTCCTGTATATTTTTTTCCATAAGTAGACACATTATTCAGTTTTGAAAATATAAATTTACTCGAAGAATTCTACATGTTTTGTCTAAGCCGCCAATTTTTATGAAAATTTTAATACATATATTGGATCTTAAAAAAACATAGGCTATACTTTATCACGAAACCAACAAAGGATGTTTGTATTCAGTGTCCGTCTTTTCTCGAGTAAAATTTTTATACGCCAATATTTATGGAATAAATTTGCGAGTAACAACTGGCGGATAAAGCCAAAAGCATATGCATTTGCATAAGATATTATTTATACATAATGTAAACATATCGTATACTCATCTGTATCAGAGGTGTCACGTGTATATAGCCAACATTAATCCGTTTCCTCGGAAGCCCTTTGAGAATCCTATTCACTGCATAATAGGTAAGCTATGTAATATATAGTCTACTATACTAATACTACATTAAATTGTATAATGTTATTTCATTGAAATTACTATTAACTAGAAAATCATAAATTAGCATAATAAACCACCATTTAATATCACTTTTAGGTGTTTAAAGATCTAAAACAATATCAAGAAAGTCGATTTTTAATTGATTGCCATGCTGATAATATTCTGAAATATATGGACGAAGCTCGAGAATTGAAAATGGTTAATCATTATCAAGTACGTGCTTAGATATAATATTGATAATTTACTTTATATATAATATATTTATAAATTTATTGAAAATAAAATATTTTGATATGATTAAATTACAGATGTGAATAACATAGTCATATTGACGCAATCATTGTTATCGTTTCAGCATTACATATTAGTCAATATGAACGCATATACGGTAGCCGATAAGTTAACTGAATTTCAGTCCAACATTACATGGCTCAGCATTACAGAATATGATAAACTAAATAGTGGACAACACGACCTCGCCCAACGAGTAGGAAAGTGGATCAACAGCAATTCACAATCACCATTCGTCACCAAATACAATGTATATTGTTTATTTTTATTAATTCGTTATTTCTTTTTTTATATAATTATGTAACTAGAACAGCAAACATGTTGACGGACCATCTGATGATAAGTTGTGACTGTCGTCAATATACATGAATAACACCACGGCATCACGCAAGGTGTGCGTTGACATTCCATGCATGCGGACTACGATGTTATGTTTCTATATCCAGTAATTTCACTAGCACATATGGTCGGGTACGATAGCATTTTCGACCGAAACATATCGTATAAAGCAAGCAGCTTGGTGATTATAATAAGTTAGACTTTTGTAGCTATTCTCTATTCTTTTATTCTATGTTATTGAATATAATGTGTCCTGTTACTGTAAAATAATGTTTATTGGATCAAGTAACTGTCATTTGTTTGTAGATTGAATCATTGATAATGGACGACATATCAAATCATGTACTGACAGCTTTGCAAAAGATAGACGCTGATAATTTTGAAGAACCAAAGAATAGTATTTGTGAAGAAGATGCAGAACCATGGGAATTCGGAATTCAACTGCAGGAGGCCATACTAAATGTATTTTATTGTAAACTTTTGTCTATGACATAAATAAATATTATTTATATGATGCTTGGGTTTATACAAAATTTTAATATATATGTATATAAATATAATTAGTGTCAGACATATAAATAAGAATTTTAATGTTACAGACTACGACCACTGGTGTTACTGGAATTATAAATTTTGATGAAATGGGTAGAAGAACAAATTATAAGTTACATGTAAATGAAATTTATTTATCTGAAAGACAAACTATTGGTACATGGGAATCACCTAATGGTGCTAAAATTATTGAAGATCGGCCCACTACTGATAGTATAACAAATTTACAAACTAGCAAGCACTTTATTGTAAGTATTAAATAATAAAATATTTCAGGACTATTTAATTATACTAACTAATCAAACAATCCTGATTAATAAGCATTACCACTTCTAAGCGGTATATATTTTTATGACATTGAATTAATTTCAGGTTATATCAAGAAGAGCTAAACCATATTTTTATGATAAACAAACGTGTGAGGAAGATGCAACAGATTGCGAGGAAGAAGATGCTGACCCAAAATACGAGGGTTTCTCCGTAGACCTTGTTAAGGAAATCTTCCGAATTCTACGAGAAGAAAAGTACAACTACACCTACTCCTTCTTTCACGATGAAGACAAGTCCTATGGAAAATATAATTCACTCACAAAGAAATGGGATGGATTAATAGGTGACTTATTAGACAAAGTAAGTATAAAACTAAAATAATCCCTAATATAAAACTAAACTTTGTAATAAACCTTGTATACGCAAAACTTATTATTGATGCAGTGATTCGACTTATACATATTAGTAATAATGATATGATAGTAATGAAAGTGTATTTTGTTATTAATTACGTGATTAATATTAAAGGATAAGAAGTCTAATTATCTAATGAGATCACGACCACTACCATGTCTCATTTATAATATCGTCGTTTCTGTTATTGTGAATACTACCTGACAAATCTATTTAGAAGAATTTACGACACGATTGACGACTGATTTTTAAATATCAGTACCGTTGCACGTACTCATATATCTATATTAACAGCAATATGAAAGAAAAAAAGAACTAAGCATCATATCTCATTCCAGTATATTTGTTTCGTTTGCAATATAAATATATAAACATTTACAAAATTAGTCTTAACATAAGGAAAAAAATTCTTTCAACCCTCAGAAAGCTGACTTAGCAGTTTGTGATTTAACTATAACAGAAGAAAGAAAGAAAGTTGTAGACTTCTCGGTTCCGTTTATGTCATTGGGAATCAGTATATTGTTTACGAAGGAAAAGGAAGAACCTCCAGGGACGTTTTCATTTCTTAACCCCTACACTTTTGATGTTTGGATGCATACAGCTACCGCTTATTGTGTCGTCTCTATTGTACTTTTCGTTTGTGCGAGGTAATTATTATATTGTTAATACATTCCAAAATTAACAAATCAAATTTTATGTTGTAATTAAATTTATTCGGCAATATACCTGCATTAGCATTTAAAATTTATTAACAATAAACAACGACTAAAGAAATCAATTAATATATATTTTCAGGTATTTTATGCGAGGAATTGTTCAATTATTAAAATCGTCAACCAATAATAATATTAATTATATTACAAATATTAATGAGATTACACAATTTGATGCAATTGAATCGAAGAAACATACTTAGTTGTTATGTCTTAGATAATATTTGATATATTAATAAAAAGTCTGACAAGAGAAAGTTAAAAAGATTTTATTTATAGGATATCTCCAGCGGATTGGGAAAATCCACAACCTTGTGACAAAGATCCCGAAGAATTAGAAAACATATGGAACTTCAAGAACTGTGCCTGGCTAACCATGGGATCCATTATGACGCAAGGTTGCGACATTTTGCCGAAGTAAGTTACAAAGCCTTATTGAAATTACTTTTCCTTGGTTCTTACATAATAAAAAATGGCTCCTTTATTATTCGAAAGCTGCATATCTTGATAACTTGATCCACTTTGATTGATACTTTACTATTCGATACTTCATTGGCCATAGCTCATGACGTATTTTGATCCATAGCAGACATTCAATAAAACAGCATATATGACAGATATGGCAGTGAAATATACTCAGGTATAGGAACCAGTGGACATGCATATATATCATGATATATGAGGGTATCATAATATACATCCATGTCTATAGTATCAACAGATCATTGTTGGACGGTTACCACATTTCAACAAGTAGATTACATAAAAATATGACGACCAGAGTCACAGATTGAGGATAAGAAAGTTTCTTGCTTTAATTACTTATAATATGTATAATTACTTTGAGGGGTCTAGGCACGCGTTGGATTTGCGCCATGTGGTGGTTCTTTGCAATGATTGTATGTCAAACTTACATCGCTCAGCTGTCGGCTTCCATGACGTCCGCTCGCGCTGATGAACCCATCAACAGTGTTGAAGATTTAGCAAAACAAAATAAGATATTATATGGTGCTATTGATGGTGGATCAACGCTGGAATTCTTCAGGGTAACTATATTTATTATTCTTTTGATGATCATGATCTGCGTTTTCGAATCTGTATACATAATTATATATATACATTAAGTCTAATTACATTCTTTAAGAAGGATAAAAATCTATTTCCACCTAAATGGACTGAAGTCGATCGGCCTAAGATTTAGGTGAAGAAGTAGAAAGGAGTAGATTTACGATTCAACGGTAATTCTTTACAATCATATCTGTAGACGTATTACGAGAAAACTTCTTTTTTTCAATTTTTTAAATTAATAATTTTCACTTTTTTACTGTCACATAATTCAGTTGTATATTTTGTATGTTTGTGGGAGAAGAGAGTCAAAAAGGTACATTTATGTATTCTAATTTGGGCTTTGAAATCATCGTTTAATTACGGCACACAAAATAATTAATCATTTTTTGTAGCATAATTAGTTATAAAGAAGACATACTCGTCACCAAAAGATTATTTTTCAAGTAAGATACATTTAATTTGCAGTCTTCCAAAGACAAAATGTACCAAAAAATGTACCAGAACATAATTGCACATCCCGGAGTTCTTGTTAACAGTAATGAGGAAGGTGAAAAGAGAGTACTCAATAGTAAAAATAAATACGCATTCTTCATGGAATCTTCCACTATAGAATATAAACAAAAAAGAAACTGCGACCTTGAGAAAGTGGGTGGCCAACTGGACTCAAAGGATTATGGCATTGCTATGCCTGCTAGTAAGCTAATTGTAGTCAATATTAATAAATCAATTATAATTATTTGCAAAATTTATTTATTATACAAATATTGGACTGATACAATTGTATCAAGTAAGTAAAATGTTATATTTTATTTTTATTTTCAATAGACTCTCCATTCAGAAGTCCAATTAATAGAGCTATTCTAAGATTAAAAGAGCTTACCATTTTAGAAGAAATTAAAACAAAATGGTGGAATCGAAAATATGGTGCAATCACATGCCCGGTTTGTAACTGTATTATTTGATATTGTTTTATGTTACTTTAATTTAATAATGTTTTATATTATTTGCTAATATTCTGTTTATTTGGTTTGATGCTTGACAGCCATAAAATATGTATCACTTAGATATTAATAGTTGTATGATATTTTCATGATTATTCATTTCTTCATCACAATGAGTTTATGATTCGTTGGTTGCTTGCAACGCCATCTAACGCCAAATATATAAACTATTTCACAAATCGCATACAACGCACGTTACGTCATATTGTATTGAGACTGTTTTTCTATTTATTAGTATCTACTAATAAACATTACTACTATATATTATGAATAAACTAAAATTCGTTGTGGATGCATGTATACAAATACACAGATAGACAAAACATTCAAAACTCTGTTGTTTAAATTTCTGTTGCTCTAAAAAGATACTCTTATTAGTTTATTTTTTCAGCATCAGGAAGGTATAAAGGTCCTGTTAAAATTTTTAATATAACTAGAGCTACCTATGTACAGTAAGTATCAGCAGGTAGACGACTATTGTTGCGGACCACGAGTCGGCATCGAAAATATGTAAATAAATTTGTGTATAAATTTGTATTTTTCCAGTGTTTTGACTATTGTTTAGGTTAGACTATTGTTTGTACCATATACCCAGCGGCATAGATACTGTGAATTCTATGCCCGCCCATTGTGTAAATTCTTAGATCACAGCTTTAGTGTAGCCTGAACATGTGGCATTTAGTCGCACGTGGTTTTTTGTAGTTTTTTGTATTGTTACTATTGTATTTAATTTTAAATGTGTGCGTATTCGCTGTTCCGGCCCGTCGGTCACCGACATGTGCAGGAATTGTCGGGATAACGGCCGACGCGCACAGCTCGGCGGGGGTGGGGAAGGACGCGCTCGGGCGCCCGTAAAAGGCGGGTTGGTTCTCGATCGCGCTCTCTTATATATGCCACCGACGAAGAACCACCGCCGGCGCAACGACCAAGAAAACCCCACTCCGGCCGGCCGACCCATAGAATAAGAAACAAATTGAAATACAGTCCACATATTTTGAAAATCGAAGATCTTTTTAATTGTTACCCCACAATTTTGTGGTCCATCGCAGCCGCATATCAAGACTGAAGATCACCCAACGGTGCGACGAATCGCCGTGGAAGATCACCCAACGGTGCGACGAATCGCCGCGGAAGATCACCCAACGGTGCGACGTAACACCCAACGGTGCGACGTACCTCGCCGAGGAAGATCACCCAACGGTGCGACGCTAGCATTTTTTTGAATTTCAAATGCCGTCGTAAGGTGAAAACTTGAGGGTGCAGCGAGGATAGGATAAATAACGTCTTCGCCATATAGGATAGATAACTTCTAAGCGGTGTGTCCGCGGCTCACATCTCTTACCTCACGGTGTCAAACGGTCGGAGTGTGGGTTAACGCCATTGAGCGGTGCAGTGGGTGGTGTGTCACTGCCGGTTGTTGCTTGTTACCGTGGCGCAACCGAATAGCACTATTACGCCTGTACGTGTGTATCGTATAAAAGGGGCCGGAGAGAGAGCCAAAGGGGTCGAAAGTCGAACCGGCCCTGAGCGCCCCGTCTGTACATACACACCATAAATTATTTTATTCCTACCCTCCTATCCCCATAGTCCATTTTTTGTTATCCTGAGGGATTGTTAGGGACGTTAGGTAGGTAGGGACCGGTAGGTTAGTGTTTTAATGCCAGAACACGATGCCGACTACGAGAAGCCAAGCCACACGGGAGCAGAGAAAAAGACCACGCGGGAAAATGAACAGACAAAGCGTCCCCTTCAGAAACCACGCAGATGTCCGCGTCCGCCGCGCCGTCGAGCGCGCCACAGGCACAATGCCGCCCGCGCCGCGTTTACCTCGGACTCCGCACCGGCGCCACCGTCGCAGCCGCCGACGACAGATGTACGTCCGGCCCGGTCCGCGTCGGTTGTGATTCATATCTACCGCTAGCGGTATAGCTAAATTAAAGAGGCTGGAGTACGAGGCAGCGCTACAGATGGCGAAATTACAGGCTGATTTAATTAAAAGAAATTGGCAGCCGATGTCGCCGCGGTACATGAAGAGACCGATAGAGATAATTGTGCTCCGAGGAAGGTGCCGGCCTGCAACGTATAACGGATTGGTTTCAACGTACCGAAGTACGGGGAGCAGAGAATTAATTCCCCACCGCCTACGCAGAAAGAGCCAACAGAAAATGGCAAGCTTCACCGCCGAGGACGCCGAAGCAAAGACGGAGGTCCCCTCCTGAAGCCGGGATGCAAGAAGGATTCACCCGGTTGGCCAAAGCTATTGAACGAGCTGTGGACGAACGAGCGGATAGGGTAGCGCCGAAAAGGCAAGCCCAAGATCTCCCGATCTTCAGCGGCGAAGCAATTGAATAATAAATTTAAGGCGGCCGTAGACCAGTCTACAAAGACGTACAGGATCACACCAGCGGAGAACCTGGCCAGGCTGAGGGCCTGCTTACGTGGAAAAGCGAGAGAGACAGTCGCAGCGTTACTCGTATCCGCTAAACAACCGTCGCAGATCATGAGGACGTTGGAGCAGCGGTACGGCCGGACAGAGGCCATCATCGACCGCGCCCTCAAAGATCTGAGAAGGATGCCGGTAATAGGAACGTCGACAACAGAGGTGATTGACTTCGCCATTAAACTACAGAACATCACCACCATCGTCGCGGATATCGACAGGGGGGCGAGATTTCTACATAATCCCGCGCTTGAGAGTGAAGTGTCAGAGAAGCTGACCCCTCACATACAGGTCCACTGGTGTCACTACGCTGAAAAAAACAAGGAGGACACTAGACCTACGATCATCAAGATGGCAGAGTTTTTAATGAGCGAAGCCGATCTCATGACCCGACATCTGCGAATAGCATCACCAACGAGACGAACGAGCGCGCTACCCACGAAGCAGTTGTGAAGCAACCCACTAGGAACCCATACCGAAAGCAACGATGTCGGCACCTCGGCGACAGATGACGGATCGTGGCGCGGCCGTATAAATTAGAAAAATAGCGAACAGAGTACCGAATGTCGCTGTTGCGGCGCCGCACACGTAACGCCGAATATATTAGAAGCTGAACGACATGTCGTTATCGGACAGATGGGAGTGGGCGAAAACAAATAAGATGTGCTTCCAATGCATGAACAGCACGCACAGAAGGTTCGAGTGTACGGCACGCAAATGTGGTGTGAGAGAGTGTCGTAAGCCACACCACGCCCTGCTGCACCCCAGAAGAGCCGCCGAAGCGGCAAGAGGACACCGCGATTACAATCTTCAGCACGCTTGCCAGAGAACAGCCAAGTGTTGTTAAAGGTGTGTCCCATCATCGTGAAAGGCAAGACGGGACGCGAAGTAGAGACGTACGCGATGCTAGATGAAGGCTCGACGGTTACACTCATCGATGCGGAGATCGCAGAACAGATCGGAGCCGAAGGTCACGACGCGATCTCTGAGAATTCAGGGAGCGGCCTCGAGCTGGCACGAAGCCTCAAGCCGAGTGGCTGATGTCATCATCAGAGGGCGACACCATACGGACGAAGAACACTCGGTGAGGGCGCGTACGATCCGGGATCTCACCCTAGGAACGCAGCGAGTGAACCCGGAAATACTCGCGTACGGACACCTGCGACAACTCACTTGCGACCAAGTGTGCTAAAGATGCCAGACCCAAAAAATTGATCGGGTCAGACAACTGGCATCTGATTGTTACGCGGAAGCTGCTCACAGGAAGGCACAATCAATAGGCAGCGTCGCTGACACGACTGGGATGGGTCATCCACGGAACGGTACCCAGAAGTGTCGTGGAAGACGAGGAACATGTCCTCCACGTGCGGTTGACACAGCGCAACGCCGAGCCAGACATGCGGCATATAGAGGGCATAATAAAAGCGCATTACGACATCGACGCGTTGGGTATATCGTCGAAGAGATTACCCATTGCTAAGGAGACATTTTTCGCCACATTCAACCGCACAGCGACGAGAGTGGATGGGCGATACGTCGTAGGATTGCCGTGGGAGAGAGATAACGTCGCTCTACCTCCCTACGACATGGCAGCGAGCCGACTGAGGGGAATAGAGCGGCGGATGGATCGCTCTACGGAATTCCGGCTGGCGTATACCGCGGAGATAAACAAGTTGTTGGACAAGGGTTACGCCGAGGAAGTAACCGACGACCGGTTCAACAACGACCGCGCGTGGTACCTTCCCCATTTCGGAGTGACGAATCCGAATAAACCCGGAAAGCTGCGACTCGTATTCGACGCCGCGGCCCGTTCGAAAATGTGCTTGAACGACGCACTGCTGGATGGGCCAGATATGCTACGGTCGCTTAACGGTGTGTTATACCGTTTCCGCGAGAAGCCCGTAGCTATCACGGCGGACATACGAGAGATGTTCCTGCAGATTAAGATACGGGAAGAAGATAGAGCAGCACAACAGTTTCTGTGGCGAGGAGATGACAGGATTAACCCGCCGCAGAAATACGTAATGACCTCAATGATTTTCGGGGCGAGGAGCTCACCGTTCATCGCACACAGCGTTCGAGACAGGAACGCGGCAGAGCACCGAGAGTCGCACCCGTCAGCGTACACCGCCATAACAAGGAACCACTACATGGACGACTGGGTCGATAGCTTTGACTCCGAAGAGGAAGCAGCCCGCGCCATACGAGAGGTAGTAGAGGTTCATGGCGGGATAGGATTCACGCTGGCGGTTGGAATACAAACCGACCGAGCCTGCTAGAGAATGTGAGTGAGGACCAGCGAGCGAGGACGCCGAAGGAACTGGGAGCCAACGCACATCCATACGGAAAGACATTGGGGTTATTGTGGATGTCAGCCGAAGACCAGCTGGCGTTCAACACCGGCATGCCACGCGTCCCACGAGAAGTGAAGCACGGCACGCGGATACCGACGAAAAGGGAAGCCCTAGGAGCGGTGATGTCATTGTTCGACCCGCTCGGGCTGCTGAGCCCTTACACCATCACGGCAAAAATCATCTTGCAGGCGCTGTGGGTGCAGAAGGTCGAATGGGATGACCCTCTGCCCGCCGAGGAAGCGCGGATGTTCCAGGAATGGAGAGATGACTTAGCCTATATAGAGGAACTGAGATTGCCGCGATGGTATGGCACGAACGACAGCCAACGGTCGCAACTGCACGTATTCACGGACGCAAGCGAACAGGCATATGCCACAGCCGCGTATTGGAGGACGGAACGCGAGGATCGCAGCGTTAACGTCGTCCTGGTAGCAGCCAAAGCGAGGGTAGCGCCCATGAAAGCGCAGAGTATACCCCGGATGGAGCTTCAGGCGAGCCTGGTAGGACCCCGACTGGCCGCTGACGTACTGAAAGGACGTCGTCGCGCGGCCGAAGTCTTCCTATGGACGGTCTCGAAGAAGACGCTACATTGGACTAGGAACGACACCGCTCGATACAATCCACACGCGGCCCGCCGGATGGCAGAAAGCGCCGAACATACAGAACCAACACAGTGGCGCTGGGTACCGACCGCCCACGACGTAACTAACGACGCGACCCGCGCGAGATATACAATACGGACCGCCGCCGACAGATCCGTCGGGCCGGCGCTTGTATAAGAGAAAGAACGACCCAAGGAAAGCAAGCCCGTCCCTGCAGAGACGGTAGCCCATGCCCGGGCGAAGGCAAAGCCCGTAATGGACAGAACGCGGTTCTCCTCATATGACCGAGTGAGGAGGACCCCGGCACATGCTGCTGCTCGCAGACGAATGCAGGCGACGGGCATGGAAGCTGGGCCGGGAGCGCCCTGCCGAAGCGGGGAAATGGGTCAAGTGGCGTTGCGGTGAACGCGGACGGACGGACAGACGCGAGGGAATTTTTCGAAGGCCGACCCGAAGGCTGGTGGTCCTCCCTAGGGATAAGGGCTGCGAAGATCTGCGCCGGGGGGAGGCTGTTGCGGACCACGAGTCGGCATCGAAAATATGTAAATAAATTTGTGTATAAATTTGTATTTTTCCAGTGTTTTGACTATTGTTTAGGTTAGACTATTGTTTGTACCATATACCCTTTGTAGCGGCATAGATACTGTGAATTCTATGCCCGCCCATTGTGTAAATTCTTAGGGATCACAGCTTTAGTGTAGCCTGAACATGTGGCATTTAGTCGCACGTGGTTTTTTGTAGTTTTTTGTATTGTTACTATTGTATTTAATTTTAAATGTGTGCGTATTCGCTGTTCCGGCCCGTCGGTCACCGACATGTGCAGGAATTGTCGGGAGGGTGGGACGGCCGACGCGCACAGCTCGGCGGGGGTGGGGAAGGACGCGCTCGGGCGCCCGTAAAACGGGTTGGTTCTCGATCGCGCTCTCTTACGCATACGCCACCGACGAAGAACCACCGCCGGCGCAACGACCAAGAAAACCCCACTCCGGCCGGCCGACCCATAGAATAAGAAACAAATTGAAATACAGTCCACATATTTTGAAAATCGAAGATCTTTTAATTGTGTACCCCACAACTATAAATTATTATTTTTGTTTTTAGTCAGACACAGACAAAAGTGATGTGGAGGGTGACCTTGAAATGGAGAATCTAATAGGAGCTTTCTTAGTGTTGATAGTCGGCCTTATCTTTGGTATATTAATAACAGCGGCTGAATTCTTGAATGAAATCCGAAACATTGTCGTTCGTGAACAGGTATATTAAAGCTATCAAAATTATTAATATGCTGCATAATTCATTTACTCCTGTTAAATGCCAATTATAAATAAAATAAATTTATACTACTTATACTTAGAATATTTTTAAACACTAGTGTCTATAGTCTTTTTTCATTACTTTTAATAATCACTTTCAAAGTCTATGTAAAGAAATTATAAATTTAAGTCATATATTATATATGACTTAAATTTATAATTTCTTTAAGTGTAAGTAGCCATGATATTTTTTTTTTTATTTTTAAATTAATGAATATAAATATTTTTTTTTATTTGATGCAAATATTTGCTTATTTCTTATTTATAATTTTTACATATAATAATTATGTATATTTGCCAAAATCAAACTATACATGTAAGTCAGTATACAGACAGTTATAATAATTCAAATCTTATATCAGTTATTAAAGTAGTTCGATCCAAGAAAAACTGACAAGAAACTGTTACACCCTACCAAATTTTTTTGTTTATTTCAAATGTTCGCAAAAGAAAATCCATGTGGGGCAAGAATGATGTATTTTTAATAATAATTATAAATACATTAATATATGTATGCCTATTAATTCTATTAATAACAATAAACACACAGGTCACACATAAAGAAGCTATCGTGAAGGAACTGAAAGCATCTCTGAATTTCTTCCAATTAAGGAAACCTGTTCTGCGCAATCCCAGTAGAGCTCCCTCTGTCGCTATCTCAGATAAAAGTGAGGAGAGAGAGAAAAAACGGGCCGAACTTATCGAAAACTTTTTAGAGTTTGAAAAAGAGATGCCATAAATTTATTTTATTTGCTTTTACTTTTTATACAATATTTCATTTTTTTTTTAATGATTGTTTTGAGAACGTCTAGTACTTAATCTCTTAAATGTGTTTTAATTAATCAAAATTAATTACACGTTATTTAATGTAAATACTTACGCACACGTATTGTATGTCATTTGGTATTAAATATATTACAACACAAATATCTAGTTATTTTAGGATGTGAAGACAATATCTGAATCTTCAAGAATGACAATGCGTGAGAGTAAGTATGTACCACGGTTGTCACTATTTTTTTAATGTCAGTAGTCCATTGTGCTATTCATATCTAAGCTGCGATTTTCTTTTCAAAAATTTAATTCATTTCCACGTTAGTTGTATAAAAATATAGAAATTAGTAGAACTAACCACTGGAAGAAGATTTGAAGAATAATTGGTAGAAGGTTTGATAATTGATACTAATATTCTAGAGATAATGGATTTTGCTAGGAGGAAAGGTAGGAGGAGAGGTAACTACACCAAAGAGAATTGAGAAAATGGCGAAACCGAGGGAACTACTAGAAACATCTACTTGTATAATAGCTTTATACGTATTACATATATTATAATGTATACTAATATTTATTAAGGCAAAGAATAAATTGAGGATGTAAAAGCAACTCCAAACGCTCACGTACTGTGTCTGATAAGCACCTATTTGCAATAATAAATTTAATTTAATTAAATGATTAATTATTTAATAATTCTTGTTATTTAAATATTTTACTTGTTCATTTTATTTTCTTTTAAAGTAGATAAAATAGTACAAAAATTTTATTAAACAACACGATGACAAGGAATTGATTGTGATTACTGCGATTTCGATCACGGAAATGCAAACACTGTTCTTATGAAATAATGTCAGTAACAGGATGTAACAGTATGCAACTGATCCGAAGAATACATATCAGTATTCTTCGGACCAGTTGCATACTGTTACATCATAATCTCAACATCTAAAACGTTGTTTAATATGTATGAAATAGCTTATTTTTACAATATTATATCACGTATTGTTACTCCTTCATTCATTGTGATGTTCCGTGTATAAACTATGTAAGTATCTGCTACATATTATTGCTTCACTATATATTATAAAGCAAAATCGCTGTCGCTGCCTGTCCGTCCGTATGTATGCTTAAATCTTTAAAATTACGAAACGGATTTTGAAGCGGTTTTTTTAATAGATAGAGTGATTCTGGCGGAAGGTTTATATATATAATACATGTACATCGTTAAAATTTGTAATAATATTTTGATTTGAAAAAGAACAAATTTATACATATGTATAATATATTACGTTTCTGCAGTTACAGAAAAAGTAATACAACATTCTAGTGAATTTAATTATGGATTATCTAAAACACGGTGAAACATTGCTACTCATGTACTTGGTTTGTTTGCATTTCTTCTGTGCCACACAATTTACAGTAGGGTAAATTGGATTTTCTCATTAATTACGCAAACTTAGTCATTGGAATGGCTAGTCAAGCATATTATTGTGTAGTCTATAAAACATTTTGTTCGTAGACCGAGTACAATACTAATACTAAAAACATAATCGTATCTTATATTATTTTATTGTTATACGTAAGATGATGTAACACGTTAAAGTAAACATACTTATCAAAAAATCGGATAGTGAGAAGATATTATTTCAAGTACGACAAAATCCAACCTCGATGTTCAATCTCCTTTGTAAACGTTTGGCAGTTGATAGGATACATCCGCCGATCTGCACGTGCTTGCCCAGGGCACACTTGGTGCAATACCACGGCGACGCACGCGACTCTCAATCGGAACCCAGGATATTGTCGGAAGCCCGCATAGTCATGCATTTCAAAATCCGAAATACTCGGTCATTTAGATCTTGCGGCATACATTGACATGTTTGTCGACGCAAACCGTAATAGAGATCAACAGAATACCTCTTGTACGAGTAACATGTAATTTATGATAGCGGTCGACGCAAGCACAGCAGTCAATTGTAACTAAAGAACGCCAAATCTGCTTGTGGTTCAGTGGCGCAAGAGGAATAGTGTGAAATGGCCGTGTCGTTGTACGCTCTGGTAGTGCTTGCCACAACCGCTCTCGGGGCCTCTATTGCGCGTAAGTTTTAAATTTTTGCAATTTTAATGAATATCATAGTTATCTTTTTATATAGTATTTAACGATATCCACAATATCACAATAATATTATAAAAAAAAAGTTTTATGAAATTCAGACATAAATTTTATTTTATACAAATGCAGTCTTTATCTCTTTATATTTTAATGCCAACCTTAATAAGAACTTATCAAAAATATGTGATAGCCATAAGATAACCATTCGTTTGTCGAGTATTTAAAGAAAATATTGCTTAATTTTTACTTCCATTTCACCGTTCTGTATGATAACCAACATTTTTAATTTTACATGCACAATATTTATAAATATTTTAAATTCATTTATAAATATTGTACATGTAACTACCACTAATATTAATACAGATATTCCTATTAAGAAGCAAAATAAACCAAATTTTAAATCCTTAAAATTTCATTGCAATTTGTATGCAAATGAAATTACAAGATACATAAGCATTTGGGTTATTTAAATATATAAAAATATGTACCAAACAGTATATAATATCGATAAAGAAAATTAATCAGTACCACGTAATCAAGGCCCTACAAATAGCACTTGTCCAAAGAGTATAGAGAGTAATATAATATATAGTAGAGAGAATTAATTATAATTTAGCGAATAAAAAAAGTAATAACCGCCGTGGGCGACTTTTACCTGTCAAGATATAAGAATTAGTACATCCCAACTTTAAACTACTATTATTTATAAAGAAATAAAAATACTGCTTATCGATATTTTTAAAGGCCGTACGTGTCTAGAGTTGGGACATATGAGCAAAAACATTGTATGTTTATTTATGTACACAAACTGAGTTTAAATTAATTCAGACACGTTTCTTCTAATTGTTATTTTTTTATTAATGAACCCATGGGGTCATCTTGATAAATCACGTGTAGAGAACTAATTATTAACGTCAATATTTATCGTTTATTACGACGTTTATGACATACCAATAATAATAACACGATTGATTGGACGTGATAATAAAATAATCTTAAGTGTATACGATATTATAATTATATTAAAACAAAAATATTAATTTTGGAATATAATAAACGACATTAAAATAATATGCGTTTTTGTTTATGATAACAACATAAATGCAAAGATAATATTATAGTAGAAAACTTTACTATCGTATACATATATATTAAAAACACTATGTGTCAAAGTCACTTAATCACCATAAGTATGATGATAATACGCAGGAATATGTAGTAATATATAAAACATTTAAATCCTCTGTACATACTTTACAAAAAAAAATTGTGATAAGGTACAAAAATATAAATATACTATGAATTGAGGAGAGTGTAGGTACCTACCAAAATGAGATGAAATTAATTTAAAATAGTAAAAAATATAAAGCATGTCTAAGTTTGTAATTTGTATGAAATAATACAGTACATATAAATAAATGTACTGTATTTTAATTAGGGGTGTTCGTTAATAATAAATTAAATTTATCAAATTATTTTTTAAGCATAAAGATTACTCTCGTGTTAACCTTTTAACTTACAAGTACCAACAACGCTAGAGCTTCAAGTTAAATACATTGAAAACAAACTGACCATCCACTATATGACATCCAATATATAGAAATTCTTGTCTCCTCCACGCAATAGCCGGGGTCTTCAGTGACGAAACCGTAGTGACAGGGGAGTTTTTTGGTTTATTGGAGGTTGAATGGATTTCTATGGATGTGGCTAAGTTATTGAAACAAGAATGTCAATCTGTGGTTATCAGCTGATCATGCCTATACACATACCAGAAATATGCACTCTTATTCACTTATAACAGTAGAATGACACTGTGAATTATTGTAAATGTGTTGTCTGACAAGAAGTTATAAATATTTTAAGTACCTATACTCTCTACATCTTTACAAAATGACATCAATTGTATTCAAAATGTATGCAAAGTCATACTACAATTAACAAATCGTTTTAATTACCACAACGATTTCTTACTCTTGCATAACGTAAGTCGGTAAAAAAACATGCACGCGATCTGACTAATGTATGTCAGGTGCGGTAAATAACAACGACGAAGTACTAACAGTTCTAGGAGAAGTTGTGGGTTTAAAATAATAGGAACTAAGAAATACATGCTTCACTACTTCTTTTCATCTCTTAATTTCGGAAGGGTTCTTCTGTATGAAATTAGGGTAAATATAACAAACACCAGTGAGTTACACAGACAGATAAAGTTACAAAATAAGACCATAAATTATTATATACTTATATTCAATGTTTGATAGATAAAAGAAGACCCGATAATTATTATCAACAAATCATCAAAAAAATTATTAATCAACAAACAGGTGAAACTACACCTGTTTGTTGAATAATATTTTTTTTTGCATTAAATCGAAAATTAGACAGAGATTTCTTAGATAAGTAACATACACAATCATTAGAAAAGTTTTCTTAAAAGTTCGCATGGTATCTTATCTGTTGTAATAGGAATCAAATCAATTTCCGCAAGGACAATGCTACTGGTAACAGCTATTTATAAAATGAATAAATTAATACCACAGATAAGATACTGAGGAAATTATCCATAAATATGAAAATATGATACGAGCAGCGCAGGATCGATCGTCGTGGAGATTTTTGGGGGAGGCCTATGTCCAGCAGTGGACGTCTTCCGGGCTGCGATGATGATGATTAAAAAAAGTGAGCACTTTATAAAAGTACCAAAACAACGATTGTTAGAATTTTTGTCTGTTGATCTGTGTGTTTGTACGCGAAAATCTTAGTGCTTGTTTTGTTTCAACAGTTAACAATCAAGAAAGTTATACGAATACAAAGTTGCGGGCTCAGCTGGTGTGATATTGTCTATAGATACCATTCATGTGAAATATAATCATTTATTGTACATTCCACTTTTACATAATATAGATTATTCACCTAATTGATTAATACTTTCAATATACCTACAGATATAATCCGAACTGAATTTAAAATACTTTATAAATAGATATAATTTTACCGTTCACTGTCATCATACGATAAATGAAAGTAGAAACACAAGTCAAAAACCTAAATTATTAATTTATGTGTAGAATATATTCCAATATATTCATACGTAATAAATTTTGCCTACTACTGACGTAATAGTATTTCCATTATCCTTTTTTATCTGTCTTTAGTACAACGACATATATTAATATTGCGAAGGGTTACTTTTGTGTCTGTTTATTATTATTGTTTTTTGCCTTCAGACAGGACGGTTAAACGTATTTTATTGACTATTGACGTAAATATAGGTTGTGTCCTAAGGTATCCGAATACGGGATATCTTTTTAGAATATTAGAATTGGTTATTCTAATCATCGAAAAAGTTAGCCGATATTATACATACCTTTGACGATCAACTCTCATCCCTCATGATAAATTACTATTGTTTTTATATAACATAATGAGGATCATGATTATCTAATTCATAAGTCCACATTAGTAATAATCCCTTATTATAGGTCCTCGTTTTACAATTAGATATATTGTCCAATATCATGTCCAATTTTATAAAGATCCATTCAGGCGTTTAGTTTTGAAAAGGAGACAAAGACACATATATATATACTTTCACAGGTATAATATTAGAATATTATGTTATCTGTGATATTAGTATTAATTTTAAATTTCTTTAATCTCGAGATAGAATTTAATGTTATTAAATCCTAATCCTGTGAGTAAAGAAATTTTAAATGTGTCCTCACATTGCTCCGTAGACAGAACTAGTTTAACAGCATGACTGCCATCGGCCTCCCATAAGATAATATTGGTTTAATTATAGGAAGTAATATTTCATTTCCAGTTTGTACCTAGTTAGTCTTTGCCGCGATTGGTGGAATGTTTGTATCTCAGCAATCATGTAGATACGGGGTTTTCAGTAATATTTAATATCTACTGATGGACCAGTAGACGTCGTGGCGTCTTTCCTGGAAATGCGAGTTATATTTTCAACATATTAATAACAAACATTAATAGACATACACAGAGAGGTTTCATGCATCATCACACACACACACAGCACTAACTATCATATACTCCACACCCAGGTAGAAATTGTATATACTTCACCTCACAAACAGATTTCTTAATATGTTTAAAGACGTATTACATAGTACAGTCAGGTCCCGGAGAGAGCCTGGAGATCTGTACTGTAGTTCAGACTCTAAAACAGCATGTAAGTTTAAATATAATTTATTTATATTGTAAGATTCCTTGTGAGCAGTAAAATAAAGTTTATTATTATTATTGTTACATATTGAATTTTATTCAAATCGTTCCAGTCATTTAGGAGTTAGCTAGAAAACGAACATACAGAATGCAAATATTCTGTACGTTCGTTTTACTTAAGTTCGTATAACATAAGAATAAGAATGATAGTAAAAAAAGACATTTTCCAAGATGATATTTTATAAAAACATTCTATAAAAAGACTTCACAACGGCTACCGAACCAACAGTTACCGAAACTGTAATGTTTAAGTTTCTAAACTGGCGTTCTAACTTTGGCGTTATTAAATATTACATTGTTGTAAAATTATTATGAAATTTAGATTAACAATGAACTGTATTTGAAAAACATTAATTACTTACATAAATTTAGGCATGTACATTAAAAACAACAATTAATGTTAAATTGAAAATATTGTTTTCTTAAATACGGATGAAGGTAAAATAACAAATAAAAATTAAATTGGATGAAGTATTTATTGGCCAATATATATAATAATGCTTAACTATAGCAATAAAATTAGTAGATATAATTTGTATATTCTATTTATCAACTAGTTTATCATGGTTTATATGTTAGTAGATACTAGATATACCTAACCATGAATTAGTACACAATATTACTCTTATTATTATGTCATTAGTCTATAACCTTAACCTAATTACCTATGAAATCGAATTTTTAAATGCTATTGGCATTGTATATTTGGCATAACTACAGATAACATAATATACTAAACAAAAAATATCAAAGGAAGCCTTAATACAAAGTCGTCGGTGAATTGTCGATTTCATTTCCTCAGAATATACTGAGATGAATTTTAGAGATAGCATAGAACCTCTAGGTCTTCTAGCATAGAACTTCTAGGTGGGTCTTCTTCATCAATTAAATCCATTCTTTCATATTAATAATATAAATGCAATAATTGACTGTCTGTATGTTACCTTTTCGACTCTAAACAACTGATCGGAACTTAATTAAATTTGACAGATATCGGCTCTCTTTTATTTAAAACGATATGGCGGGAATGAATAGCTTAGAACTGTGATCTAAAAATTAGAAGATAAGTTTTCTTACAATTTCGAAGTCTTATCTATTCATAATTACATACCGCCACGACTTTGTTTCTGATCGGTATTATAAATTGTCAACGATATGGTCATAAACACCAAACCTGACTTGTGCCCAACAAATCGCAGGGTATGTTTTGAATTAAATATGGCTGGGGGTGAAAACAGAGAGAATACTAAAATTCTGACAAATTATTACTAATATATTATTTAAAAAGGCGTTTAAAAAAATATATATATACATATTTTGTAAATTAATGAGTCTTCTATTACTGCAATAGTAAAGTAAATTAAACCCACAATGAAACTACTGAGTATATCCGTGACAAACATTAGTAAAAATGTTAACGCAATAACTGGCGGAACAAATACATACGAGAGAATAGAGACATACACACCAACCATTTGTTATATAACAACGCTACTTTGCGTGCAGCGTACTGACCAGGGATGCCAATTGTACAAAGTTTCTCGTACAGTTCCGAAATTTTTAGCCTTTAGTACGAACACATTTTCATCCTTATACAAAATTGTATACAATTTAAACACACTTAAATCAAAACGAAAATCGGTAATAAATTATAATATACGAGGTCAGTCTTCTCCGATCGATCCCCCGTCCAATTCAAATGAGTATCGAAATTACGACGGTTTGAGCCGAGGTTAGAACACCTAGCTGTGCCCTCAGACTAAAGTTGTTTCCGTCAGGCGGGAGTTGGCCTTCAGCCGGCCTATAAGTCCTTCCGCGAGTTTGGAGTGCCATCTGAAATCGTCCAGTGAAGCTGTAAAGGCCAGCTGCGGCCAACAACATTAGAGTAGTACGAAAAAAAATTGAGGTCAAAGAGCCCAATAAAGTAATGTAGGACATTTTAACAGAATTTACATTTCTTCCTGTTATTTGTTAGGCAGCCCTGATACTGACGTTACTCGCCAAATATTATACGGTGACAGTAATCGTTGATTTATTTGGCACATGCAGAATATACAGTGCATATCAATCCAAAGTATCGTATTGGTATACGCCATGGAAAGCATTTGGATTGCATGTCAATTAAAACTCGACTTCATTGAACGACTCGTAACGACTCTACACAGAAAAAACTGGCTGTGAATTATAAAAATCGTATTTAAATTTAGTTATATTACTAATAAGTTAATAAATTAGGTTTTTAACAAACAAACGGTAATAAAGTTGTAATTTAAATAATATACTCGTATCTAAGGTGGACCATGTAAGGTAATGTTCCATTAAAGGCTAATTATTAGGAAAACTTTTTAAAAACTGTCGTTACAAAAAGCATGGCTCAACCATCTTATTTTTTAATAATTGGCCTTACGAGGAGCAGTGTTCCTTGCTCCAACCACATTAATTTATGTTTTTTTTTTTCTGTAGTACACAAATATAATTATGTAAGAAAATGGCTGAAATCATGATCTTTTTACACATTAGTAGTTTTCTAAAAGTAAATATAATACAATGATTTTTGTTTTATATTCTTTATTTAACTATAATGAATGATTAGTTTAACATAGAAAATTAAAAAATATATAATAATAAATAATCTTATAATGGATAAATATCAAATTACTCATTAACATTTATCATGTTTATATTTTCAGTTTCATATAGACCTAAATGGTCTGCGCCCCCATCTGATTCCGCTTTAAAATCGGGTCGAATTATCCAAATACTAAAACGTGTATGTACGTAAAAATACAGGTATATGCTAGTTGCACTGACGGTGATGGAATACACATTTAACTATGAACCTATATTAACTGACTAAACTAAATTAATACGATTAAAATAACACCATGTAATCACAAAAACCACAGAATATATTTTAATGATACATTTCTGAATTATACCGTGAGTTGTACCGAAACAAAATCATAATTTAATTGACTATATTTATTCTATATTCTGAATAAGGGTAAGGGGTACGAGGTGAAGGGTACTTTTCCAACTTCAATCAATAAAAGTGGCTGTTCATTTTAATCTGAGGAATGACGGCAACCGATTTCTGGATTAGCATCAAATAGATAATTATCCACTGGTTTTAACTTTGATCTTGAGTTTAATTTCGTAAATTACTTCAAAATTGCTCTTGCTAAGTTATACATGAAAATTATCTAATACATGGTACCTATATAACAAAGTCGCTATCGCTGTCTGTCTTTAAAACTACGCAACGGATTTTAAAGCGATTTATAGCGGTAAATATATAATATATAGTGATTCAAGAGGAAGGTTTATATAATACATGTACACACCTGCGAAGCCGGAGTGGGTAGCTAGTATACATATAAAATAATATATATACTCGTACCATTGTGACTATTACAACTAGCAGGGTAATCAGATACTTTTTAATTATCTTATAAAAGAATGATTGAAAGTATATTTATATTCCTATTTTGAATTACCGACACTGTAATTTATCAGTGTCAACACTGTGAAAATTTCAATAAATATTTATAAAATCCTTACTTATCTTGAATTATACTTAGTTAAATCAAAGAGTCCGTCTGATATTTATAAACAAATTAATAGGTATCAATCAAATTATTAGTACAATTATCATAATTAATACACGATAGCATCTCCTCATAATACTTAGTTAGTTATCAAAGTACCAGTAGATAAATAAGTACACTTGACTTGCCTAATAATAATCGGTGATTAATTGAATTAATCATCGATTACTATTATTAGACAAGCATGCATAAAAGCTTATATGTACTTTTTATAAAAATAACTGTGTATTCCAATTTTTCATTCAATTCATTGACCATAGCAATAATATCTGAACGAATTGATATTTTGTTAACTACATAAATATTCATTTCTAGTCATTATAAACTACCTAACTACATATATATTAATATATGTAAGAGTTAAAGTTTCTGAGTTTGGATGTTCGGATTAATATCCGGTACTACTTACTCTGGTACTATCCTTTTAATGTAGGAGCAGCAAACTTGTAAGGAAAATTATTCCCAAATGGAAAAATTTGGTGGAGACGAAGTTGCGTGAGTCAACTAGCCAATTAAAAACTGGATGCGGAAACACGATAGCTTTGTCCACTAGAATGTCATATTTGTCTTTACATAAAAATAAACAGTTTATATTTTCGACTAGTACAATAGTTAGTTTCGCTATTGGTACATGCATAATCCATGTGTGATAGATCACGTACCTATATCTGAGCGTCGTGTACTAGCCGTCGCGCGTGTCATTTGCTATCATAAACCAAGGGTTATTAGTAATAACTGTCTGTTTGTTTGTTACCTTTTCACGACCGAACATTGAAGCTATCATTTGATATGAATGTAGATTGCATGAAAATCCGTTAAGTAGTTTTTGCGTGAAAGAGTAACAAACATCCATCCATCTATACACACACATAAACTGTCGCGTTTATAGTATTTGTAAGATAAAAGAGTATTGTACTACAGATATTTGGAACGAAATATGGACATAGTTAATATGTCACCTACTCATAGAGATGAATGGAAGAGGAAAAGAAACTGCGTCAACCCCTAATAATGGTATATCATAACAATAGTTGTATATTAGAATGACTAATAATCCCGAATCACGGTTCTATTAATGATGTGAAAGGAAAATAATGGTGCAAGCAATTAACAAAATAATATTCTAAACTTATATAAGCTTTTTGAACAGTAATAACAATTTTGTGATAATAAAGACGGTGACGGAGGATTTCTTTCCATATTTATATATAATGGTAATATTGTAATACTTCAATATATGATGTATAAAAACTACTGACATATTTTCAGTAATAAAACCACCTTATTACGACCTATGTAACTAAAAGTACACGAGTATCTCTCTATTATTTGTATTACTTCTTTATATATATATTCCAAATAAAGTATCTATCCATTTACGTAACATGAAAAAAAAAATTTTTACGATATTTTTTAAATTGAAAAATATCTACATTTTATGATCTTTCGTAAATATTTTATTTTCTAATGATGACTCATGACATTTTTGGAATATCTTAAAAATAATACTCAATGGAATTTAAAATATAATCTATGTATAAACCATTTACTTTTTAAAATTTATACTTTAATTTGCTTTGTTCATTAACATAATTTTATCATTATAAAAATCTATAATGATAAATATGATGTTAATAACTTATAACATAACTTTGTTATGTTGTATATAATGTATATCAATTGAAATTAAAAATATATATTTTCAGCTACAAAAGATCAATTTTTAGAAGGGTCTATTTGTGGTAGGGTGTGGATTACCATCCACTCTCCAGCTATCCAAAGAACACTGGCACCAAACCTCCTCGATGCAATAGAGCTGAATTGGGATTTTAATGGCTGTTCCACTATACCGAGAGAAGTAAGTAAACTATCTGTTATATTAAAAATTATATTTATTCCTGTGTTAATAAAAATATTACATATAAAAATGTCAAATTAAATTTATAATTAATGTATTTGATTTATTATTATTTATATTTTTGATTATAAATTAAATGAGAGAGAAGTTTCAAAAGTTATTTATTAAAGTACTGTACTGTAAAATAATATAATCTATACATATAAATTAAATTGAAGTGTATGTTTATCATATTATTTCAATATTAACCGTTTTTTACTACATGCATATGAATATAAATACGGTACATATACCAAACTAACATTTTTTACAATTTTTATCTATTTGTCGGTCTGTTTGTTCCGGCTAATCTCTGAAATGGCTGGATAGATTTTGACGGAACTTTTATTGGCAGGTAGATGATGTAATAAGGAGTAACTTGGACTACTTTTATATTAGAAAATTTCTCTAATTAAATAATTTGTTAAATTTCACACAGACGGGGTCGAGAATACAGCTAGTTATTAATAAAATCTTAATGTACAAAGATACAACAATCTTACAAGAATAATTATTACGATGGCGTATTTTACTCAATTACTTCCAGACAACCTACGCAATGTGACCAAACATTGTTGTATTAGATATTTACAATGAGTGTTTTTATATACTTTATTCATTCTAATTAATACTAGGCATAAATATGACATGTGAGTTTGTATGTTTGTTTTTTATGCATTCACGTCGTAACGGCTTAGCCAATCTACATCAAAATACGAAATTTAGCATACACAATAGTAGCATTTGTCCATGGGCACGGACTACTTATCTCAGGAAATCATGATTACATGGATAAACATGCAAGTAGAATGTGGTTTAAAAAATATATCTAAATAAACAAGATTTTCTGAAAATTACTTCAAGCGACGGTAAACACAGAGCGAAACGGATAAAATGTGCTACGGTTAACATTAATTAATTAAAACTTTTCGTGGTACAAAGAAAAATAAATGTAAACGGTGTAACTTACGGTTTCTAAAAATTGGAACTTAGAAGTTGTTAGAATAAGATTACAAAACCTTCCTCATAAAAGACTACTACTATATATACTATACCCAGGCAGACTCTAGAACAAGTCAATGCGTGGTTACCTCAGTCTTACTTATTTCAGACCTCATGCAGCTTGTTTTATATTATATTTATATATGTTTCGGTCGAAGGGTGGGATAAGTCATGAAATTACAGGATTAGGAGCTGAAGATTTCAGTTCTCCGTAATGGCAACGCATTAGTAGTATCACAGTTGATGATAATATCAGTAGTATTTCTGACTCTAAGCGACAATTACTAACAGAAGATCCGAGCAAATAGCTATTCTAATTACTTAAAAGAAAGGTATTTTAAAGTTTCTACCGATATGATTCGTCGCTTTCAGTTACATCATATTGGTTCCACCAACTCTAGTCGAATTTGTCAAAGGCAAGGTATTGGTTCCACCAACTTAATACTATATATAACTCATCTCAGTCGAATTTGTCAAAGGATATTGGTTCCACCAACTCTAGTCGTAGGATATGACAGTTGGGCCCGATTGGTCGAATGTCTAATTATATTCAGCAATTAATACTTATATATAACTCATCTCAGTCACAAGCTAACGTGACAAACTTGTTGGCTTTCAATAAAAAAACTCATCCTAGTCGGTCCCTTTGTTTATGAGCTATGATGTCACACAGAGACAAAAACATCAAATTTATAACATCCTAAACAGCTACGTATTCACAACGCCAGATCAAGGCTGTACTAATGATTGATTCTATAAATGAAACATTATATTATGCGTACAGGTACTTCTTGTATTCTTTCTAATACAGAATAGACCAAACACACACCCATCTTATTAAAAAAAAACTGATTACACTGATTAGCACATCCTTCACCTTGAAACAACGACGTATAACTATGTAACATGACAAAAATGGACAAGCCGTAGTCAATAGTGATAAATCAAATATGTAGACGAAATCATATACCTAAATTATTTTTGTCTCTGACCCTTGACCGGGTCACACTGAATCAGTTGACATTTCATTTGATAGTAATGTGTCGTTGTACCTACTCACTCTGCACTTCACCAACAATTTTCTTAACAACTTTATTGCTCATTGATACCCATTGGTGCAAACAAAGCGGTTTGCATGCCTACCAAAGCGTGTTGTAAAGTTGAATGTTCACAATTTTGCAAATGATCTATGTAATAACATAATAGTATTTTATTTTGTTGTAATATTTCATGCTCGATTAAATAGAAATAACATAAAAATAAAGTTCTTAAAAAAAGTCAAACCAAGCTGTAATAAACTACACGGGTTGAATATTCCGTAAAGAAAAATAATAAATAAACTTGCACCTAATGAAATTAACTACAACCTTCACTCGTATTTACCGCATTTTTCTTCATTTCGTATTCTTACTTTAGTACCTACTCTTTTTTTACAATTTCTATTATTTTTTTCAGATTTACTAATGTATATATAAGGTATAAACCCTTTACTTTTATAGATATAAACGAAAATTGTTAATAAAGTTCTAAGCCTGATTAAAATACCTAATTTTAATTATGTAACTGACAAAAAATTAACCAATCTAACCATTGAAAGGATGTAAAAACGAACCTGCCATAACTGTGTCATAACTATTTTGTATTACATTATTGTATAACCGATACAACGTGACAAAGTTGGTGAAGACCGCGTTCTTATTATGCACCGCATCAATGGTTCCTCGAGCGCTATGTTATGAAATATAACAAAAATGGAAGTGTTTATACGCTAATGTTCAGTACAATAAATGAATGAAACTTCACTGAGTACTACTATGCTGTACTGTATAGTAACAGCATGTTTGACAGCGTTTTTTTTTTAAATGATGCTTGGCTCCTATTTGCCTTAGCGAAATGTTATATAGCCTTCTTGATAAATATGCTATCTAAAATAAAGATGTTTTCAATTCAATTCAGTAGTTCTTGAAATTAGCGCGTTCAACCTAACAAACAAATGCTTCAGCTTTACAATATTATTATACCATATATTCATCATAATTACTATTCTTTACGTTTCTATACTTAAAGTATAGTCATTATGAATTAATTCAAGGTAAGAGAATTCCAGCGCTCCAGGTACTATGTAGCTTTATACTGACTTGATTGCCTATTCACGTAAAACTGCCCACACGTATTCTATTTATATTATAATATTATTTTCTAACTCTGATTTGACTTTATGTTTGATATAGAGAAATAAACAATTTATCTATCTGTCATTCATTTTAACTTTTTTAATGTAATGAGAAAGGAAATAAGCTGACCACCGCACCGCCTTGATGGCGACTTTAAGATAAGATAGCTACAAGACTTAAACAGACCAAGCACATCATCGCGACTAAAAGCCTGTGTTTACCAAGAATAACACTGTAATAGTGTTTACAATACCATTCCTGAAAACTAAGATATCGTGACTAGAACCTTGTCATTGCAAGCTACTGAACAGCATGTATAGGTACATGTACGCAATAGAAAAATGTTTTACATTTGTTTTAAACCAAATTCAATTATATTCATTTATTATAGTAACAATCAACCCTTTACGTTGAAGTAAGACAAAATTACAAATTACTTGCATTTCCTGTTACCATTGCTGTTAACTTATTCTAGTGAATAAGTTAAGTGAGTAATTGCTTGAAATTTTCACTTAATACATTATCTGTATTTTGCGTCCACAGATAGGACTCTTCAACAGTAGGCCGCTATCATGGAATAATGCGTTAGAGACATACCCGTTAAATTCAGTAGACGGCTTCATAATCACTAACACGTCTCTTGGCGAAGGTGCGTTGCCTGGCGACTGGTTGACAGGTCCTGGGCGAAAAGGTCCGCAATGTCTCTGGCCGTGGGTAGCAGCAGGTGACGTCCAAATACTAGCTTATAACTGCCTCAAAATACAACCGACGTGGATGGAAGATAATGGGTAAGAAATAAATATTTTATTGTGCAACAATACAGCAATTTTGCATTGGCGGGTTGCTCTTCCATTTTATCAGTCCGACCTGTGTGAGAAAAGATTATGATACTTATAAAGAATAGTTGAATGAATGATCACTATTTAAAATAACCAAAATATAGGCAGCTCACAAAAAATTATCACGCTATATCTAAACTAATGGCTATTATAAATAAACAATTTTTAAAGTTTATTCACCTATAAAAAGCTACATTATCAAAGGCTAAAATTAACTGTATTTCAAGCATGCAGTTTTTAAAAATATTGCTAGTGTACTTATAATTTTAAACAACCATGGAAAATGCTTCAACAGTTACAATTTAACAATTTTCAGAGACAAAATAAACAGACTGCGCGTTGGAGAGCTGGCCATAGCAGGTACCCATAACGCGGGCGCTTGGAGGTTCAACACAGAGATCAGCACAGTCTCACGGGACAGTTTCGTACTCTGCCAGGATCGGTCCATCTGGGCCCAACTTGTCCATGGCATCAGATATTTAGACTTCAGGATTGCTTACTACGAATATTATCAAAACAAAGATGACAGGTAAGTTTACCCCTTGTGAGATGGCTAAAACTAGTCAAATTAAATCAAAAATACCTTTATTTACATAGGTTAAGATAAGTCTTTACCTTTATTTCTTAAAATAGTTCCAGACAAAGAACGACTGAGAACGTAGGAGAGTAAAGACTCTTTTCAAACGTTTCAACTATACATAATTATGAATGCAATAACATAATTTAGTAATGCACCTTACTCTAGTAATTTCGCTGGAATATAGTACTCTATAAAACGACAAATAATTTGTAAACAGAATTATTTGGCTGCAGAATTTGGTTCTATCAATCTTTAGATGATCCATATATTGATTGGTATTAGAACATCATATTTTTTACATACCTACAAAAAAATAACTTGAAAGGTCTAATGGTAAATATAATATGTATATTTAATTCCTAGAAATATTATGTTATCTATGCTAGAACGAAGAAAAAGAACCTCATTTTCAAATATGCACTCACAGTAATTACCAACAATAGGCTATTTGAAGCTGTCTCGAACCAGCTCTAAAGGCCGCAATTAGATAACTACGAACTCGGTTCGAAAAGCCGGAAACCGCAAATCGAAAAACGCATATTCTAAAAAGATACGATCGTTTTTAACTTGTCGCCATAAAGCAACTAAGTGAAACGATCTTAATTCGGCTTTTTTCGTATTAACGGTTGATTCCAAATTGATATAAATATTATGTACTGAATAATATAAATAGTTAAGGCTCTACAATAACAAAATTTTTATATGAAAAAAATACAACTTTCATTAAATATGTATCGGTAAATTATTTTGTCGCAAACACTTCGATTCTTACATAACGAGTAAATATAATTGCATGCATGCATTCCGTATCTTAGGATATGGAGATAGGAGCATTGTACAGACTATAATCTGTGCTATAATCAATACTTATCCATACTCATGTTTGCGGAAAGAACCCCTTATAATGACATATCCGCAATATACATTTACGATGTATCATATGCAATATTCACTTGTTTCGCATGACTTCCTATTACCTATTGTGCAAAGTTAAACTTTACTTACTTTTATGTGAAGTTATTAATGTATGTTTTTGCATGTATTTTAATATTGTCTGAGTCTTACGAGACACCATTGTTAATATTCTAGTAATTAAAAAAATTAATACGATATACTATGGACTTTCGATAACATAGAATTCAGTTTATAAGACGAACCATGCGATATAGTTCAAATGCAATATAGATTTGTATCTACAATTCAACGCCATTCACTACGGTTAGTGCAATTTATAAGGTTAGAGCGATTATAGTTACTAAAAAAATAATAAAACTTAAACAAAGAACATAACATAAGATACTAATAACATTAGGACTGAATATTTCAACTATCTGCCATCAGTGACTTGTACTCAACTGTGACCACGATGTGGAGTATACTGTATACTATCACAGATAAAATATATACTAAATCGTTTGTAAACTTAACTGGCCTATCTCTCTCTCTCATCTATTTCAACTGCCAAGCCGTTTACTTTGTAAGCTTTGTTGAAGTGTGAAATATAACAATGAAATTACGGGGTACGGAAGTATAGTACCGTAGTTCTATGGAATGACAACGAAGGGGGTACTCCTCATACAGTAACGGGACTACGATGACGTGATGTCAGTTTATCTTAGATTAAGTTAAGATTAGTTTAGATTAAGTGATAGAACTTTTTCACGTATTTAATATAAATTGTATCTGTTTAAAAAGTCACTGACATCACGTCATCGTAGTTCCGACGAAGCCTGAAAATGAACAATATATTCCACGGTCCCCAAACATTGCTGCTCCTAATGATTAAGGCGCTATGCGTCTCGTATGAATACCGGCTATCAGTGGCTTGTAGATCCGATAAATAAATTTTAATATTCTTGTATTTGTTTTAAAAATTCGAATTAACATCATTAGTGGAGCAACGGTTTAGCATAATGCCTTACTTTGTTGCGGGTACGATTTCTTGCAGGTCTGGGTATTTTCTATGCACGTTACTTACCTACTTACAAAAAAAATATTTAAGTATTTTTATCAGTTCTTTAGTACACATAATACTAATTCTGCTTAATTTCGGCCTAGATGGCTTTTATAATATAATATTGATATAGTTTTTTTGTTTTACATTCACAGATACTGGCTAAACCACAATCTTATACGAGTCCGCCCTTTGGTGCCGCTTTTAAGAGAAATTAGAACATTCTTAGACAATACAAAAGAGGTAAATAATATGTCATTAAACAGTCGACATTTTTTTGCTTAACTGAACTCTGATAAATTTGGTAAACACTTCCTAAAGACTATTTCGGGAAGCCTTAGAGTTGTATAAAAAATCTGCTAAGTTCCTTAAGTAATTAAGTTAATGTTAAAAGTTAATGAACTGCTGTTACATTAAGTCGTAAGTTAGATTATATCAGAGTATATTTACGTTAATTTTCGTTTCCGAAGAACAAATATAAGGGGTAGGAGACAAAACCACCAAATTGTATTAAAAAGAAACGTGTTACTAATATTTTTATGATAACCTTTACTAAAACACCGTATAATAATATTGTTTTCATAAACTTTATAGAGCTGTTTTGACAAATCTATGTATACATGGAAGACGACTCGATTCGTTTGGAATCATAGACAACTATCACCCAAGCGAAATAGTAATTTTAATGTATATAATAAAATTAAATACGATATACGGATAAGTAAAGCATAGATAGTTGAAGTAGATATACATTGTTTTCAATTTTTTTCGCATTTGTTTACCACTGTACATATTATGTGTATGTATAAACAGGATATGCACGGGTGTACCAAGACGTTTATAACTTTTCGGCATAATTGTATGTGTCCCGTTTATATGTACCTATAATGCGTACAATTCAGTAGAATTAAAAATTACATAAATTTTCAGGTTGTGTTCCTCGACGCTCATCACTTTCCTATAGGTTTCTATGATGCAGATGGAAGACCTATCCGTCCGGTACATAACGGTCTTATAGAACTCGTTCAAAGGGAATTAGGCCCACACATGGCAAATGCTATAAACTTCGCCACGGAACCAGGCAATCGAGGACCGACACTCAAAGCATTGCTCGACGCAGAAAAGAGGTTACTATTCAGTTACGCGGACAACACTATCGTGAGAGGTAACTTATAGTTTCTTCTTTTTGTTAATATTACATTCATGAATAACTCCATCATAAAATGCTAATTGTAAAATTAATACTTACCGAGATATCTGTGTGTGTAATTAATCTTTAAATGTTGTAATATATTAATTATATATCACAACATTTCAAGACTAATTAATGTTGGAAATGTAATTAAGGCTTATCCGTGTTGACTGGTCGTTTAATGAACAACCTATAAGTAGAGTAGTACAGAGTTAGATGAAATAAGTATCTAAAGCATAAACAGTATTTGAAATAAATAGGTTTCTACTCATAATAGTTAGGTATATCTGTAAATTGAGAGTGATAGGATTATTAAATATTTCTATTTCGTATGTATCCTACTTTATATCCTTAGTTACTTTCATCCTAGTAAACAATTTCATAAGGAAAGGATATTATATTAAGTTATACAAAACTGGACATCTCTAATACTTAGATTTAGGGTTCAATTTCATCATATCATAAACTTTGACAGTTCTAAGGATTCTGAGGTACGGACGTTGTAACATGATAACGAGCAAACAGGACGACTATATTCTTGGAAATTCCAAATTGTTTTGCTTTGGAAACTAATATCTTACGACTCAATACTGTCAAATAAATTAATACTGACATTTTTGGAAATGTCACATGTTTTATTCAATTAAACTAATAAATAAAATTATAGGGTACTTTAAAATAATAGTTACCATTTCCTAGATACATCATATAAATTGTTTTATTAGATGGGATATCAGCCTATTTTAAAGGAAATGTAATATTTAATTATAAAGCTATGTTATGGCTCGCCACATAAAATTATATTATATATCATGTTTTCAGAAAACAACTTCCTTTGGCCGTATCTACCTCACTTATGGGCGAATACAAACAGCCCATCTGAGCTATTCCAGTACTTAGATCAAGCGATCACAGTGTCGCCGCAACCTTCAGCACTGTCACCATTGTATTCAGCGATGGCACAGACTACCCCTACAGTGCTCGACATTCTCTTCCTTCGTGGCTCCCTCAGAGATAACGCGGAAGCTGTCAACCGGAACGTCACCGCTCGACTAGTGACAAGATGGCGACAATACGCAAATATTGTAGCATCAGACTTCTTCCTCGGAAACGATGTTATAGATGTTTCAATAGCCCTTAATGTCGAACGTGCATCGAGTCGTTTATGACGTCATAGCGTTAAATCTAGAAATGGCGGACTCCACGTAAAGTCGCATCGCGGCCGTATCACTATTGCGGTGGGACGATCACCATGGCTGCCGCGTCATAGAAATCGCTCCAATTCATTCAGCTATATCAAAAAATAGAGCTACCTCAAAGAGCAAGGTATCCGCCGCTACATGCCACTGCCAGATATTAAAGCATGTAAAATGTTACTAGTGAGATAATTTTAAGCATTTTATTAATGTAAGATAACCACGTACTAGTCCATCACTAACAAACAATTTTGTATATAAATTAAATAGAACATTATAATTTCTTTTCTTTCCATTCAAATGGCATATCCTAACTAACACAGTTTAGTCGTCATTGTCTACAAAAATATGATGATGATGAGTAGAACGTATTTAAATGTGCTGAAGACTGATATGAATATAACTTTGAGATGATTAGTCGAGAATAGTTAGAAATATAAACTGACACCAATAGTTAATTGAACTTTTGACCTCTTTGAAATAATCACCTTCATTGACATGTACAAATGGTAATGTAATTAATAGGACAAATAGTAGATAACATATGAAAACAGTATTTAAAAAAATTACTAAAGAAAAACATAACAACTTGTAAAAGTTTTACTTATTGTAAATAAGATACAGTAATTCTATAAATAATAAATAATATCTAAACATTAATATTGTACTTGCGCAACAAAAAACGAGGTAGATTCACCGTGCCCTAAGGCACAAACAATTTCTAATACTTTATGTCACGTATGTGGTGCCAATAATGGCAAAAGTTCTGCCCTACTCATTCGAGAAAGTGCTCGGGCATCAAGACCCATGGCTGCCGCCGCGCCGCTGACATCTAGCCCGAAGCTTTGTAGTAAAGAAGCCAGTGCCACCTCTTCGCCTGTCCGTGGATCCCGTAGGCGAGGACAAGAACCGTTGCACTGCGGCCACGAGCATCGCTCAATGAGACGCCTCGGCGCGCAGTCAGCGCGCGCGTGCCTCCTTCCACTCCCGAGTCTTTGCTCCCAGCATCCAATAGCGCGTGGCAACGACACTCCTGACACGTTTATTGCCAACCACTCCGGGCGTGCTAGAGCTCCATGGGCTAGACAAGCAGGCGCGAATGTCGCCCGAACATGCTTGAGGCTCGAACGTAATGCTGCTCCGGTTTGATGTACTGCATCCCACTGTTCCCTGGTCCGGGGTGAGCGCACTCCCTCCGCTGCTAGCTGCGCCGAGTCAAACAAATATTGAAATACAAATAATGGCGTACGAATATGCGGATACAATCTGTAACCGAAATAACATAACCATGGCTCATCTGGATATTTCCTTACGCAAGCGGAGGGTGGCGTACCATGCCAAAGTGAGTGACCAAGCTTGGCTACAGTGTTTGCAGAACTCCTTCGCGCTCTAGCTGGTCGATCAAGAAACCATCCGGAATCGGCAACAGCTGCTACTCGTACACCATGAGAGCGAAGCATTCGTCTTGCAGCATCGGCATGAAGCATTACACCGGCACCGCCGGCACTCGAGCCTACCAGTAGTAGTCTTCCACTGAGACCGTCGCGAAGAAGTTCCATTAAAACAGAACGAACTATTAGCCGTCCCGTGAAAGCAAAACTCGTATTGAAACGTCTCGCAGTCCGTGTACCAGCCCACATATCACTGGTGCAATAAGGAAGAAGAACATGGTTAGAGTCGTGCCAGAGTGGATTTGCAGCAGGATCAGCGGAGAGTAGAGCAGGTGCTCGACGGAAACGCGACCATCTCGAAGAGGACATAAGGCCGGGCCGACGACGCCAGCGTGCACCGCATGACGACGCATCCCAACAATATCCGCCGCCTTCCAAGTACACCACCCAATGTTGTGTGTTTAAACCTCTACGAATATAATATCTGTAAATAAATAATACGAAACAGAAATTATTTTTTTGTCAGAGCAATATTTTATTATGGATTAGAATAGATATTTAGATTATACGAGATGCCTAGTCCGAGACACTCCATATATAATCACTTGTAGTTTCGACAATCTTCGCATTATTTAGAAAAACAACAATGTTTCCATTTAAAAAATAACCAATCGCAGGAGCTGGCAACTTCCCAAATGTCATTCGCTTTTTTCCCGCTGTGTCAAGTGTTCCGTCGCGTAAAAAAAATTATAATTTTAAAGTTTTTTGTTACTTTAAATCATTAAAATGTCAAATAGACGTAAAGATAATAATGAGAACGATAGATTATATTGAAAAATACGAAAATTCGAACGAAACCCATACAGGAGGCGTCAGAGATCAAGTACTCGCCTACGACGTCACTGGAACCGCCGGTGGATATTGAGAATGACGATCGTGATATCAATATAGTGGACTAATTAAATAGTATGTATTTTTGTGCCCTCATTATGTGATGCTGGTAGTATTACATAAATATTATAATATTCCTAGTTAAGGAATTTTTTCATTTGTTTTTCATCTACAAATGATGCTATATGTTTCCCTCTTGACCTGTGGTACAGGTATCAACGCACCCCGGTTGACTGACGACTACATATTCAAAGAGAAGTTCTCTTTTGTCTTATATTTACACAAAATTTGACCGGTGGTCTTATTTTTTGTGATCTCTATATATGATACTGGTAGTATTACATACATAAATATCATATTCCTAGTTGAGGAATCAATTCATTTGTAGAAGTAAATAATATACCACAATTGCATGAAAGTATACTTTCAGCCCTTGGAAACAGTTTATACAGTGAGAATGTGACAAATCATAAAATTATTATATGATATTTTATATTGTGTTTCAAAGAAAGACATATAAGAAGAGATTATTAGAAGATATTTAATACCTACAAATGGTAAGCAATGCAATATTAACAGAGCATTTAGCTGCTCTGAATTTAAATGTAAAGATATAAAGTCTCCTAACTAACTGTATAAAATAAACAATATCACCCTGCTTAGTGATGTAATAAGACTATTAAGTGATTACATTACATTGAGAATACACAATCACTCTGAGAAGACCCATTGCTCCAAATTGAGTTATGAGTAAAAAATGTAATAAGTCTCTTGAGAGTTCAGGATAGTTTCTTGCTCTGCAAAAGCTTTACTGAGAATGTAAAGTCAATGTATGCCATTAAGAAATCTGCTACTTTAATCTTGAAATACACCCATCTTAATATTTAGATGAATAATATGTAGCAAAGTGCTCATAGAGAGGTATCTGGAAACTACCAAGGCTCTCCTCATCAAGGTCTACATAGACAGACAAAAAGAAGGTGTGGGGGGAGGCCGATATCAGTAGAGGACCTCGGTGAGATCTCAGCTGCATCGTTACAGACAAACCCTATGGCTCAACATAGATGTCAACCATAAAAGTAAATGTTTTTGCTGATCGACTTAGGATTTTTCTTCCTTGTTGGGAGAAAATAACTCAAAATAGAGTGGTGTTGTCATGGATTAGTGGGTTCTAAATTCTTTTTATCAAGACTCATATTGAACACTAATACCAAGAAATTCTGAGTTCTCACATCAAGAAGACTTAACTAGCTCATGTCACATAATATATATTACATAATCCATAATAAAGGATTTTTAAAATTGAAAGTTGTCTCAGAAATTTAACCTGAATAAGTACAGTACATATGAAAAATATTTTCAATACTGAGACCAAATGGGAATATTATAGATTACCTTACATTGTTACCTTACAATGTTGAATAAATTTATTTTTCAGAACATTTTAAAATAGATTTTATGGGGACATATATATAACTAAAAATATTGTGTTCTTTTGGTTTATTTTTTTAATCCCCTTTGGCAGGTAAATTATATGAATATAATTGTATGCCTTTTCAGTCTGTTTGCTGTTCCCTTTATTTTTAATAAGATATTAACAACAATTATTGCTCTTCTTTGTAGTAAGAGATATAAATTTGACATTTATTAGACATCATTAGTATTGGTAATGCTTATGATGGCTGCTTACAAATTTGTAAAGCAACAAGGTTATTACTGGAATGTTTTATGTTTGGAATTAATAAAGAAAGAAAGAAGTACCAAATTGTTGAATATTTATGTTGTTAATACACCAATTGTCTATCACTATCAAATAATAAGAGGAAATCAAACATGGCATTTGTTAGAATATTTTAAAATTGAGTAAAACTTTTATTGAAGATTTTGCTCAGGTCATTGGTATGTTTATAGTTAGCTGCCCATGAATACTCTATGATTATGTTTACATGAAGGTGTTGGGACAGCACAAGTATTCAGTTTTGTATAAAAAATAATAATAATATGATTATCATTAGTAGTGAGTGTAAGTAATTTGTTATGGTGGTATTTTTGATATGAACATTCTGAGAGTCCTATGTGTCAGTTAAGTTCATAGTATCTATATACTCTGATTATTCTAGTTCTGGGGAGCCAGTTGCAATGGTCAGACCGCTAGAGGTTTGATGAGAAGAATAACCATATTAACTATTTGAACTTCTTAGCCACTCTTATGGTTTTATATTCTCTATAAGATTTAAATTTATATTAGATCACTGCATATTAATAATTCAAATAGTAATATCTTATATCAATAAGATGGAGGAATACAAAATCTTAATCATAACTCATTTCTTAGACAAATTTTGCAGTAGTGTGAAACATATGTATTTGGTTATTTGCTTCATATATCCAGGTGAAGGACAATGTAGAAGCAAATCAGGAATCGAGAATTCAGATCATAGATTCTAAATGCGAGTTGTGTGATAAGGTTTTTTCAACAAATTGTTGATTTATTAGGAAGACCTTTTATTGATCTTTTCAAATTAGAGACAGCACAACATGTTCTGATTATATGTACTTACCGGCACAGAAGTCCATGTGCACTAACACTAACACACCAGACTTTCACATGGGAGCTTGCATCTTGTCAGAGAAGGTTTTTAGAAAGAGGTTGATACCAGATGCAGTTTATTAAGTTTCTGATATACTCTTTATCAGATAACACTATTAAGTAATAAACTGTTGACATACATTGTACATTATTGCAATGTATTTTAAGTATCAAGCCTTATAGATTATAAGTTATGTAGTTAAGAATCTTTTGTTTGTGTCCTACATAAAGATATATAGAAATATAGGAATATTAATATAGAGATTTTAATCCTTCAGTTATTTTTAAGTATATTTATGACCAGTTTTTTCAACAAGGAATTAGATTTAGGAAAACCAATAAAGCCATTAACAAGTGCCAGTGCTAACAAAATGAATGAATGTGCTTTTGCACAATATATTCAGATTTTATTATTAATTAGGATAAGTGGCATAAAGTTTCCTGATAAGGGGTTAACTTTTTTATAACAAATTTATTGCAGACAAAGAAAAGGTCTAGCTAGTTGTTACTCAACTTTTTCACACTAAAAGGAAAATTTGTCCGGCTTTATTCTTAAGATGTTATAAATTATAGTTAAGACTTAAAATTTGAGGAATTTAAGTATTGATAATAAAATTTTTGATCGTTATGAAAAGCATCGTTACTATATTAGCAATGAAACATTTAGTAGATGGGTGAGACAAGGAATGTCAGCTAGTGGTGTGGAAATCTACCCTTCATTCCACATGTCATGTCTGCAGTTCTTTTACACTTAGATTATAACTCGCGTTACTATTTTTAAGATTTAAATTATTATAACAGACCGCTGCAAGATTACAGCGACTGTATTTTTGATAAGGCTTTATGTAACCTGGAGTCTGATTAGGTGGATGCACTTTATGTCGACTGTTTTAAGAGAATAATCGATAGAAATTGTTTTTCGTTTATTGATTTCTATAGTGAACATAAATTATGTTCGTATAATAAACTTTGAGTTTTTTATGGTTGAGATTGATTAGGTACTCATTATGTTGACTCTAAAAAAAAAATTATTTTCGATTTTTCAAAATGAAAGTATGGCTATATAATGAGCCTTGAGTTGTTTATTGTCATAATTTTATAACGCATAGGTGTACTACAACTACCAACCTCTATATATCTACAAGTGATTATATATTGAGTGTCTCGGACTAAGCATCTCGTATAATTGTAAAATTAAACGAACTTACCTTAAGTGAAGTTCTATGGAAATTATACGAGTTGCTTAGTACGAGACACTAAGCGCCCATCCTACCTAAACAATTATTTGATTGTTCTGCCCTTCTTCAGTTGGAAGTTGTAGGTACCTATATGCAATTAGAATTCACAGGTTGCTCTAAAAAGAATGACATTTGGGAAGTTGACAGCTCCTGCGATTGGTTATTTTTGAAATGGAAACATTGTTGTTTCTCTAAATAACACGAAGACACAATGCGAAGATTGTCGAAACTACAAGTGATTATATATGGAGTGTCTCGGACTAAGCATCTCGTATAATTTCCATAGAATTTCACTTAAGGTAAGTTCGTTTAATTTTACAATAATATTATAAGACTAATGTTCAAATATGAAAACAGATGTACATTTTTGTTTACCATAATATCAGTATTTTTAATTAGAATGCTGTTACTAGAATACTACTTAAATGTTATAAAACCTTAAAAAGCGTACATTATGTCGTACAACAGAGTTAGGTATAATCAAATGCTTAACAGTCAGTTCCCGGTTTTGTTAAATGGAATTGTCAGCTATATACATACTTGTTTACACAAAATACATAACTGTTAGCAACATACATTTCATGCAGGCCGTGTACTGAGTACATTTACGTCTTATTTCATAAACGTATAATGAGAAACTCTTACACACTGAACTTAAATTAATTCTCCTATGTTAATTTATAGGTACAGCGTCCTTAATTATACCCGTATTATTAAAATTATTTTGTTGCTTTTTTATGCAACATACAAACTAATGGCCCATCTAATGGCAAGTGGCAACCGACACCTGTATACATGAACAGCAAAACGGATAACATTAACACTCAACGCCAGTGATAACATTCATGTTTTGCCTATTCTAAGGACTAAGATGACAAACCTCTAATTCTTTATTTCACTGCCTAATCTCAGCCTAATACTGAAACAGCTTACAATGCAACCTTGGCAGCTGAATATGTAAGTGAGAATGAGGTGGGTACCAGAAACAACTTATTACACAATTTATCTCGGTGATATTATTTAGTATTGGCAATTGTCTAAAATAACATTATAGTGCTATTTTAATATTAACAATAAGATACTCGTAAAACAAACTTACCCGGCGGGTGTGCCATCGTTGCACGTGAGTGTGGTATTAGAGAGCCACGCCAGCTTCAGTCTATCTGGTGCAGCGACGCTTTCGCCAGCTGCACATAACACCATCTGCAATGCATGCAACTGACCCTGAATATGCTTTTTTAACTTCGGACTTGATTTTACATACTACTAACAGTGCCGTGTACATTTTACAATTCCATTTTTTAATGATAATCGGATGACAACAATAAATAAAGTAACTACACGATGTTATCAGTTATTTTATTACTAAATTAATTATTAAAAGAGTAAAATTGTTTAAATACCTATTTCAATCGGTTTATGTTGTATTTTTCAGTGCTTTCTTTTTTTATATGGGCTGTATATAATATTTTCCTTGAAAATTTATTCCCTAATATTCCTACCAATTTATGCTTTAAATATAAAAGAAAAAAACATATAGTTTTGACCTTCACAGGACTTTATTATTTTCTTTACAGGTAATACCGATCCATCAGAAGCTAAAATATCTATACAGTTATTTCTTCTTATGTCGCATTTTTTTTAAACTTGCAACCAATATTTAGTTTGTTCAACATAATTAATATTACTTAGTTATAACTACAGTTCAATACATATTGCAATTTATGAACACACAAGTTATTTTTGATCCAATAAGAAATTACCATGGTCAAAAAATAATTTTACCCAAGACGAGTTAAAAGATTAACTCTTAACTCGTCTTGGGTAAAATTATAAGTAAATATTATCGACTGCAATAAGATCCAAATCTATTTAGAAATGGCGATAAAATCGTGTATTAAAAAAAATATTCGAATTGAGCTTCATATCATTTTTAAGAATGATGATGAAGAACTTATGCTAGATACCATTTTCAACAAACCGCTAACAAACACATAAATGCAAATAATATTCATATCTTTCTTGCAACATCTTTCAATCAATAGACTGGACTAGCTACTTTCTGTTACTAGTCCAGTAGATCTAGTTAGCGACATTAATTTAAAATTCATATCATAGAAACTTACTTTATAAAGTGTTATGCAAGTTTATCAAACAAAACTACTATAATCGATTGAAATTACTATTTGTAAATAATCAATAGCAAGTAAATAAATTATATAAATGTTTGTGTTTCTCTGTATGTATAAACAGCTGAACTATGTTATATATATGACCGATTTCACTGCAAACTATTGTTACATTATTACGTAGTAGCGGTCTACAGAATATGTTTTTAGATATTAATAGAATGTCTGCACTAACGGTGTATGCTGGGGTGCATCAGTGCTAAGGTGAACATGAGGTTAGGTCAGTCAGCCCATCTTGTAAAATCACCAGGAACTTATTATAGTAGTTTCTAGGGGAACCGCGTGGTGGTCAACCTAACATGGTTCATTAACAATCACCTTCCCTACTCTACTTAAATACCTAATATTTAGATCTCTCATGTTTATAGCGATATAAAAATTTACAGGTACAGCGGGCAGCACCCTTTTATTATGTATAGTGATTCCACCTGGGAAGACCAATCGAGCTCATACTGGCTATTTCACTAAGAATTTACCACAATAGTTATCAGGAGTATAGAGGTCAACGGATAGGTCCCATTTATAGGAGCTTTCACCCATCCCCTTTGCCCAGCCAGTCGATATAAAAAATGCACGCAATTGTAAGTATTAGAGACCTGAATTCACGATCCCACTGAAAATGTTAGTAATTCGAGGTGAATTTACGAAGGTGGGCTAACTGACCTGACATCAATCTTAATCCATGATTTTACACTTCATATATTCATTTAAATATATTTAAATGAATAAGAATAGGCAGTGAGAGCGAAGTGCCGCTTTATTATGCGATTTAAAATTTTAATCATATATTTTACTAAAGTTATTTACGTGTTATGTGCAATATCAAAATAACCCATTTAACAATATTATTATAATTGAAATTACATACGAAGTAAAGTACTACGTTTTTTAATAATTAAGTGGACTGTAATTAGTTAATCTAAAGCAGATTTATCTATAACGTTAAAAAATGTTAAATTGAAAATTAGACAATTCACTAATATGCAAGTAGGTTCTTAGACACTTCCTTTCTATATAACTTATAGAAAAGTAAGACATTTTATTAAGAAATAAATAAGAAACTTATTATGGATATATCTATTATAGTGCTACTATTATTAGTGCTTCAATGTACACCAGAGATCTTACCAAAATATATTTTGAAGTTGAAGTTTATGTTGAAGTTCATCATGAATAGAAACTATATATTATCGGGAACTTAAGCACCACTATTTTGATTACGAACACAAAAGAAACGGGCATATCTCACAAAATAATAAAACAAGTCGTACACAAAGTGTCCATATGATCCAATTCCAGTAGGTGCGGCGATGTCCGCCGCGACGCCGTGTCCTCATCACTTCCAGCAGTGGGCGAGGTGAGCCCGATGAGCGCAGCTGGAGCAGTGGACAGCAGACGAACACCAGCGCCGAGAGCAAATTAGAGCACACCCCATACTGGCCAACGCAAACGTGCCACTGCCGTCAGGCGTCAGCGGTCCTCGCCGCCACTCTCGCGCACAGTAGCGCTCCCGCTGTTTACAAAATAAAGCCTCTATTTAGAGCGAGGGCGAAGGGCCTAACGACTCGCCGCGCGGCGTCGAACCGAATAAAGGTGAACGGGCGGCTCGTTTGTGCGGCAGGGGCGGTGGGACCGGCTCCGGCGGCGAGATCAAACGCGTCGCAGATCAAAGGAGCCGCCGCGCGATCGGCATCCGTCATTATTATTATGCAAGCATTACGAGGCGCGCGTGACTCAGGCGAGAGGGCCACGCGAGCTGCGCGGGCGCCGCGCCGGCTGGCACCCCTCCCCCGCGACGGTCCTGTACTACCCTCCACGTACGACTGTCATCAGCATCAGCAGTGAATAAAAGAACCGCCCCCGGCACCGCCAGCGCGCCGTTTCTTCACTGCCTTATTTCCCTCAGATTAACTACACCAATAATGCAAACATAATTTTTCTTTACACATAATTTTGCACCTTATTTAATTTTACAACTCTGTTTGGCGAGCATTGCTAAAAGCAGATACACAGCTACCGACGCAGCGGTGTTGTTTACATTTTAAATTTGTAGTCTCAATCTAATGGGGTAACATCACGAGAATGGTATAAATCTGCCTACACCATGTTAATATTTCGTTGAAGGCATTAATCGCGTCGTTTATTTGCCTCCAATATTTTATATCTTGACTCTTGGATTATATTTATTTATTTTATAGTACCTTTATTAGATACCAGAGTAAAACAGAAAAACAATGATTGGTTTCTCGGAAATTATCAGTCTTCCAACATATTATTTCAGCTATTTTTCAGATAACTATAGGTAGTTAGTAGTAGTAGTACAAAAATTAACATATAGCTTTTGTTCCGTAATCATATGTTATTTAACTACTTAGATAAAAATTAAGAAAAATTTAAATAATTACGCATAATTAAAATACATTTGCAAATTAACTAACCAAATCTACAATACTTTGTAATTTAAAAATTCTAATTTTACTATATATCATAACTAACATACAAATTCCAAAAACAGAATCCTATATTTTTTTATAAAGATATTTTTTGCTGGATGTTTTTTATACTATCTGTTCTAATCATTTTAGACAACTAAAACTTAGACAAACAAAATAAACGATATTATACTCTTTTATAACAGACGAAGGCACGGATAACAGCTAGTTGCTTACAAATTACTTATTAGAGTGAGTCATTATTTACCGAAAACATTGAGTATGGATAATTTATTCATAAAACACCTAAAAGAATCCTACTACTATTCAATAAACAATATTATACAGTAACCAAATATTTAAACGAAAATAAGCTGGAAATTTTTATGCTTTTATATGATAGGTGGATATAAATGAATATAATTAAATTATATGTATAATACATAATAATATATATAATATGTAATATTTAACATTTCTATAAAGAAGTGTCTTTATACAAATGTTAAATATTGTTAATTTATTATAACAATAATTTTGTTAAGCCTACGTGCCCTAACAGGGTTGTACCCCCTACTAATCGATTTTTTTACGTTTGCCCTCAGAATCGTTCGAGAAAGAAATTAGAGAGGGATACGAGTCTAGTCTGAGGGGACCGCTAGGGGTTCGAACCATAGTCGGCTCAAGACGTCGTATTTTCGATCCCCGTTTAAATTGCAAGGGAGGTCGATCTGAGGAAACATGGAATGAATGTAATGCATTGAGCATAGAGTATCGATGTAAATAACTTGTCTTAGCGTTGTCACCAAGTAACTTGCTTAGCAGACTATATTGCGGTTTGATGAATTCCTTCCTTCCCTTAGAATAAAATATCAAGTAGGTACGTAGTGTTTAAATTTTTTATGTACTAAATCTAACTATATTATAAATGTAATATGTATTATTATATTTAATAAAGAACACAAACATAATACACATCATAATTATATTCTCCAGTATGTGATGTCGGGTACTCTGTTGTACCTGCTGGATAATAAAAAATTACTCCGAACAAGATTAGTGAAATTTGAAAAGATGCAGACGAAATCCCATCTGACGACAAATTCATACGGAATTGAACACCGATATGAAAGAACAGTATCTTTAACCCCATAAACACAATACCCTTCTTCGGCTGATGGAATTGTGCACCGCCGCCGCGCCGCGCCGGTTTGGTTTATGATATTATAGCGGGAACCAGTGGTGGATGATAAGATGAGTATGAGATCAGGTTAGTTAGCCCATCATGACAAATTCTCCAGGAATTTATCACGATGTTTTTCAGGGAAACTGCGTGGAGGTCAACCGGACATGGTACAGTGTTAGCTAAGAGGACATTAGTTCATATTAATAACATCTCCACCTCGACCCCCATTATCGATGCCTACTAGTTCTATATAAGAGATATACATTATTATTCTTCAAAACAATACACAATATACTTACACAGCTGTTTTTAGTGACAGAAATAGATATTAAAGCAGATAACTTTAAACAATACATAATTATGAATACATACCTAGTTATTTACAGACACACTGAAATTTAATTCATTATTTCTAAAGTAATTGAATCCTTATTGTATTAATACATGTCAATTCACAAACTCTTATTCGGAATAAATTGCAGATGCTCAATGTTTTTGCTGTATTTAACTAACTTAAAAAAGAAAAAGTTATCACAATTCGCGATTACTGCTTTACGTTCATTGTGCCAGAAATCGATTTGTAATGATAAGTTTTTGTAATATTGACGTCGGTTTTTTATGGTATCAAAATATGTATGTATTTTTATTCAATAGTAAAATATATAGGTATTTTTACCTCCGATTTTTACGGCCCTTACAATAATAATTGCGCATGAGCTTAATAAAAATGCTGTACACGTGTGCGCACCATTTTAATAAGTTATCCATAGATCAGGTTGTAACTTGGATACCGAGATAAGTAGAATATAATTGGCGGGCGGCACGGCAGGCGTTCAAAGCCAGTACCTGACTGTAAAAATGCCATCATAAAGGCAAGCCGCCACAATAAGCCCTTTGACAGTTGGTACCCACCTTTATAATGCCGACTCTGATATACGAGTCAGCCTCATTAAACTTATTTTATCGACTCCCGATACAGCATCTTGCCATCCGGATAGTAAATCAAAGCATCTAAAATAAGTATAAGCTACTATACTGCTCACAAACAAGGCGGAAAGAATAAACCGTTTAAAATCTTTATAGCTTATTATTCAATCCCATTAAAGTCTTAGTGGGACGGCCTTTTTAAAAGGCGCTTTTAATATAAAAGACTATTATACAGCCCATTTTACATAACAATGAACATTTTTTTTCAATCGTTAAGCCGCTGATTATAATAAATTTACACGACCTATAAAAATCTGTTGTGCTGTTTCAATGATTGAGCCAAAGTTAAAATAGTGAAGTAAATTACATGTAACATGTAGGTACTACACAGTTTGTTGAGCGCCTTGAATCGCCGTGTATGCAGGCGACAAACTAGACTTCGTAAAAATTCGTTTGTGTGGGTACCTCAGTCTCATCTATTTCAGCCACCAAGCAGAGTCCTTCGTATAATGAGTTCCAGTGGCATAATAAGACAATGCAATGAAATTACGGAATGTGATATCGTAGTAGTACAGAATGGTTACCATGAGAATTCGTAGTGCTATTTATGCATATAGGTGAATACCACTCAGTAGTACCAACAGTAGGTGAACCAACAGCTTGTTAGCCATTCCAATTACATAAAAACAGCTAATAAATCGCTAGTCACCTTGGATCGACGACTTAAGAAAAAATAGTTCGCTTTTTACAAAAGTTTCCGATTTGCCACCGGAGTCCGCACTACTCCTTATTGATGGACGCAAAAAATGTATGGTCATTCTCGGTGACGTACAATCGATGAGTTATTATACTTAATCAGTACAAGTTCTTAAAGTTTTATTTAAAATTTCCATATTTGCCTTTCGAAATACCTACTTATACTCTAAATGCATGATAATGTAATTTGACACGTAACATCTGAACATAGTGAAGTTACCTCAGTTAACAGTTATTCTTAAGAAAAATTATTTGTAACTTGTAAAGTATTAATCTCGCTTCAAATTTCATAAGTAGGGACAGGTACATTAAATATTACTTATTTATTTATTTTATTGTTTGTTAGTCTTTACCGGGTGAACCAATATTTTTGAAATTTGGAATAAAAGTTTTATTTAGATTATAATCGAGAAAAACATTTTTTAATCCGGTCAACCGTGAACAAAACGGATCTACGAAGCCGCATGATTGCACGTTGAAAAGATTAGTTTTTTATATCGCTCATTTGTTATTATAAAAAGGTAAAAATATTAAAAAAGTTATATGAAATTGACAACGCGAGTATACTATGGTAAACTTTCTTGGAAAAATCTCCACTAGCAGATTCTAAGAATCACTTTTGCCCATGTCAGTCTGCGCATGAATAAGCATCGTAAAGAGATGTACGAATGGACGAGTGGAGTAGCGCGCGACTCCCCGCGACCCACAGCCTCTGAATCACAATAAATCTGAACCGATAAGTAGTCGGGCGGATTGTCGGCGCGGTGCGATCAAAGCGAGGGGAGGAACATGAAAGGCGCCGCCGTCCGGCGAGATGTTTCATTTGATGGTACGTTTCCACCATGCCTGCCGGCACAAATCGACCCTTTCTGATGTGACATTTTAATTAATTGGATTATATTCAATAATACTTTTACGACAGACTGGAATGACGAAGGTTAGTTTCGGTGAGTCTGCTATACATTTTTTACAGTAAGTTTTTGTAGAATAACTAATTTATAGTAGGCATTTAGCGAATACTCCAAGTCGAGGAAGTCATTTCCACCAATGTCATTAGAATATGAAATTTATTTTGATGACTATTTATGTACCTACAAAATAATATCAATCACATTAAAAACATAAAAAAAAACCGTCCATTAACAACAACAGGGGCAGTAATTCAGTACTGCAAAACCGAGAGAAAAAGGATAGATTCCTTTTTTCAGTAATAGATAATTATTTCCTCACTATAAAATATATTTTAGTGTACTCTATGTATTTATATCGTCTTTATACCACTCTCACCACCATTGCCCACTAATTGCCTCCATCCTCACAGCAGTATCTACACTTCAAGAGGCTATCAATACAAAATGTATAATTGCGGTAATAAAATGTTGAAGGATGCCAACGGAAGACCAATCAAACAGATCACAATGCATAGATTGTCAGCTTTAAGTTGGTTGATAGTTGAGAGTCTATTTACTTACCCTTTTCTTACCCTTACTCACCTTTAATAACCGTGTAAGTAATATTTTAAATAACAAGTGCAAAAGAGTATTTTAATAAAATTGCGGAATCGTGTCGGAATTCAGCAATGGATTCGTACGAAATAGTACGCAGATAATGTAGCAGTTATTACTTTATATGCATGAAGCAATAACACCGTATGTACCTTTGAGCGCCCGCTCTCATTCGCTGCGCGCGTCTCATATAATTAATTTACCATATACTCACAGTCTGCAACAAAATTATGTTAAAAGTGAGTATAACAAGAGTATAACTCTTTGCTCCATTTGACTATGTTCTAAGATGATTGTTTTAAAAATATATTTAAACAGCAATTTGAGAGTATATTGTTGTTGCGGCTATAATTTCATTTTTTTTCTTCGTGTTTTTATATTATTATAAGCTAATAATGTAATGTATACAAAAAAAAAAAAGAGATAAAATTTAAATGTAAATTAGTTGTGTAAAATATACAGAATAAATCCATTCCATATTGAATTGTCAAATACATTAACTTTCAGATTAGTATAAAAATTAAATGAAACACAGGATATTTTTACATTTGACGATTATTTTATTTACAATAAAAAAGAATACACAAGGAACCTTTTTTTGCTGGAGAATTTAGTGTGACAAAAAAATATACATAATCCAGAAATTTTTATGCCCAGTTTTACATGAAGTACATGTAAAAAAAATAAGGGTTGTATGATTTATCAATTTATTTTGTCTATCTCAAGAAAGAGGTTTGGGTTTTAATAATCGTTTCAATTATTATATTTTATAAAGAATTTAAAAAATATAAACAATAAAGATTAAAACAACATATTTTTTAAATATACTACTTACTTAGTAAGATATTTTCTCACATGCAAAATGGAAAAATTATATACATATAAGAATAAATAGTAAAAGGCACGACTCTCTATCACAGCAACAACTAACTTAGTATTAATTAATATATGTATAAAAGAATGCGTCGTAAAAAAATTGGCGTAATCTATAGCGTATACCCGAATTACTAAAATAATTTGTTATTTAAGCCTATTAGGGCAACTATAAAACTGCAATTAATTTAAATTAATACTTTCAAATATAAATTTGTTATTTGAATATCAAATTAGAAATCCGGGGGAAATAGCGCCTTATTGACAGAAAGAGTAAATCATGGTCAACCGTTATGGAAATATGTACTATATACAACACACTACAATAGATAACGCAATCTCTGGAATTGAAATAAAAATCACTCGATATAACCATAATATTCTTTAGTTATTTTAAAATATTCACAGAATATGACTAAATTAAATCCTAGGAAAATAATCATTAATACTACACGATGTACTATTATTATTTATGGCTTTTAAATCACTTAATTAATGTAGATAAGACTAACAAATCAGATGCGCCGTATGCTTGTTAGCCATCATCGTAGTACGGATTCACGGCCTCACAAGGTTCATGACACACAGTTTCAAAAATATTACACGTTACAGTAATTTTTAAATATGGTTATTTATTTCTAATTGCAGTGTAAAAGGAGTTGCATTAATTCTATCATACGTTGTATGTACCTACTTTCATAAGTTATCAACCACAAATTGACCACAATCCTCTTTCAGTGTCATTCCATCATCATTATCATCCTCTTATTATTAAAAATATTGCGATGATATTGCTCAAACGTTTGGACATATTCATTCAATTACACTAAAATAGACTTAACTTCACTACGAGATATTTGCGATTCAGCCGAAATTATACAATCTATCTTAACTTATAATTATAAAGACCAAGATACTACTTTTTGTTTGAATTTCTAAACTTAAAAAATACTTATCCGACTTTATAATTCAATCGAGTAACATGTATATATTTTATTTTAAAAAATCCACCGAGATTCTCTTATAAGTATTAAAATTAATATACTTTAGCTCTTACTTGATATTAATTTATCGTTCCATATCTATATATACTAGGTATAATTTTGTGATGTACATATAGTTTCCGTAATATATTAAATATCAAATATGTAACATATCTATACGACACATCAAGTCATTTATTTCGATACTGGTGGTATCTCATCTATAGTTTTTTATTATATTTAAGGAGTAATAAGTACTAGCTACTAATGGTAGCCTAGTTTATAGTACAAGTACAGGTTTGGCATTAAATATTGTGCACTATCATCTTGTTGCACATTAGGTAAATAGCCTTTATTACTTTACATGTAACTCATCTATTCACTAATAGGTAAATATTGATATTTGCCTCATTACTTATTAAAATCACGATATTTGGGAGATAATTAATATTTAACATATGTATATAAAAAAATAGAAAAGACTTTAAATATTAATTAACCACCAATCACGTAACAGTAAGTTAAGGTATAAAGTCCTCGCGCAATTAGTTCGATTCTTTTCTGTTTTTTAACAGAATTGTTACAGAGTAAGTTTATTATTTTTTAATATATTATATTTATATAATGAACTTCAAGTCAGTTCTATAAATATCCTACTTTATAAACTCCAGCAAGTAGTATTGTCTGCAATTTATTATCTTGCATTTGGCGTAATTCCTATCCACTAAGTAAGACTTTCCATTATTGATTTTGACTAAGTAATCGAATTTATTTTAGGTATATTATTATATGAAAGTATTCAACCTAGTGAAAAGAACTGCTTGCCGGGTATTTTCTGTTTTTGTTTCTTAAGGAAATCTCTCGCTTGTTTATCGCCCTGTCGTGACTCCAGTACTTTGATGGCATCTCCTTCTACAACAATAAATACAATTATTAATTATATAAATGATCGATGAACTTATGAATAAAAGTATGCGCTCCATCAATGTAGTCCAAAACTAAACAGATCTATTACGGGTCATTCATAAATTACCAGGGGTTGGCACAGTTAACTTCGTGTAAATAATGATGGAAACAAGGAGCCCTGCCTCTTACAAAATCTAAGACTTCTAGTATAATATTTTGTGATTTCAACTGCAGTATTTAAACACAAAATTTTAACTATTAAAATTACTCCAATTAGTGTCACGTAATTTATAAATATTTCGTAATTTATTATTTATTTGAATGTGTAGTAGTTTATTAGACGTATTTAAATACAAACGAGCCAAGATTAAAGAAAGGTGATTAAAGAAAGCCAAGATTAAAGAAGCTAATGATACTAAACGTAACTTACCAATATTACCGGGTCTGATGAGCGGAAGATGTTGCTGCGGCAGGCTACTGATGGGCGCTGGTGTATCAGGCACGTCACTGAAATGGAGGTACGCCTCGCCCACGAATGTATTGTTCAGGAACATATCCTTGTCCTTTATCACCATGTGGATGATTCCGTCGCTAGTGTTACGCTGCTCGGAAGTGAGTGGTCTGCGCACGAATTTACATATTTTAGGCCTATGACGGATGATAACGATGACTATAATAGTATTTAAATATATAGTTTACCAAGGTAGAGATTGTACCAAGTCATAGTAGTTTTTTCTCACTTATTTCAGCCGTGAAGCAGATTGTTTTAGATACTGTGTATCGGTTTGAATGTGTCAAATTAAAAATAATAGCTTATATAATAATAGCCATAAAGGGAGACAAAAGGGACATATCTGTTTTAGAAATAACTAAAATATTGTAGGTATGTGTGTTTATTACATTTCTTTTTTAGTTAAGTACTACTTTTTACATATTGATGGGCGTATAACAGGCGAAATTTATTTTACTTTTAATAGTGTATAAATATGAATATTCAAAAACAGATGGCTCTACATCTGTTTTTGAATATTCATATTTATACACCTTCGTAATCTCGATTGAAAATATACTCACATTTGGAACACCTCATCATAAAGCGGAAAGAGATTCTTGTTGTGGGTTTGAGTCTTCGGACTCACAACATTCGCAAACGTGTCCTCCGGTAATAGATATATCTTCACATATGAGTCGCATAAACCTGTACAAATTCCGCAAATCTTAATTTTATTAAGGAAAGGAGAGGACAATTTGATTACAACTATTATAGGTTCACTGGCCAAAATAGGGGCCAGTGCAGAGGGCACTCCACACTCGCAGAATTTCTGAAGCCGTTCAACGCCAACTCATGACGGGTAAAATTAGTTATGTATAAAGAAACGTTGTTAAAGTCGAGAAACCAAATTAAAGAGACGATTCACAAATTAAATATTGTCAAAGTTTGTAGTTTTTTTCATTGAAACTAGATATGTATATTAAATTAATTAAATTAATATACATATCTAGTTTTTATATTTTCTGCCATCTTAATTTGCATTATGAAATACAGTTTTAAACAAGCATTTGAGTGCAAAATTTGTAATATGCTTAAATAAAAAAAGTTATCAGAACCAATCTAATTGTAAGATATGATAATTGAAATGATGAGAAAGTAATAATATGGCAATAATAATAAAATACCTATCCGTTGATTCCGTCCGTGCCTTCATGAATATACATTTACGCATTAATTTAATTAAATTAAATATTAATAATAATGAAAAAACAAACCATTCGAATCAGTGGGCGTCAAATTCCTTGCGTTCATAATTTCTATCTTTAAATTGTCCGCATTAAACTGAGCGCGTACAGTAAGCAAACCATTGTTGGGCTCCACAATAGCTTGTTGTTCCTGCCACCTCTCCAAGTGGTATTGGTGTATTAATTCTTTCGTTTCCATACCATGAATTTTTAATAAATATTCTACTCTTTTCAAAGTATCTGACGTATATGCTTCTTTATTATTATTTGGACGGAATGATTGTATCATGACTTTCAAACATTCGTGTAGATTCGAAAAGAATGCCGGCGGACGACGCTTCTGTAAATTCGTACACTTAATTAATATAAATTATTGGCACAGTAAGAATACGTAAGCTTCTTATTGAACATATCTGTTCATGCTATAACAATTTTGCATTTCCTTCACCAAGACATCGTCAGAAAGAGAAAGATACGTTTCTGGTTAATCCTGTATATTAATACCGAATACCATTTCATATGATTCCAATAAAATAACAATAGGAAGGTTTACAGATCAACAGAGTTTGCGATTTTATAACTAATCGTATATAACAAACATATTTAGAAATGGTCTCACAGCTGTAGTGATATTGGCTCTATAAATAGATATGTCATGGATATGTAAACAACTTTAAATAACATAATATTTATAAATCAGGACTATTACTAGATAAAATATTTTGATATCTACCACATACATGCTTCAGTTGATATCTGTTATTTACATGGAAATATTAATGGGACTGTATATCGTAATAGGTATATTTATTGCAAATGACCCTTTTTATCACTTAATTGACGATGTTCGCGGAACGCGGGCTCACAGATTCGATTAAACGCATGAATATATGTTTTTTCAAAGGGCCCTAATGCCTTTGATTTCTGCTGGCCTGTACTACTTCACTGAATAAATCATTCAGGAGGCGAATGCAAATGGCACAACAAACACGCGGAAGGACTTAGGTATAGAGCGGCTGAAGACCAATTACCGCTTGCTGGTTACAACTTTAGTCTGTATTCACTGCTAGAGGTTCGAACCTCGGTGGCCGCCGAAATTTCGAATCATGAATGTGAGTATATGTATTCGCCTCTCTGAGTGTTTTTGCATATAAAGTAAGTAAGTGGCTACTTTAATTACTTATCTATATGAAAATGTGTTTTCTATTTCAATGTTAATTAAAAATATGTAAGTATGATATTGTGTTAAATATCCATGATACCATAAATTATAAATATTATTATTCCAATACATAATTTCCAATCACCATCTCCCTCTTTCTGCGTCCATTATCCACCACCATGCAAACGATATACTAAACATTACCTGTAGCTAAATTAAATTACATGTAAATATGGATACCTATGATACCTAATTATTACACAAAAATATAAAATATATCATAGTACTGTACTTATATACAAAAAATATATTTTTCGACAAGACTTTCCATGCTATTTAATACATGCACTGTCTAATTACCTTATTTTATACTTCTTTTTATATAATTTATGAAATATATTATGTTTTCAATATAAGTACATACATAAAATTTACTTACGAGTATTTCAATTTAATAACGGCGTATAAAGGGAGACAGGACTTACATATAGGTATACTAAAATACACATAATATGCTATATAATTGTGGCAAAGACATGGACAATGACGTAAACACAAACTAATAACTGAACAAGTTGTAAGCAAATCATAATTGTACTAAACCCAACAACATAAAGTAGGTTTTTCCCTCCTTACTTTGATTTGTACACCAACGAAATTTTAATACTGATATCCCAGAGAAAAAATAGGTACATAAAAAAAAAAGTCGTCGATTTTATAATTTAAAAAAATTCTTATACTGTAATGTCTTCTTTTGGCTAAAAAGACGCTTCATCCAACTCAAAAGTAATATCACTAAGTATCACTTAAAAGAGGAAATGTTAATAGTGAACATTATGCAGAAGTCTGTTTCTAATAAAAACAAAAGGACAGTTAAAACTGTTTATTCAGATATGATATGACTGATTTCATAGACTTCTATATAATGTTTAATAACTAAAACATCAAGAGAAGGTATGTACATTTTTTTTTCTGTCTGCTTATTCTCAATATTGATTATTAGATTATGGAGTTAAACGACAAATACTAGAATCCGATATTATAAAATATTTCTTATTATATAAAAAACTTCAAAGTAGAGGAAAAAATTACCCTTTATGTTGTTGTGTTGTTTGAACATAAAAACGTAAAGCTATGTGTTATCTAAGTGCTGTGATTTACCGCGCGTAAGTAGTTTGCAGTCTTTTCATTCAAGCTTTCCTGGCTCTTATGTATGCTTATCTTTGGCTTTCGATTCTATCAAACAACAACAGTTTATTAATATTTTGCAAAAAAAACTCGAAGTGATTTAGCATGTGAAAGGTCACAGTGTAAAAAATGTAACTAAAATTAAATAATAACATTCTAAATCACATTAATTAATTACCAAACTTTTTATAAATTAGTAAATTAATAACATATTAGGAAGGTTATGAATAAAACAAAAATACTGAAAATAATAAAAAAAAATACATATACACTTAAGTACAGAAAACATCATATTTGTTATCGGAGAAATTCTAATACAAAGCATCCAGCATAAGAAGAAAACGACGGTCTAGTAATAGTTTCTAATATAGATTCAATAACGTTAATAAAATAATTCACAATGAATACTGCGCACCACATTAAATTTAAATCATAACAACCTATTATTGTACCACTGTGGCTAGGCGACTTAGCATAGAGCATCACTTTATGTTTACCCCCTTTTCTTTATGCTTAGTGTAGTTTATTTTGTTGCCACTTACTATCTTTGGACGAAATGGCATACCCATGGCAAATATGGCGAAAGTGAATATTTACTCTAAATTTATAATGATTCATAATCTTTCAATGAACTTGATGCTGATATAGCCACAAAATTGATAACAGATTCCTGAATTTTAAATCCCATGTTACGAAATGGAAAACATTAAATATAAAAACATGGTGTCGAAAAATTATTAGTGCATGGCACACGCATGTATGCTAGGGCTTATGTGGTGCGTGCGATACGAATGCAATATTATTTACCCGATACAACATAGAGCGAGAGTCGGGGAATACTTTATTTTGTCCGAAATATCTACGCCTAATCAAGCGGATACGGGTGGCGATAGTTTCTTTCTACAAAACGAAAAATTAGTAATTAGTAGTTAAATGTTATATAAATTTACTACTAACCAGAATTCAGTGAAGTAGTAGTTAAAAAATATATGTCCATTTAAAAAATTCAATTAAATAATTATAGGTCTAGAAAACAATAATATTTACGAGATTACTAACAGATTTAAAATTGCAGTCTAAAATGAGAAATAAGTAAAATGCATTTTGTATTTAGTCTCTCATTCACTGAATCCCGTGTTAGTAATAATATTGAAGTGATAAATTAGGTTTGATTAAATATGCAACATTACAGCGGTTAGCATATAAAGAAATATATAAAACTGTAATATAAATAGTTAATTTCCAAATACTGCACATTACCTCTAAATTAGACTGTATAAGTTCATATAATACTTCTGCAAGCTGTTCCCACACTATGTCCAGAACTCTGGCGAAGTTCTCATTGTTCAAGTGCTGGTACAATGTATCGAGGTTGGTGTCTATATAACGCATCACCCGATCCATACTTGAACAGTCCTGATGAAGTAACTCAGCGCCTTCCAGAAGTAGTCGAGTCACTGATGGCATCATCTAATCAAAGTCATATATTTTAAAGGACTGAGATTAGCATAAAAGTTTGTAGTAAATGGTAACTCACGTTTATAAACAAAACAGGCAGCAAACTGGGCCATTATTCTTTATAATCTGAGAATTCTCCTAAGAAGATTTATGCTATTACCATGGTCGCTAGATCATCATCACTGTTAAATGTACCTTCTCTTGCTTTGTATAATTTTGTTGCCTCTTACTATCTTACAGTTAATTTATGGAAGTCCATCTAGTGAAGCAATTTAAAAATCTAAAAAATATATTCGTAAACTTACTCTTTTCACCATAACTGCTAATAAATCTACAATATTGTTCTTCACGGTGTCTATGGCGTTGCTGATAACATTTTGTAATGTGTCTTTGCATCTGTAATGAGAATTACATGCCAATTACCATTACATCCTATTTACGGCTTGCTACATAGCCTATTATTGCTGAGAAGGAAATTTGGTGGCATCTAATTATTATTAATCCCACGCAACGATTGCCTGGTTCTCAAACTGACGTTTCTTACATGATATAATGACTACACCGGATAGTGAACATTACAATACTGTCAAAGGGTAGTGACCACGACCTGATTGTAAAGCGAATATAAATATATATATCATAAATCCTTTTCAACCGCAGGATAACGATACAGTTAACAAGAGGAAGAAAGTATATAATATCAATACTTATACCATTTTCTTTTGGAACGTATGGTAATATTCTGTTATGGAGAGAGACGCAGAAGTCAGTAAAAGACTATAGATTCATTTTGTTACCTCTGCGCTTCAGTAGGCGATCTGGCCTCACACATTTTCTCTACGATATCGTCAATTGCGAGCTCGGCAGTGAAGGATGGAAGACTCTGCCGTACATAGTCAATGTTGTTGACGGCAACACACCACTCGGTGGTGACCTCGAAGCGTCGCTCGTATACCGAACTCACTTCACCGCTCACGTCACGTTCCTCCACTCGTGCCGCCATGCGTTCTGAGTAAAAGACACAGCATCGGCAGATATCCTGAAACAAACAGGATGTTTACAGTTAAAGGTTACGAAATAATAATTTATTCTAATTATAACTGAAATATATTATAAAATAAGATTGTTTTGAAGCTCACTTGATGAAAAGTGCCTATGACTTAAATAGCACCAGGGACATTGCTTTGTCACGAGATACCCGTGGACTAAGACTATCTTAATAGCATGGATCTGTAGGTCATATTGCAGCCTTTAAACCGAAACACCGTTTACAAAGTAAGCAGCTGAACAGGAAAAATAGTCGAAAAAGTACAGTGAAGTATTTTACATGTATGTATTTTACATTTATAAACGACTGAGCGGATTAAATGTAATTTGGCATCTAAATCGATTATATCACGAGAATTAAAAAAAAATCTGTCGTAATTGCGCGTAAAAGCTTGTATAAAATATCAGCGCGTCAGTTATTATTTATGTACTATTTCATCAAATGTCTTTTTCACAAAGCCTTATATGCCTGACAATAACAAAACTTACATCAATAATTTTTGCTACAAAAGTGTAACGGCCCTCGACGTCAGGCCAAGCCAGTTGCTCCCAGAATATTTTAATCTGATAGAATATTGCCAGTGTGTCCACACCAGAACTGCTATACTTGACATTGGTGTCCACAGGGAGCAGGGTATCTAACTCTACTGCTTTTTCTATTCGAGTCAGAGCTTTGAATGCGGCAATCTGTAACCATTGGGCCACGCCGCCATAAAACCATGAATGAAACTTGGAAATGGCATAGGAGTTCCATCCTGTTTCGTTTAAACCTTCGCCTAGTCTGCAAAAACAACGGTAAGTAATATTAAAGCTACTTCAATAACTATATGAAACTATTAGTCTAAGAATATAATTTATTAATGGATGGTATCTGTATATCGACATAGTATATCGACTGTATATGATAATTTTTAATGAAAAATTATGTTGAAAACAAACCAGGTGAATAAACCAGAACTAACAACCCGCCCTTTTAAACCCTCTTACAAAAAGATAAGTTTTAAAACTTTCATTCAATAAGTTTGTTTCGACAAATTGTTACAACTTTAAACATGCAGAATTGCAGTTATTTCTACAATATGTCACAGAATTTAAAACAACTCTCTTTTATATTTTTTGTCGGAAACCTAAAAATACATAATACCATACCATTGCTTCTCGTGTATACGGTATAGCGCATACATAAGAAGCAATGGTATTATCATTTTAATTCTGTTCAATACTTACGTCAGAAATCTTTGGAGGGCCAAATACAATTCAAACAATGTGGTTCCCATTGTTAATGGCTCTTTCTCAACATGAGGGGCCCCTAATGTTGTTTCTCCATTGATGCCTCCTGCCAGATGAACAGACTTCGTTGACCCTTCGTGATATTGCACTCTTTTAAGACTTTTACATACTTCAATGGCCTCGGGTTGGACTAAAGCCGCCACCTTTTGTTCATATAGACCATATAAACTTTTAGAGTATGGGAAATTCATTGTCCTGAAATCGTCAAAATATTTATTATAATCAATGTCTCTTTTTATATATATTATATAATTACCATTAAAATTATTGTAATGACATATAAAGACAAAAGTATATATTTAATCATTACTTAAAATAAATAACTCTTTATATAAAGCCCTCCGACAAATAAATAATTAACAATTTTTAATTTTATTATTAATAGAATCGTGTATTAATATACCACATTTTTAGGTACAATAAACAATGGATACGATACATATAACAAAATGATAATGCAAGATTTTTAATTCTATATTACATACATAAACCAAACATATATATCTATAATTGTAAAAGAAAGAATGAACAGATATAAGAGTCAAAATAAAAAAGTTTACTTACTCAACGAAAATTCTATCATAATATTCAACAGCTCGTTGCAAATCCGAGCGCACTAACTGTATTACTCTAATTAAATGTTGCAATCTGGATTCTTCAGATTTATCATTACATTCATTGTTATCAATTATGTGGATAAACCAATCTGAAGCACCTTGCACGACAGCTTGATTTAATACTTCATGAATGCTATGATTCTTCTCATTGTCCGCTAACCAGCCATATAAGTTACTAGGGAACAGATCTATTGCATCTGGCACATCTAGTCCAGAAAGAGTAAATAGTACATTAAGAACTTCTTTTAAGGATTTCATTGCTGTTTTCTCGCCCGCCGTTTTTCTCCTCAGTTTTCTAATATAACTATAACATGTCGGTAGGAGTTTCTTCGCACCATCCCAGAATAGCTTTACGTCCTCTTCTTTAACGAGACCTGCGAAGAAATAATCTTTTTAATAAATTTTAGTCGTTCAAAATTTTCATGACTTACTAGGAATTCTGTACAGACTGTGTCTGCTTTGCCACTAGTTAATAAATTCAAATATATAAAAATGTATGAAAGCAGTTCTTATATTTATTATCGGTTAAATGTGAAGTGCAAAAAGAGTATTTTATAAAAAATAATTAGCCTAATTATTTTTTATTTAATAAAAAACTAATCAAACTTTTTAATATTTAACAAAACGTTTTAAAAATAACTCACCAGATTGTAATGGTTTTGCAATCCTTTCAAGCAGTTGATTGAAGAGGGCGAAGCTTAATGGATGGTCGATGGTGATCGCGCAATAGACAGACCACTGCGCGAGCAAATTATCGGTGGGGGAGAGTCCGCTCTGTGCCACGTGTTGGATGAGGATCGCTTCAGCTGGACCGCTGAAGTTTCCACACCACCAATAAGGGGCGACCTGCAAACGAGTGGAACAAGTTGCAAATAAATATTTTTTATACAATTATCCAATTGATCATCTCTGAAACATATATTAGTAAGTCTAAATGTTGATACTCGTTTTGGTCTTACTGCAAATGCCTTAAAAAGTCTTGGAATCAAATATTTTTTTTTTAAATAGTTACGAGTATCATAACGATTTTTTGTCTTCTTATTTTCATAGCCTGTAGCTAGCATATTGCAGGATAAGTAAGGTTACCTACACTTCGATTTTACATAACGTTACTTGACACACTTAGATACATTTCAACTTTAGACTTTGTGCACTGTGGACGTCTTGTTATCATGCAATGCCCGTGATTCTCATGCGTTGCCATCAGAGGATCGTTGATTATTTATAGTTCATTATATTTTGCAAAAAGAGGAAAGTATAATTTTATATCTTCCTCGCTTACCTTAGAATTTTCAAGTTCATGCAATAAGATAATTCTGAGCAAATGGCGGTGCTCTTGCGCTGCCACCTGCGAATTCTTCTCCGATGAAAAGTTGAGTCGAACTTTCACTACGCCCTGCCTCCGTAGCTTGCTTTTCTTGCTCAAATTAAACCACATAGTCATACCGCCCGCTGGAATAGACTGGAAATAACAAATAAGTGCTGCTTAAAGATTTTTTCCATACAAAGATCAACATAACCAAAGTTAACAAAGAAATAGCGTACTCTGAAAACTTACAATCACATTGAGAAACTTACTTAGATACTTAGCTTACTGAAGTACCTACCAAATAAAATATTTTATGTGCCTTTTTTATTTTGATATCATACAATAAACACAATAACACTCACTGAATAGGCATTACAGTCGATAAGGGATATATAAATTATTTATAATTAAAATAACCCTGTTGCCATAAATAATTCATGCAACTATCCCGGCGCGGAAGATACATGCAAATTGATAACTTAAATGCTTTATATAAACCTACATTTGTTATAATCATATAGCTTTATATTACACGCACAGTTATTGATCTGTAAATGGCTTTAGGAATTATAACTTTGACTAATGTATAATTTCTAAATACGATGTGCGTTATGTAGGTAACATATATGTTAGGTATTTACTGCGCAAAAATAAATCAAATAGTCCGAGAGATAGAAAATCGTTTTAAGAATGCACTGCATCAAAACCAGTAATAGGTATATATATATATATATATATATATATATATATATATATATATATAAATATAATAAATAATAATCTTATGTATAAAATTCTCGTGTCACAGTTTTCGTTCCCATACTCCTCCGAAACGGCTTGACCGATTCTCATGAAATTTTGTGAGCGTATTGAGTAGGTCTGAATAGAATAGACTAGAATCGGCCAACATCTAGTTTTCATCCCCCTAAATGTTAGGGGTAGTCCACTCCTAAATTTTTGTTTTATTAATTAGACACAAAATTTTTAGTTTCTAATTTTTTATGATACAGCATACAATAATACTATCCTAAATGTTCACCCTTCTATCATCAACCCCTATTTTTTTATAGCGTTATTAATTTATATGGCAAAACAACGTTTGCCGGGACAGCTAGTAATATATATAAATGAATTATTCTACCCTCGTTGTTATTCACGATTTCGTCAACTTATTTGAGATAAAAGTTTGTCGGGATACATTCATATCTTCATGTCTTTCATTGATACGTTCAGCCGCTTAATCTTAAAAAGGTTATAAATAGATAGAGACATTTACGCATTTATAGTATTAGTACATATAATGTAATAGGATTGAATAATACAATACTTAGTAATTAGTTTATATTACTGAATGTAGAGAAAGGGACTACCTAAGAATGATAAGCAACTACCTACCTACTATAATACAAAGCTCAATAAATCAGTGTCAGAAAGTATAACTCTGATAAATTAATACGAATACATATTAATATAATAAATATGAAAGTGTTTATCTGCCTCTATGTTTCTTATCTTTTTCCGACTAAATGGCAGAAATTAATAAGAAATGTCATGATATAATTTGGTATTACATTGGAACAGAGGTATAAAACTACAGAATAAAATGCTTACATTGAGAGGTATGTCGGTGGTGCCAATAAGTTCATTATCATGCTTTCCAGTTGAAGCTGTGATGGCGATCTCCTTCATCAACTTACGCAGTCCTTTAACGCCTTTCACTTCAAACAATTTAGTCATTTTCTCCTTCACTGTCTCCGCTGGGTCAAAATCCCTTAAAAAATATTAAATATGTTTTGTGTACTAGAATTGTAAAAAAACTGACGATCATTCAGAACGAAAGTGGTATCCGTCGCCTATGAGTAGTATAAACAACATAACATACAAATTATCTCTATGACTTTATTTATCGAATAAGTAGGTACAGTATTGAAGTAGGTACCACATTTTTACAATTTAATGAAATTCTCTTGCCATTTTAAATATGAGTTACAAGTAATATACCATAAATCGCAAATAAAACTATAACCAATCAAATTCAACACTCACCAGACTTCTAAACAGAGCGAATCTTCGTGCAGTTTTCCAGGGATTGGTCTGTAAATATAAACCGGCATGTTAACATACCTCGTTCAAATAATATACATTAACTTCCTATAGCAAATTTACTAAATCCATACCAAGTGCAAGGATGAAGTTCAATAAATAAACCTCACGTTATAGTACATGAGTTTTATTTAATGTATCTTAAGTAACAGTGTTTAATTGCGTATTCATCCAATCCAATTAAGTATCTATGTAAGTAATATTTTCTTAATATTTTCAGAAAAAATATTAATAAATTGGACGTAACGTAAATTCTATCTCTAGAATGCCAACTTATACCTAAAATAATAGACGAAATCTATGATCTTATTAGTACAGTACATAGTAAGGGCATAACCTTCCAGAAATATGCGTCCGATAATTGCATTATTTACATATCTCATAAAGTTTCAGTTATTATAAATTACTATTATTATATATTTTATTAAGTACCATACGTTACAACCGCAATGACAATATAACCACAAAATTTTATACATTACAATGACTATAGTTAAGTAAGCTTATTATTAAAAAAAACCTTAAAGATGTATATTTCTAATTCATTAACATTTTCCTTAAAATCTCAATACACCATTTGCGAATACGTTACGAGTATTAAGTAATGAAATTAACATATTGTTCTGTTAAATATATAAAATTGTGTAATAACTATGTGTGGTTAATAACAAGAGGTTAGTAACACATATTTCTCTCTCCGATAATAATAATAATTTATTTATTTCACATTCAGGTATAGAAAATTATAAAATTATATAGCGCCATAAGCACGGTCTCTGCCGCGTTGGATTTAAATATACCCAGCGAAATGTAAGTCTTTAATTTTGTTACCACGAAATTGATAATAGCAAATACCTCTGACTACCCCATTTGCAACAATAGTCGTGATTTTATACTTAACTAGCGACCCACCTCGGCTTCGCGCGGATATTTAATACAACCTCACTATTTAATAGAGATATCCTTCGATATTGATGGTATAAGCTAAGCTAAGCTGTTGTAAATCACTTTGCTCTAATCTTATTATATGTAGGTAAAGCAAGTACGGTTAAGTATATTTTTTTGTATTCTTTTTAGACGCTGGATTATAATATCGAAATTTTATATACAAATTACTAATGTTATTGAAAATATTCAATCGTCTATATTCATCAGGTATAGTGTAGCCTATTCAATGCAAGCACTCGATACTTTACTACTCTTTCTAATATTAACATAGATTGTATGAAGGGTTCGTCATATACAGAAATTTGGAAAAAACAAATAGTACATCAGTATCACTTCTGTTAGCCCTCAAGCCAGAAGTATAAATTGGATTAATGCAAATAAGTGTTTATAGATCTCCTGTAATTAAGAAGCAGTATATAAGTGTAGTGATACTTACAGAGAAAAGTGTTCTTCCCAAACAGGATTTAGTGTGCAGGATTTCACTGACGTATTGTACCGGTGTGCTGTATTCGACATTATATATATAGTTACGAATGGGTCACTCATCCCATTCGGGTCTTTGGGCATAAGATCTTTGGCTTCAACTACTTCTACATTTAACATTAACTCTGGCGGTTCTTTAGCCTCGGCTGATGTCAGTAGTTGTGTATGTTTAGCATTCGATATTTTGAATGCTTCTTGTACGTAAGAAAGCATGGCCGCCCGCTCGACTTCACTCCCTGCGTCACAGCCACCGACATTGTGTAGAATTTCGTATAAAACTTCCAAGTAAAGTTCATCGACCTGAAATAAAAAAGTTTATAAAAAATATTTACCATTGAATTTCAATATATACCTAGATTCGCTTAGTCATGTAAATGGCTATAATTCAAGTAGGTATATAGCTTAATTTACGAAACCACAATAATAATGTATAAAACCCCCCATTGTCGCAATGAATTGAACTTTAAAGTTAATTTATCGTAGTTAATATTATGCTCTTATAGCTATGACGTCCCATTGTTGGCGGGACAGCCCCGCTGTCAAGTTCTCTATCCCATTGTTAAAAATTAGAGGTCGATTTTGTAAACGGAGAATAATAAGATAATGAATCCATTAATACTATTATTACAAATTCTAATCCTGTAGATATCTTCAAAATACTGAAATAAAACTAAACAAATAAATAACTAGTTAAACATTTACATTTTATATTAAAACATAACATAAAAACACATCTGAAACTAATACAAAATTTGAAACGGACTTTCTTGTGATAAACTTATTGTCTACCTAAACTGTTTTATAAACATATCTATGCTATACGTACTTAACTAACCAACTTAAATAATAAAAAATATTTGATACTTCTAAGAGATCAGCATAGATATAGAATAGAAAAGCTTTTGAACCCTTATCGTTAAAATCAGTTTTGGTTTGACAAAAAAGGCTAAGTAAATTTTTTTTAGAATCAGTTGTAAATCAAATGCAATATGTATATTTATTTTTCAGTTTAACTTAATTAATATATTATGTATAAATATGTATGTAAAACAATTAAATTGCAACGAAATAGTTTACGTCATGTCTGCAATAAGATATTACTTATTTGATATCTCTATCTACTGGTGAATGAGTAGTTGCAATGAAATACGTACCGCCGAATCATAATAATAGCGCAATTTCATCAACTCAAAATTATCGAGACACAAAACACTGCAACACTGCACCAGAAGCTCTCATAAAATAAACCAATACAACAGGGGTAGTTAGTAACCACGGCACCACCGTAACAACTAGACGAATAACCGAACAAATTGCAATGCAATGACAAGAGGAGGCACTGGTATACTTGTACTACACACTTTTAAATTGTAAGGGTTACTGCGCCGCCGTGGGAAACTTATTGATCAGAAAACTTTAACAGTGTTTTTGATTAGCCGCTACGATAGACACTGAGTCACAGAATGATAGCTTGTTCCATTATCAACATAATATGAATTCTTCTGACGTTATGTGAGAGAGCGTAGAAGGAAAATGTTTAAACAGATATTTTGACCATAGTAAATGATTCATAACTGGCTGAGAACGGATTTCAATTAAACTTGTTTCCTACACACATATAAACCATGTCCACTTCGTTTATAACTAATGAATTTTAAGATCTTGACGTATAATAAAATAGTGAAACCGTATCGAGGCGAATGCAGGCTGTTTATCTGTTTGTGTGTTAAGTAAAAACGACTAAATTGGACGAAATATTCTTCAATATGCTATTAAATATGCTTTTATATGTAGGTTAACCTATAGAATAAAGTCGTGAAACAATAACAATTATTTTTTTATTGACGAACGAAATATGATACAAAAATAACATCTCCCAGTCAACCTTTGGGAAGTGTGGAAAACGATTATAACTCAGCAATGAATGTGCATATTATGTATTTACAAAAATAAAATAATAATAATAAGATTATAACAACAAAGTAATATAATTATAATAACAAAATACACGTAAAAACGCATATACAATATATTAATGAAGTAATAAATGATGGTAAATGAACGTTTTACTGATTGTTGCATATTATTATTATCGATTACGATTACGACGATCTACAATATACACAATACGGTATATACGATATACACGCATACGACGTTTCTGGCACCTCCATAATTAAATAAAATTATAAGCATAATTGTAATTTTATTAATAAGTTTGCCACGCCATTATCAGTTTTTGTTTTAGATAAAAGATAGCCTCTATTCATCCTTATAATATCTTCATAATAATCTTGATTAACATCCGTTCACCCGTTTAGTAGCGAAAACATAACAAACAGACAGATACTTTCGCATTTATAATATTAGTATGAATAATTGAAATTAAGAGTAACAATAAATATGATTGTACTATGTACGTAATGAAAACAAAGGACGCAGATAAACCACCAAGGATTAAGTAGGTATGTAGTGGTTGCTAATACAATTGAAAATTATTACGTTATTACATACAATAAAATATGTTGATAGCTTCGGTAGTGTAGCGGTTAAGACAGTGTGTACCCCGCCTTACTTTCAATGGGTCCGATTCGTCGTACGGTTTTCCTCGCACTCACCCAAACATTTGTGTTCATAAGTATGGTATAGTTTCTTGTATCGGTCTGGAATTTACATACAAAATATGTGTATGTATTACTATGTATTCAAAAATTGTATCTATTTATGTATCAGCTGTCTAGATGTACATATTATTATTATGTCAAAAAAAAAAAATTGCCATCAATAAAGTTAAATTCATAAAGATTAGAAACATATTTTTTAGTTTGATCACATATGATCAAACTAAAAAATATGTTAAGTTTAAGTATCAGGACTACGGTAGGTAGGTATACTGAGATGAGTCTCCGGTTTCTCATAGCAAACGATAAGGTTATCTTGCATGCACTTATAACATTTATGTATAATAAGTATTTATATTAACCCCTATTAATATAAAGTATCAAGCAAAGAGTAAATTTAGTTATGTAAAAAGCATAGAAATGTAAATATGTAGTAAAATAATATACATACAGTCATAGACTGAATGATGAAGCTGGTCCGCTGTTGCAGGACCTCCTTTTTGATGCCCCTGAACTTAGTCCGAAGAGTTGGCATCCCATTCATTTTTACAACAATTACACTACAGAATGTTACCACACTAAACACTGAACAGCCATATCACTTCATTGAACCAGTTTATTAGAGAATGTAGTATAGAATTGGATACTGGGAATGGAGTAGAAGTAAATGAGGAACGACACAGAAATCAGACATGTATCTACTGAGAGCAGCCAGTGCACTGCGCCGGTGTCGGCCAGTCGGGACTCTGGATTTCAACCGCTCTGAACGCCAAATTCTATTTTTGCAAGGCGCCGCCAACGAAGACGAATGCTAACTCAACCAAATAATAAAAAAGTAAGTCCCAATGTCCGGGACAACACACCTCATATTTAAAATCACTTCCGTTCAGTATATTCTTAAATCTACGCACAGGATGAATTTTTTTAAAAAATTATCTTATATGGAACTAAATTTCATGATATTTTGAAATAGGCCTAATTTTATATTTTTAAACATCCTTGTAAGAATCATAAAATCATATTTCTCTACTGACGCAGTTTCACTGAGTACCTGGCTACATATATATTTATGATTATAGCTCATAATGTCTATGCTAATGGAGAATTTAGATTTATGTATCTCTTCAATCACATGGAAAAACTATGCAGGAACACATTAGCCTGAGTTTTATGATCTTAGTACTTCACCATGATCCAATTGGAGCCACCATTGACTTAAACGAAACTTTTATAGTATGCATGCATATGCAATATTAACAGGTAACTTTTACGTTTAAAGATATATTAAACTTTTTTATCGACGAATATTAAATACGTACTACAATTAATTGTAATAATATAATTTAATTTTATTGTACACAGCTACACAACCGATTAAGCTCCTGACCCGAAGCGAACATGTTCGTAACAGCGTAATTTATGTACTAATTCATTTAACCACAAATGTTTATACTGCTCTGAAATGGGAATTACCTACTTATAAACAACTACTTACAAAGCTTGTTATAAATATTTGTGTATAAATTTATACTCAATAATTATTAATTTAATTAGCACTTACACTACTATAAATAGGAATTATACTGAGTAACTTCGTCCATCCAGTATCATATTTAATTAAATATAACATATATGTATGTTCTAGTTTAAGGTACTTATTTTATAAATTAAGCTGAAAGGTGCCTGCTACTTTGTGGATTTGTTTTATATTAATAATAATATATATTGTGTACTACATTTGGTCTATTAACTAGCTCTTTTAATTTTATACACAGTGATCGTCATAATTATTTCATAGTGCATAGTCAACACATCTGACGTCTGGACTCTTTATGGTAGAAGTCATTGTTTTTTTTTTTTGATGATGGTGGCATTAAACTATTACAAAATAAAAAAATGCTCAAGTAAATATACAGTTTATTACTTACTATTATATAAATATACAAAACGGGTCACCATTTTTATTAAACTCTTTCACGAATAGACATGCTTTATTTGCTTATACCATATTTATTTCATGAAAATTACAATATTTAAAAAATAATCAATACATAACAGTTGAAGTTGGTTCTAGCACAGATAACATAATATTACATAGTTCTAGGTAATAAAATGGCAGAAAGTTACGTAATAGAATATGATAACCCAAACTAGGTATTAGATGGTGGAATGATGTACCTACTTGTGTGCACTATTGGTTACTCTGATAGATTACCAGTGAAGCTTAAGAACGGATTCAGTTTATATTTCAGTGTGTTAATACTTCACATACGTGAGTGACATGTCATTCTGAAGTTGATTGATTTATTGGTTTAAAGTAGTATTTATTGGCTTTATAGATCACCTCTTCGTTCTTGTAAATATTATAGGTGTATATCATTTGTTTCATGAACTCAACTTGGATTATACATGAAGCTTAGTCACCGCAACATTAATTTATTCCATATTTAAATACAGAGCAACAACATTATTCAGTAAAGGCGTTCTTTGATGACGTTTGTCATCTAGGCCTTGGTTTGACAAAATATTTTGGAACGAAAAGAATATCCTACTGGCAAGACGCCACAAATACAACTAAACACAAAAAGAATTTCTTTTGGTTTTTGCACTCGCCTTCTATTGCACTCATTTATCACAGATAAAGCCAATCCGTAGAGTCCTTACTAATTGATGGTAAGTTAAGAACGAAGTTATCCAGTCAACTTCATCAAACAGATCGTTCCTAATTAATGATCGAATTTTATTTGCATAGACATATGTAGGATACAGTTTTTCATATCTGTAGTTTAAAGCTCTCCGTCTCTCCCAGAGACTTTTGAAATTGTGATAGAGGACGAGTTTTGGGTAAACTAAGGGTCTTATGTAAGGACTTGAAAATGCTATATTATAAACAAATTAATCTCGTTTAAAATATTTGGTCAAGACCCAAGCAAATCCGACTCACACTTCATTAACATTTAAGGCATAACAAGCATACAATATTTATTCATAGTGCCGTTAACAATAAAATATTAAAAAGTAAATAAGAGATCATAGTGCAACGACATTCCCTTGGAATGGTGCCCGTAAAATAGAACGCTTACAGCGAAAGTGTCCCCGGGATGACGTCGCCGAATCGTCTCATTATACACTATGACCCATTTTACCGAGTAACTCCACATAACGTCAATGTCTAGTTCAGTTTGCAGCAAAACGATAAACCTGACCGCGTTCTTCGTTTGTGTTTGCCTAAAAATACAGCGACTAATGGATATCAAGGTAGCCCTTTTTCTGCCCACGCTACTACAAAGATAAATTGTTTATTACTTTGCTACGAATCATACACAGCATATCAAACCAAATCCAAACGACAAATAAACTAATTTTCGACAAGTTTTACAACAAAGAATTCATTTCGAGTAAACTTCGTCTACTAAAACAAATACTTTATTGAATAACTTGCTCATATGCTTATTTTTATATTATTCAGTAAAATAAAATTGTATAATATTTATTACACATACTGAAATTATTACTATAAAAACAATTACAATCGTTAGAACGAAAAAAGTTTATGCATTTTTAAAGGAAGAAAACAAAATGTTTTATTTTCATTCCGTAGGCATTCTTGTGGACTACCTTTATTATTTACTACTAGATTCTCTGATTTGTGCTTCTAGTATCTAGAATCGTCACGGAGTATTATGCTATTCATGCCTACTCAACAATAAGCAGTAGCATTTGATAATGCGAACTGAGCTTGAAAACTATTGTGTATTTTATTGGAATCTGTAGAGGGATTTGAAAAAATCTGTGGAAACTAATTTTGATCCAATGACGAATTGCGAGTTTTTGTACCGTTTTATGCACTAGCAACGTATTAACGAACTCAGTTATATATCTGACGGTTTATCACACCGCCTTACTTCCGATGCTCGTGGCTTCGATTCCTCGGACGATACAAAAATTTGTATTCATGAGTATGATTGTTCATACTGGTCTGGGAGTTTTATATTATAAAGTTTTAAGTAATTCTATCAGTTCTTTAATAACCATAACACAGGCTCTTATTATTCGTAGTTTGGGACTAGATGGCGCTGTGTGAATTGTCGGGAATTATTATTAATTCTATTTTTCTTCTTCATTTAGTCGTCAATTAGTTTCAAAATAACAATACAAAGTGGATTGAATGGAAATCCATATTTAAGACAATATTGTTTTCAATTCAATAAATATTTAGATTTAAAAATTAACTGCAACGCGTTAACATTAAAGTCGTTTTCATAAATATTTTGTTCAGATATTTGTAATATAACTTGGTTCGGGGATTGTTGAAAGTGCGTAGGTACTCCTATAATATTGTTATCATAATTTTGGATAATATTGAGTATTCCAAATGTACCACACACTGTAAAATTCTAGTATATTGTATTCGTTTATATCTGTGCGGAAAAATAAACTGTAAACCGTGAAAACCCAGATCATAAACATAGGAACGATAAATAAACTATTTTACCCGAGTAAAGCAAGTTCCTAATAAATTAGTTCTGTCAAGGTATCTAAGTACCAGCGGGAGGAAAGAGGATTATTAGTAACGCGAAATGGGGTCATCATTGGTGAAATTTGATGAATGCGCAACTCACCTGACTACATGCTCAGCCTATTAACCCCCACTTCTTGCACATTCTTCTTGTATGTGAATGAATGAAATAAAATTAAAAAAATATCACTATTCAAAAGTGCTTAAATTGTGCTTACATTATTTCTATTTCAAATTTCAACGTAAAGTCGAAATTCAAAGGTGGTATTCAGCCTACTCGTATTAATATCTAATCTTAATTCAATCTACTAAGCAAATAATCACTAATGAGATCGACACCTTCTGATGAAACGCTTACAAATGTTCACTGTTTAGAGTAGTTGATTTAGAACGACAGAGGGTTTAGATCGGATAATAATGCGAGCTCTGTATCTTACAATACAGCGGAAATTTTAAAGTTCTATAAATAAAATTGCTTTATCACTAATTTTACTTAAATGTTTCACCACTTCGACATCAAAGAAGAGGTATTTCTAAATTTGAAATATAAAATGTTAAAACGTTAGTATAAACAGTTTATTAAACACTAGGTACTCGCCCCGGCTTCGCACGGGAGTACATGTATTATATATATAAACCTTCCTCTAGAATCACTTTCTATTTAAAAAAACCACTTCAAAACCCGTTGCGTAGTTATAAAGATTTAAGCATACATTGGGACAGACAGCGACAGCGACATTGTTTTATACTATGTAATGATGATGATGGATTGTAAACTATCAGAATCTATTTAGAGATAACGGGGTCATCGCATAAGGTTTACAAAATATTAAGTCCAATTGAGACCCTATTTGGATGGTTGATGGATATAACTACAATATATGAAAATTAACCCCAAATTAAATAAATTAAAGACATTGTGTACTACTCCTATATATGTGTGTCCTCCCAACAACCAATAGGTTGTGTGTTCACACCCATACCGAAACTCTATGCATTTTTTAATTTCTTAATGCCTCGTCGTTCATGGATAAAGCTATAATATTGTATATATGTTATATATTTTATTGTATAGATATATATATATATTGTATATTGTTTTAGGACGCCTCCAGCCACGTTAAAATTCAAATATACCGAGCGGAATATAGACATGTCAAGCTGCCTTTCAGATGACGTCGACATTTAATAATACTACTACCGGACTACCCTATCAGAGATAACAGCGGTGAAGGTATATTATTACTACAATAAAAATAAACAGTACTTACATTCCATCCTACTGCTTCTTCGTATAAATCTATTTTTTCTAGATCACCGGGCTCTGAATCTGCGTCAACAAGGGTGCCATGTCCACTGTCTGCGAGACTGCGACTCTCGATCTGTGAATCTACTTCAGCACTCTGATCTCCATCTTGCTCTTCAGCTTCCTTGAAAGGCGCCAATGGTGTTGCTTCTTCTAACGCAGCTCTTTGTGACGCTTGTTTGAGAATCTGTCCAAACTTCTCAAAGAAACTGTCGTCCACTTCTTGAATTCTGTAATTAAAAATAGTAATCACTTACCTATATTGGAAACGTAAGTTTAAACTAACTATAAATTGTGGGTTCTGAAAACGAGTGCACTTTGTTGTGTACATTGTCGTGTATTATAGGAATTAATTACGTGTGTATGTTATTGTTATACATTTCGATTATTCTTTTTGCTATTAATGGAGCTTACATGAGGTGTGTGAAAAAATAATAGTCCCTAAAAATAGTAAGTATTAGGATTTTATTAAAATATATATCGTCGTTGGAATTTAAATTACACATGAAACGTTAATTTAAAACTTTACCTATTCCATTTATGAAAACACTAGCTGTGCCCGCGGTCTCACCCGTTTTAAATTTCAATAAAATATATTGTCTATGTTTTATTCTGATGTACATATAAGCTGTATTACTTTAAAGTTTCATCAAAATCCATACTTACAGACTTTCGCGTTTATATTAAGATAAGATTAGTACATCTTGATCAATCTACCAATTAAGAATCGTAATTATTTTATAGTCAGAAGATTAACTGCAAATTTTATAATTACTTTCAAATTTACCATAAAAAATGCAAAAAAACAATCCGACAGGATTGTAGATTGTTTTTTTGCATTTTTGAAATCATGGAGACCACATTTGTAGAAACATTAAATTAATATCGAAAACCCATGTCTAAGCGTCTACTATATTGAAGTTTAGATACTATAAAAAATACATTTCGTTCGTTTGAGAGATTTATAGGAAATTTGTACTCGTAAATAAATCCAATTGGAATATCTCGGAGCAAGATATTTGTTTACAACAAGTTTCCGCATAAAACATCAAATCAAACAAGTTTATCCATAAAACCTCGAATAACAACTACAATAATATTAAAGATAACTGTAGAAAACTTTGATATAAACAACTGATAGTCAGTGATAGTAAATAAGTTCAATTAATATGTTCTAAATGAGTATAATACATAGTATTTATATAAATTAACAAAAACTAAAGTTTATGTAAACAGAATATATATTCCAACAAAAAAAACAAAGATACAGATATTTAATCACGATTATATTTCATCAATAATTGTACAATATCTGAATTTATTATTACATAAAACGAATAGAATGTATAATCTCATGATAGGATAGGTTAAATAATAAATTAAATTAAATATTCTAAAAGTTCTACATTATTATAAAGAAAACATAGAGATTCTAAAAACACTTTATTTTAATTTCTTTTACAACTAAATCACAATACATTGGAAGACTGGAATGAATTGAACATAGTAATCTTACCTTCTCATTTGGCAAAGAGAGAAATATTCTAATATTTCGAGTTTAAATATGTGTAATACATATAGTACATGAATGTTTAATTTCAAATTGTCAGTTACATTTCAACCTCTAATATAGGTACAACATAGGTTTTAAACTTACAAAATCTTTGGTAGAATAAGAATACAGCAAACACATTCCATAAAATTATGTAAAATAAATGATATGTATATTTTGTACATAAATATTTTTTCATAAAAATTAAGACAAGATTAAATGCGATTTAATTATTTCCATAATAATATTAATAAACACATTATAAAAAACAACAGTAACATATCTTACAAATAATATGGCAATAAATAAAATACAACAGTATATCTTCATATAACAATAATGGAGGAGGAATAGCAACTATTTATTTATCCAAACAAGACATGAGAGTGTATTTTAAGTCAGTGTACTCCTCGGCACCATGTCTACTGCCTTCTCTGCCAATACCAGACTCTTTAATTCCACCAAATGCTGGCTCAGCTGCAGATATAATTCCATCATTTATGGCAACCATTCCAAATTCCAATTTGTTAGACATTCTAAATGCTTGACCCAAATCTTTAGTAAAAACATAAGCAGCAAGGCCACTTCTTGTACTGTTTGCAATTTTGAGGGCTTCATCTTCACTACTAATCTTTAAACAAGTAGCTACAGGACCAAATATTTCTTCTGTAAATATTGACATGCTCTGCTTCACATTAATTAGCAATGTTGATTCATAATATTTGCTTCCAAGTTCTGCAGCAAATTTACCACCCACCAATGCCTTTGCACCTTTGGATATTGCATCTTCAACCAAGCCAGACACTTTATTTGCTTGCTGAGTATTAATTAGTGGCCCACATGTGACACCCTCCTTGGTGCCAGGACCCAGTATACATTTCTGGGCAATTCGGCTTTTAAATCCTTTGACAAACTTATCATAAATATCTTCATGTATCAAAAATCTATTAGCTCCAATGCATGCCTGCCCATTATTTCTGAACTTTGCTAACATTGCTTGATCTAATGCATGCTCAATATCTGCACTCGGAAATACTATAAAAGGGGCATTGCCCCCCAACTCTAATGCAACTCTTTTAACACCGTTTGCAGCAAGTCCATATAAAGTCTTTCCAACTTGAGTGGAACCTGTAAATGATATACATCGAACAGAATGATCTTCACACATGACTTTACCAACTGAAGGTGCATTTTTTCGGCTTGTTGTAATAACATTAATAATTCCTGTAGGTACTCCAGCTTGTTCCGCCAACTCTGCAGCGGCAAGAGCTGAAAGAGGAGTGTCTTCTGATGGTTTAATGACACAAGTACACCCAGCCGCCATTAGAGCACCGACCTTGCGTGTTATCATTGCAAATGGAAAATTCCATGGAGTAATCACTGACACAACTCCAAGTGGCTGTCTGGTAAGCAAAATCTGCTTATTAGGCCATGGACTAGGAATAATCTCTCCATTAATATGTCTGGCTGTATCAGCAAACCATTCTAGGAATGAATTACCATAAGCTACTTCACCTCTGGCCTCATTTAACGGTTTACCTGATTCAGCTGTTATTATTTTTGCCAGTTCGTCAGTATTCTTTTCACACAAATTAAACCACCTTCTTAATATATGAGAACGCTCCTTCGCCGTCGTATTCTTCCAGGTTTCAAAAGTATTTGCCGCAGCCTGAATAGCATTTTTTGCGTCACTGGCATCCATATCAGGGACTTCCGCTATAACACAATCGTCAGCTGGGTTTTGTACGGGAAATACAACATTACTTCCAGCTTTTACCCACTGTCCATTGATATATGCTTGATTTCTAAGTAAATGCAACTGCCTGTATTGAACACAACTCTTTAATCCAAATCGCAAGAAACCCATGTTGTACTCAGAAACTATACTAAAGAAATAATATAGTACCAACTCCCAGTTGCAAACGATATCCAATTTTTCAATTACTTTATTAAATTTAATAAAATTGATTGACTGAACTGCGTCTATTCAGTGATTACTTCGAGCTCAGCTGACATATGTAAATGACAACTGACATTGACATAATGTGACACATGAACTGACACCGGCTGCGAATTGGGAAATCAAGGGTTACCAACGTCTAACTAAATTTACCACTAAATAAACTAGAAATGTTATTTCAATTATTTGTAATTTAAATATTCTTAAAATTAATAGCTTATGTATTATATAATTTCCAGATATTTGCTAACTTATTAAAAACGCTGTTATGATGGATCACAAAGAAATAATAAAAATAAACAATGAATTTAAGAAAACATACCTAATATTTCTTTTGATAAGGTGGTTTATAGCATACTAATGAGGCCCGCGACTTCGCGTATTATTTTGTCATCTAACTCTTGTGTATTTAAAATTTTTAAAAACATACTAATAACGGAACCCGTAGGTATATATACACATAAGTTTTTTTTACATAAAACATCAATACACAAACCTTACTTTTTATTTATTGCATAAAAATGAGGCTGTAAGTATACGAGGAATTTATATAGAGAAATAATCTTTATTATCTTCTTTACAATAGTAAAGTCGTGAAAAGGCGAAAATTATCTATTTGCATATTTATGTATTTATGTTTTATGTCATCAATACACAAACATGTGACTTGTGCAACACAAAAGTAAGTCTATGGTTTAATGAAGAAGTGTTCTTCATTAAACCATAGACTTACTTTTTGTTGCTACACTTTTTACATATTATTCTATTAGAAGAGCAAAGAAACGTTTATGGTGTTGCCAGGCTATTAAATGATATCGAGAATCATTCCTCGAGATATTCTCAAAAACTTTCTTTAGAAATAACAATTAAAAATTGATAATAATTTTTAAATTATTATTATCTTATTTGAAATTATCAAAACATTTTTCGCAGCAATTCTTATTACCTTTATCAAGTAACGAAAATACTTTATTGGGCAAAGCCTGACTGACACTCTGAGATGGAAACACCGATAACAAACGTAATTCATCCTGCCACATTGTATTCATATATACTGAGTGAAGCGTGGGCATTGTACTCACCACGATACTACGACGGCAGTTCTCAATGCCACAGATAAGATAATATTACATAATATGCCATATACTATTTTAACTTCTTATATATAGAATTCTCTTGTTGCCATACTCCTCCAAAACGGCTTGACAGATTTTTATGAAATTTTATATGCATATTCAGATCTGAGAATCAGCTACTATCTATTTTTCATACCCCTGTCCACCCGTAACATTATTTTTATTTTTTGTACAAAATTATTATTTTTTATTTTTTTATTATGTGGCATTAAAAAATACATACAAGATTCAATTTTTACCCTTCTATCACCAACCCCTATTTTTAATAGCGATTTTGTATATACAAAACAGCAAACAACGTTTCCGGGTCAGCTAATAATATATCCTATTCTATAATAGTATAACTGTGATACTATAATATTATACTACTAATATATTTATTCTATTATTTAACATAGCCATGCGGCTGGAAATACAAATTTATTTCAAACTAGTTGTACTTGCGACTTCGACTGCGTAGAATTTAACTTTATTTTTCTAAAATAAAAAAAGGTTTCTAAAATAAAAGTGGCCCAAATTACTCCCTATTACATCAGTTATCTGCTAAAAAAATTCTCGTCAAAATCGATCCAGTCATTTCAGAGATTAGCCGGTACAAACAGACAGACAGACAGACAAAAATTGTAAATAATGTTATTTTGGAGCATGTAGTAAAAAAAGATTATTTCAATATTACAAACAGACACTCCAATTTTATTTATATGTATAGATGCGGCTGGAAATACAAATTTATTTCAAACTAGCTGTACTTGCGACTTCGTCCGCGTGGAATTTAACTTTATTTTTCTAAAATAACAGAATGTTTCTAAAATAAAAGTAAACTAAAGTACGATTATTAATTCCAGTCAGTAAAATGACAAGTGCAACTACCACTGATACAAAAAAGGGCAATCAATAGACTTAGACATTTAGTCATGCTTTATTTTATTAGGTATCGAAGACTTTTTTATTAATTTTAAATATTTAATTATATCGTATTAAACAATACGATTTTAGAAATATGGACCTTACCAGTATATTAAAATTTCTCACTATAACATTATTACAAACGCTGGGAACAAATGTAAAAAGAGATTCAGAAGAATTAATACTAGAATTTTTATTTGGATAAAGGCAATTTGATATTAAATAAAAAAAAGTAATCTCGACTAACTTTTAATTGTAAAAACTCGATTCTACCACATCACTATTTATTTGGGGCTAAAAACCTGCAACACTGGAAATGTCATTTTACTGACTGGAATTTAATAATCTTACTTTAAGTTACTCCTTATTACATCAACTACCGGCCAAAAAAAGTCCCGTCAAAATCGATCCAGCCATTTCAGAGATTAGCCGGAACGAACAGACAGACAGACAAAAATTATAAAAAAATGTTATTTTGGTGTAGGTACCGCATTTAATATTCATATACATATAGTAAAAAAAAAACGATTATTTTAATATTACAAACAGACACTCCAATTTCATATATATAGATGTATAATCTACTGGTTTGTTGTGATTTGTTCCTACAGCGACTCTAACAATGCTAGGGAAGAAGACGAGCGTTGAAGATAATATTATAGTAGATAATATTTATGTATTTAACTTTAATTTATTATTTTATATGATAATTTTCTCTTCCAATAGGATCATAAATTCCTCAAGGTAAATAACTCGCCCCATTCACCCGTTTAGGTTTAACTTATTAAAATATATTAACAAAAAAAGAGATAAAATCGACCCGAAATGATTACCCGCTCAGTGGTCCACTGATTATCCTTTTTTATTTTTTATATCTTATTTGTTATCCATATGCTTCTTGACTTGTATGTCTATGTTTAATAATAACAATACCTATAATATCTATGTTGTGAGGTTGTCAAATCATCTACAAAGGAAAATCTGTATTCTAAAATTAAAAACCTGCTTTTAAATTTTAAACCTATATACCTACGATGTACCTACTTAGGTCGTTCATTGATTCCTTACAGTACCTACTACTTAATATACATATATTATGACCGTAGCACCAATAGCTGTTTTACACGAAATGGAATAATTATCTTTATTATGTTTTCTTTTGAATGAAAAAAATATGGAACAGAGATAAAATGCCATCAATATTATAAGTTGCTCGTATGTCTATACTACGCCGTGTAGAAAACAATGCAGATAATTTGGTAACATTTTATATATGGACTTATGTGTCTATTATATTGAAATAAATTAGATAGGTATAGACAAGTATCTATTGTACTATAGCACCTGCTCAATGATACAGTATAGTAACCCTGGGACTCATTTAACTATAGTTGGATACTTAGGTAGGTATTTCACGTGTTAATATACCTACGTGTAAATTATTATCTAATTAACATAAAAAATATTTACAATGAACTTTGAGATAATTATATCTGTAGGCATTTACCTACCTGTACTATATATAGCAACAGGAAAATAACTACGACGTAACTAATAATCTTTAAGGATGAAAGCTAAGAAATTACAAGGGAATTAAATAACTTTCTATCTTATCTATATTAGGAAATAATAGTGTATTAATATTCTCTTATCTGTCTTCATAGATTACAGCATTTTGTATTAACAACAATATTTGATTATTATAAAATAATTCTACCTACCCTCAAAAATATAACCAGATTGCAAACAAATTGTCATAAAAGTAAAAAACAAAATTGGTTTTAAATACAGATGTCACTCTCTCTTAATAGATAAATAAATATAGTCTAGTAAATATAGTCACTTACGGGTATAAAAACCTTCAATTGTAAATGAATCATTAATTTTACCAAAAATACTAAAAAAATCGAAATTTAGAACCTCCTTTTTAAATCAGTTGGATGTTCTTAATGTGTATACAGATAGTAATAAAAGAATATAACTCAATAAACATTTACGACACTCTTCGTTCTAACTACCGCAACTTACTTGGTATCATGTGCCTGCTCTTGCACAGATTTCTGCTGCTGTAGTCTGTCATAAAAACCTTTCCACATGGTTTCTTCATCCATTGTAACGGTAATTTTTTTACAAAAAAAAAACAATACACTACACAACAATTCTAAACTTGAATAGGTAGGTATTTTTAATAAACTTATCTAGTTCACTGTTATTATTAATAGGTATAGAAATGCACTAAAGAATCACGCGTATCTGCGTAAACAAGAGATCTGTTTTCTGCCAACAAAACCCCCACAGTGTATATGAATGAATCACTAAACATTATATCGAGTCATACATTCAACGAATACTGACGTCAGAATCGAGAGGTTAACCCGTATCTTGAGATGTTGGCACGGAAATAACGTTATTCGATTGCCATACAGTCCACTGAGAACTGCGATTAGAGTTCACTGACACGATTGTCTGCATTCGATGCGTTTTCTGCCATTACGATTTCAGTTATAATTTTCGTACACCGAAAATAATTAAAACGCATAGTTTGCTTATTGTTATGCTTTGTATATAGAGTAGACGAACACGCTGACGTAATCTGTGACCGTCTGGCGTCTGTGTACTGTGCGATGGAATGAGTTTGTTGAATCCGCGCGCGCAGCCATCGCGGCATACAAACTAACTGGCCTGCATCATCACACGTACCTGTAATGGCTGTTTTTGGGATGTAAACAAAGTAATATGGCATGCATGGTGTGCCTCAGAGCATATTACGTACTTTCCGGTTATAATTTAAGTTTCAAGGTCATTAAAACTATTGGTAGGTAAGACGAAGGTCAAACAACCTACTTACTATTACAAAGACTATTATTCAACAGGTAGTCATTGAAAGCATTACGTAAATATCTTTAGAAATTGCAATACCCGATTGATACAGAGTATCAGTCCGGTACTGGATCTCTATCGATAAGAAGGTGAACATAGACAATTCACTGAAATCATCATAAAAACCATGACTACTCTATAAGA